CAGATTAAATTAAACGTGTTATATTAGTCTAATTTAGTATATACTATTACTCTAGCTAGCTTATCCCGCAGGTACTAAGTATTAAGTAAAAGATACACATCCCTTATCGTCCCGTTATTAATCATGTGATAGTCGCTATAAAGTCTTCCCTTAGGATCTCCTACTTTCTTAGCGACTAATATATTAATCGTGTATAGTGATTTAGACTTCCGAATCCATCTTTTCTTCACTTCTTATTCCCGCTATTCCTTAAGCGTCCTCGTAGTAGCGTAATTATAGTAGTAAAGCTTCTCTATAATAGGTATAAACCCTTCTTTGAAGTTGATCTCGTAGTCCTAGGGTTAATATTTAGGTAATACTCTCATATCCTGTAGATCCTCGAATATCTTTACGTACTTCCTATAGAGTATAAGTAGCTATTCTTATACGTTATCCTCCTATCTGGGATAACCTTTAGATTCCTTTTAGCTAGGAATCGGACTCTTTCGTATAGAGTTAATCAGCGTTATCCTTAAAGAGGCGGCGCTAGCCTCCCTTTCACCGGATAATTAACTGCAGCGATAGTTATATCTATTAAAAGTAAGCGTTCTTACTTTCTAGTCGATACTAGGGTTATAGCTATTTATCTATATAGTTCCGAGGACGATATTATATCGTCTAACTAGGATAACGTTAAACGATAAGTACTTTATATAATTATTAGGTATCTTTATTTCGATACTCGCCGTTTTATCTCGCACCTACCTGTTAACCCCTGCGTTTTTCCTATCTAATAGGGTGAGTCTATAAAGGCGTGGGTTACGTATAATAGGTATATTCAGTTGTTCCACCAGTCGTAGGTAAATAAACCTTCCCATAGCTCCTAAGTCGATCAGGGCCTTAGCTATATTCCCATTCAGCTCTACTTAGACTACTAGTTAGTCTATCTCTCTAGTAGCAGCGAGTTCAGGGTAATCGAGGTAATCGGGGTACTCCTGCGGTTTTTCGGGTAAATCCCTTTATTCCTCGACGATTTCTCCTATTATCTCGTCTATCTACTTCCTTAAGCTTTAGTTATAACTAATAAGGGTATACAGGATATCCTCCTTAAGGTTGACCTAGCTCTGTATAGGTTCCTCTCTTATCCTCTAGAATCAGAAGGGTTCCTATACTTACTATCTTCACTTCTAATACCGTTTTCCGCTAGCTATTACGGTCACGACCTATGTATCTTTAACTTCTAGATAGTCGTCTAGCTAGCTATATTCCCGAGGCTCGGGTTCTTCTATAAGGCTAGCCATGTATCTTTTAGATCGTTAGTTTATATACTTAGTGTTCTCTTAGAATACGATGATCTCGGCGTCTTAATAGATAACGACGTAACTAAGGCCTTGCTCTAGGGTATCATGAGTTCTTCGCTTTTCCGCTAGGTCTAGCTTATCTCTTACGTGTATCCAGACTCGTCGTTCTCTATTATAAGAGCGGAGGGCCTAATTTTCGTTGATACTAGGTAGCCGGTCTACCTAGTGATTATTAGTCACCTGGCTTTCTTATTAGGTATCTAGGGATTCTATATTACTGATTTACTAGTTTTCAAGGGATTCGGTTAGGACTTCCTCCTAACTATTATCCTTACTAACTTATTCGAGTACTACCGCTTCGTAGTACTCGGTTTTTTATTCAGCTAAAGTGAATTATCGTTTATCTTTAGGAGGAGCTTTCCCTCTGTTCTTATTCTAAGAGCAGTCCCTAGCGAGGTAGCCGGCCTTACTATAGGTATAGCACAAGCCCTTCTCTCGTTGTTTCTGCTTCTTAGCTTAGCCCTTACCTCCTCTCTCGGCCCTATCTATTTCCATCGGGTTATAATAACTCCGTTTATTATTAGGGTAGGGTTAGAAGTTTCCTTCTCTCTTCCTATGTTATTCCGGGAACTAAGGCTTCTTGTATTAAGTAGGGGCAAAATACTCTCTTTTTTCCTTCTATCGTTCCTGGATCCGTTCGTTAATAATTATAGCTGTTTTAATTATTTCCTCCAGGCTATCGGGTTTATCGGCCCTGGAGAGTTCATCTTTAATATAGTCTTTTAGGCCCTTATAGTACTAGGCTTTTAAACCACTATCCGTCCAGTCCAGTCGCATAGAGTAATAGTAGAACTTAGCAGTATATTCGTGAACAGATCCTTATTAGCGGATACTAAGTAGGTGTTTCTTAGACTATTCTTTCTTATTAAGGTCTCCGAAGACTCCCTTAATAGCTGTAGTAAATCCTACGATAGTGCGGAAGATAACGCGACTCTTCTCGGTTATAGTAGTAGAGCACGCTCCGGTTATATATCAGTTAAGAAGGTAGTCGCTAAGAGCTAGTTCGATCTAGTGTGCTATAGTATCACGGAGGAACAAGGCGATCTATAAGACCTTAAGGGATTCGGCCTTAAACTTGTCTCTGTTGAAGGCTAGGTATATCTAGTACTAGAGTACGAACTATCCTAGCTTAGATCGTTGACTATAGAAGGTATCCGGTAGGTTAACTCGGGGTAGAGTAACCTTATCTTCCTTCTTACTAGTCTAGGAGTTTTCTCTCACGACAGATCCTTCCTTAGGGGCTATTGTATCTTACTGATAATACTTCAAGTGAGGTACTTAAAGTGTAACGTTTCTAACTCGGTTAGTATCATGAGTATAGACTCATCAGTTAGTATCAGCTATAAAGTAAGGTAACAAGACGCTTAATTCTCAATAGGAATTAAGACGTTATAAGTAGTAGTAAACTAGGTATAAACTTGCTATTTAATTTGAGCATAAAGCTCTACTATCTAGGAAACTACCTACTTATTATATAGAACTTCCGACTTCCTATGTAAGCCGTGCAAGATATCTTGCAGGGCGCGTAAGCTCGTAAGCCCGTCTAGTAAGCTAGCACATCACGTGACCTATATCCACTGTGATTAATATAACTATTATTATGATAATAAGCGTAGAGTATAGTACTACTCGCTAATTCGTATTATTCTCTTATTTAGTACTATTCTCTCAATAGTACCATCAACCCTTTAGTACTAAACACCGACTGGTGCTATCCACTTAGTAGTACCATCAGTATTATAGTGCTAACCCGTGACTTGTACCAAGACTGAGCCTGGTTCATGACAATAAAAATTAAACTAGATCACTTAAATACTAAAGATTAGAGGATTTTAGGTGAGATTAAGAGCTTTTTAAAAGTCCTTAAATTATCTACTAAGTCTTTTAAAAGTTATAAAGCTTCTCTTAATTAAGTTCTCTTTTTAATAGATTTTATATTTGCTTACTTTAAGAAAGCTAAGAAAAGTTTTAAGATAATATTAAAATATCTATAATAGTTAATTTAAGATAGTAGAAAATAAATAAATACTATAGTAAAAGTGATAAATCTTTAGCTTACGCTATAACTCTCTTATTAAATCTCGTATATAAATAGTCGTATATTAAGTAATTCTAGAGGCTCTCTTAGTAAGAGATAGTAAAAGCAGCTGTTTAGAAGCTTTAAGATAATAAATATAAGCTAAAATCGACTATTCTAACTTCTCTGATACTTTTTATAACTATAACTAATAAGTTCGAGCTTTAGTTACGTTAAATCATAACGCTAACTCTTGTTATAGATAAATATAACTAATATTATAAGACAGAGTGTGTTTATAGCTATAATAACACTATTAAGTAGTAGCTTAAGCTTACGTAATAAAAGGCCTTTTTAAACCTCTCTAAAATAGCTCTTAATATACTCTTAATTTTAGCTATATCTAGTGATCTAAAACGCGTGTTTTTTATAGTAAAAATTACTTTTTTAGATCGTTAGAATAAGATAGGTATATATATAATTAAATATCTAGAGTGTTTAAAGTCGTAGACTAGTTTAATTAAGTAGGAAATTAAAGCTAAAAATACAGAGGTTATACAGAATACTCTTTTAAAGAGGCTAGAGGTAAAGAAAGTAACTAGAGATATAGTAAAGGCAGATTTATAGGTAAGTTTATCTGTTCGTTCTTAGTAACGACCTTGTTCTGTTAGTTTATATACTTATAGAACGAACAGTAGTTCGTTATTAAGTATAGAAACGTTAGTTTATTTAAAAGCCTCAAAACGACGTCGTTAAACGACCGTTCAACTATCGACTACATTAGTTGCAGCTTCTCCCCTGCGACATGATGCTTTTAACCACCAAACTGGAGGGAAGGCTGACTCCAGCGCTGCCACCCGCAGCCAAGGACGCTCCACCCCACAGCTAAATTTACAACCCTTGATCATGTATTTATGCCTTTCAAGCCTCGCGACTCAGTTCCTTGAATCTATTGGTTGTGACTGATGCACTAGAGGTCGGGAAGTCCGCCCTGGCGAGCTCTGTGCGACCACGAGCATGCCGTGCGCCAGACGTAGGACTTCTCGTGGCCCAGCCTGTGTCCAAAGCCTACTTGCGGCTCTGAAGCTGTCGAGCCGTAATAAAGATGCCACCCCGCCTATGTAGTAAGTTGGCGACCGAGTAAAACCTTGCTTGAGACCACGACGACCCGCCATTTGATGTACAGCTAGGTGTGATGGCCGACAGCAGTGAACCATCTTCCCCTAGCGATAAGCGACCTCGAAACTTTCTTTCTTTATTCCGCAGGAGCTCAAGGTCAAGCGAATCAGACTGAGTACAAGGCGAGGTGAGCTTACTTCGGTTTGATGCTATGAAGAAGCATGAACTGACGTCACGGAATAGTTCCAAAGTCACCGCGCACATGCACGTCTTGCAAGAGGCAGAGAGGGGGTTCTGTTTTGGCCCTCGACAGACCAAGATGGCCCAGGCATGATTGAGTAATAATGCCGACTACTATCGTCTGCTTTCCTTTTCACTGACGATTTCACAGTAGCATCATCGCAGTACATGGGTTACAAGGCGACTACGAGAGGACATGAGAGCAAGATGGTCAAATTTGGCTTCGCGACTTTCTTGGACACCGGCTCCCTAATGTCCAAGTTTTGTCGTTTGGTTATAACTCCATGATCAGCAGCCCAGGATGGACAAATCAACTAGAAGACTTCGCTCTCCAACTTCTGCAAGCTGTCAAGAACCATAGAAACGAGAGTTATCGGGTAAGTCCTTTGAACATCATCTGATACTCAACGTTAGCTAAGCTCGGCAGAAACAACACCGCCCTATCATATTCCTGGGCCATAGTTTAGGGGGTCTGATCATTAAGAAGGTTGTTACCACGGAAAAATCGTTACTTGATCGTATAGAAGCTTACGTTTCCACAGGCTCTCATCACTGCACATGCCAGATCTTGCGCTTTCTCCAATATCTTGGAGCACACGAAAGGTTTGGTCTTCATGGGCACTCCTCATCGTGGGGCCGATGCAGCGAAGTGGGCAGCGATGGTTCAGTCTGTTCTCAGCACGACTCGCATGGGCCCTGACACGGATCTGTACAAAGATCTGAAAGAGAGGTCCAGTACCCTGACGCAAATCAACAATGATTTCCCTGAGCGTGCAGCCCACTTACAACATATTCTGAGCTTTTACGAATTGCTTGTCCAGCCAGAACTTAAATCCCTCGTGAGTGATCCCCCGGCTCTACTGGTCCATCAATCTAACCGATGCTAGGTTGTGGAACGGTCCTCTGCTCTCATGGGATTACCTAACGAAATACCTATCGCTTTGAATGCTAACCATCGTTCAATGTGTCGGTTCGCGAGCGCAGATGATGCCGCATTCACGGCCGTATGGAAGCCAATCAGAGATATGATCAAAGCTATCCGTGAAGGAGGCACACGAGCATGTAAGTTTACCAAGACCATTTCTCGTAAATCTGGAGAAAGCTGATTGACGATGCGATGATTAAGTTAAGGAACAGCAGAAAGTACTGCTTTCCAGGCTGTGTGGCAATGTCCTTGCTGATTTGAGCACACCGTCGGCTGATCCCGCGGAAGGAACCTGCCAATGGATTTTAGAACATCCAGTGTACTCCGAGTGGCGCTCCAAACCACTTCATTCTAGCCTGCTTTGGATCACTGGCGGCCCTGGCTCCGGCAAGAGTGTTCTCTCGGAATTTCTGGTTAAGGAGCTGAAAAGATCGAATGCACTTGTTTGCGACTTTGCTTTTACGGAAGGGAAGTCGAGCATGCTTGATTTCCTTGGACGAGTCATCACACAAGCCCTCTTGGGAAACGACGATCTATGCTACAGCGCAATTGAGCACCAGCGACTAGATGACTGGGTTGTGACATGGACTCCATGTTCTCATTGTGGATGAGGATCTGCGAGGATGCTAAAGGAGGTGAAGTGATCTGGGTCATCGATGCACTGGACGAGTGTAATGAGATCGGCAACGCAAATGGATTTTTCAACGCCATTGTCATTCTTCTGCGCAATCTGAACGGCATATCCAAGAACAGGCTCTCATTTCGCGTTCTCTTCACCAGTCGCCCAGAGACCTGGCGCCAAGTTTCCCATTCGTCGAACATCGACATCACTGCAATAAGCCGCATTGTTCTGGAGGATGAGGCCGCAATAGAAGCGGACATCAATGCGTATATCCACGAAGAGGTTGCTAAATTGCATATTCAGGAGATCGACAAGAGTAATCTCGAATCACAGCTCTGCGCCAAGGCGTCTAGGTCTTTTATTTGGGTGAAGCTCACCCTCAAGTCCATAGAGACTGACGTGGACTACCGCGAAGGGACTTGGGATGCAGCTGTGGATGCCATTCCAGTTAAGCTTGAAGAAACCTACGAAAAGCTTTTAGAGCAACTTTCTGGACCCGATCATCATACTGGAACGGCAAATCCGTTACCCCCCAGAATCAAGCGTCTGCTTCAATTTGTTGTCGGAGCACATGGATTTTTGACTGTTCGGGACTTGAGCATATTCTTCGCACGGGAAGACAATGTGAGTACGATCGAAGACGCAGAGAGCAAAGCCTTGAGCAGCAGCAGCTTCTTTGAAACTATATATGGGTCTTTCCTGAGACTAGTCCGAGGTCTTGACGGGATTCAGCAGGTTCGGCTCATTCATGAGACTGCAAGAAAGCATTTGTTGCTCCCAGAATCGGAATCCAAATATGCTATGCAGCTTCATAGCTGCCATTTGGAACTGGCTAAAGGTTGTGTCACATACCTCGCGCTTGATAATGTTGCAGACCACGTCTCCGCAGAGTCAATTCAGGAGACAGATAATCACCCACTGCTGAAGTATGCTGTGTTGAATTGGGCCTCGCACGTTAGAGAATCTGAAGAACTGATGGACGATGAGCTTTTTGGGAAGGTTCTGGACATGTATAGGACCAACTCTCAGCGATTCCAGAACTGGTCTGAGGCATATTGGATGCTCTCGTCGAAGGGGCAAATGAAATCGAACTATTCAACATTGCACATGTGCGCCTATAACGGCCATATGTGTGTCATGAAACGCCTCCTGGAGGACAAAACCTCTGTTTTTGTACTACGTGTATAACATCAAATGATTCTGGGGGAACTCCTAGTTACTAGAGGATAGGGATTCGCGAGGGGAATGAAAGTCACTCTTTGTCCTTTGGCTCACCCTTTACAATCTCTAATAATCTATCACTGATCTAACTCTCTTTCCACCCCTTTCCTATCCCTGCTATATTATACCTCTTCTTCGCCCCTAAAGCTGCTTCCTAAAAGAGTATAATAGGTATCTCCTTTTTAATTCTCTCTTTATCCTCTATGCGGTAATACTTAGGCATGTTAATACTTATTAGCGGATTATTAACGTCGTACTAGAGACTTACAGAGAGGAGGATAAATATTGAGTTGTTAATTACTTAGTCCCACTCTTCCTTCTGGGGCAGGCTCGGCCTACTATCTCTCCCCTGACAACTCCTCATCCGATAGTCGTGGAACTCCTTCGATGTCAATACGGATATCGCCGACATTAATAGGGTCTAACAAGTGACCAGGTTCTACACGCCGAATAGGTTCCATCGGAACAGCATCTCCCAGACCACCAGCCGCAGCTTCCCTTTCCAGGTCTCTTGCATCACCCCCAACCACTTCCCCACCTGATCTCTGTATCTCCCTTGATTCCAACCAGTCTTGCCAGTCTATGAATAGCATAATAAACCCAAACCCCACCAACAAAAAATCCAAAACGGCAGACGCGAGGCTCATGCCCCAATAGGCTTTGTATTTGGGATCGACGGAGGGAACAGGGGGTATATCAAGAGATTTCCATGCCAAACCGAGGCTAACACTGTCTACGATGACGAGGGCAAAGTCGAAAGCCATGCGCTTGAGAAGAGGAGGCGGCAGTTGGGGGGCATTTCGATAGTCACGCCAGTTCGATAGGTAATCTATCAGCCGAGCGAGTGACCAAATGATTCCAGCCCATGCCTTTTTAGCCCATGGTTAGTTTTAAATCTTCAATTTGCGACAATTGGTCTCACAGCGAAAGTGTTGACCCCAAAGGTCACCGATGCCGTCGAGTCAGTTCAGATGGCTGCAAGAAGATTGAGCCCGAAGCTCGCGACGGAGAACAGGATGGTAACGACAAAAGCGATAATGGCATATTTCATTAAGTCAGCCATGGTTATAGAGGGTGCGAATGTTTTGAAAGGGATTTATTATTGTCGATTATTCAACGGCAGCAGTGATAGAACAATGTGTCTGATGGACATACTATTCATCGTGCCCAACAGAAGCGTAGACTTTGGAGCACGGTCACTATTACACGCCATCTAGACGCGTCTCGAAGACGCTTAGTTATTCCAAAGATTCTATCATAGACGCAAATTGCCGCCTGTAGATAACATATCGTCAACCTCACAATCATGGAAACACTTCCACAAAACTGCGTGAAAACTCAGCCTAAGCGAATGTGAATTGCTGCAAGCACTTGCTGGCCTATGGGGAAAGCTCATCATGAGTTACAATGGGCTTTTGTTTAATGTGGAAAGAAGCGCGACTATGCTCAAAAATTGATATCATTGTATGATGAAATACACAACTCTGAAAATACAGCAGGAGAAAATTTGAAGATGCGCAAGTACAGCTCCTTGGACAGGTTGAAATCTAAACCGATTCTGCCTTTGTGGCTGGGAATTCGTGAGTGGAGGATTCTGGGTGTTCTAGAACACACCGAGCATTTGCTGAAGAGGAAGTAACGAGGCCTTGTCGGATATCGACCAGGGTCTTGGCCAGCGTCGCTTAATCTCAACAAGTTTCAGTTTCTCTCTCCCAATACTCTTTAACGACATATAAACACGACAATTTTACTCAGGCGGGTTGGAGATTCTTCTACTATACCTTTTGGGATAGATACATGATTGTTGAACCCGAGCTTAGAGGAATACATGGCATACCTCGTCCATACATAATCAGCACGCATTCGAGTGAGCGATACTATTCGTACCTATTCTATGACATCTCTCACAAAACCTACCTGTAACCTCCATTGATTCGCCCAGAAGTTTCTTTTCGGAGTAGCCCTGTCTGACACGGAAGAAGTTTATGCTCAGCAAAAGTGCTTATCAGCTACTTTAATTAAAGTCTGCCAAGGCGTCAAAACACCTGATAATTCTGGATATGGCAACAAATTCCGATGAATTCCAAATCGAGACTCAAGTCTGTTCTGCATTCTTCGATGTTGAACATGCGTCGGCGATATTTTTCAACGATACGCCGTCAATCACCTCCACTTTGTCAATTTTCACCCTCTCGCCATAATATCTCCTACAGCCAACCTCCCGGCATCTTCTGTTGTGGTGAATCGCTATGGTCATTGCCCCCAGGAGAAAGGTTATGATAGCCAGCGTAACTAGACCGACGATAATTGCTGCAACGTCCTCGTCGCTGATGGAATGTCTAGGGCGTTTCCCAATGCATGGCACACAGGTAGAAGTAACGGGTGTATTGGTTGTCGATGTGATGTTGGCCATAACTTCAATCATACGGATTTGGAATCGGATCAAGACTTCTACCAAATCAGTCAGCAAGGGGAAACTTTCAAGGAATGGAAAGAAGTTCTTGGTAGCCGACTCACTTGATTGATAAATGGTGTTGGCAGTGGAATTATATGCATTCAATTTACCTTTTCCAAGGATTTAAGGTTTGGAAGGAATAAATCATCGATTGGGTTCTTTTGTGCGGTCTACGCTAGACTTGAGCCGGTCCATCCGATCCGCGTGCGGGCTACAGCTGTTGCCAAACCTAAGTTAGTTAGAAACCACGGGACTGATTTGCGGAATTTATGACTTCCATGTACACGGACTTTTGCAGCCCAGTTCGTTAGTAACCAAGTTCCACCCCTTCCCGTACTCTCCGTCCTTCCCATCTCATCTCCAGTTCCTCTTCTTGGCTCGCGCCAATCTTGTATTTTTGTATTACCTTATCTGAGGTTGACTGACTGGTAGCAGATATCCCTTCCCAATAGCTATAGGGAATGAAATGCTTTAGAATATATTTGAAAGGAGGGGAGGGACTGTGTCGTTTTTCCTTGTTTGAGACTACCATGCTTGAATTGTGGGTGGAAATAATAAACAGAGCTGAAGTGGATGAAGTATAAAGAGAGAGAGGAGTAGAGAGATTTACTTCTCATTGGATAATATAGCCAAACAAACTATTAATGGGAGAAAGGTATTACTTCACAAGTCGGAAGCCCTCCTAGAAAACCAAGAACGCAAGCTAGTCCATTCAGTTCATTGAATTCCAGTGCTCCAACTTAACAAGTCCTGCTCTCTCTCCCTTGTGCCCCTCATCCACCACAAGCAAAATCGACGCAAGTTCGTAAGCCACGCAAAACGCATCGAGTAGGTATTCATTTCCATTTCATATTTCATATCTCATATTCCCATCCCAAACGCCCTTCCCTCCCTCTCCTCATCCCTCCTATCTCCCTTATCTCATTCATCCTCTCCTCACCCCTAACCCCTCCTATTCCGTCTCCCCAACCATCAGGCAATCTCTACCCTCCCCTCGCTGAAGCGCAAACCAAATCAAAATCTAAGCAGCAACAACCTCCACACTCCTACTCTCACCATCCGCCTCCCCAGTATTAACCTTCTTCCCCGTCTTCGCAATCGTAGCAAGGACTTTATCGTAGGAGAGAGAGGGCTCAGTGACGACAGTGGCGGTTTGTGTGTCGAGGGAGACGTCGTAGGATTTTACGCCTAGGAAGGGGGACGGGGCGTTAGCTGGTTGGGAGAAGTGGAATGGAAGATAATGGGGAGGGAGATGATAGGCAGTAAGGAGGGGAGGGGAGGGTTGGAATTGTGGGTAGAGAGGCTGCAGGGAGGATAGAGAAAGACGAAAGAGAGAAAATATCAAATAACATACCTTCCAACTTCCCCAATACTCTGTTAACAGCTCCCGAGCACCCACCACAGCTCATGCTGACGTTGAATTTATAGGTATGGTCTTGTTCTGCCGACATTTTTGATTTTCCTGATCTGTCTCTATTTTGTCCCGATCCTGACTGACGTTGCTATTGGAGGTTTCCGATATGGCGGGGTATTGTGGTTTAAACTTCTTTTGTTCCTTCTTTCTTGCTGGTTTGTCTGTTTGTCTGGTTTATGATTGAGAAATGGCAGAGAGTAAGAGGTACGTGAAAGAGAGAGGTAGAGCCGGGTATTTGTATCGATATGCGTATGTGTATCACTCTGTTGTACGTACGGCAAGCTGTCCTGATATAAGGTGAGGTGAGGTGACGTTGCGCCGATTAGAAATACACCACGCTTAGCACTGAAGGCGTCAGGGCGTTATCAGGAACGGGAGCGCACGGCCGCTAGTGTGGAACGGCCTCGGTTGGGGTGGCAGGGTGGGTGGTGCTTCAGCCTCCCGCGTCTGTCTGGAACTCTGCCGCGTGGTGAAACTTGCTCATCTGATATGAAGATGAGCATGTTTTTTTTTGCTTGTTTTGAGACGGGATGGATACATTAAAGAATGGCTTATGTCTTAGGATATATTAGGGGGGATTTAATGATCTTGTTTAGGTGAGCGGGTTTTGAGGGAGTTTTGCAGGGGCATTGAAAGTGCTATGGTTGATTTGTTCCCAATGGAAGGGAACCTAGGTAGGTAAAGCAGGGGAATGAGATGGTCACGTGTTTAGGCTTTCCACTTGTTGCTAGGTACCTATCGTATCACAAGGTCCTTTTGGAGGAGTGTTTGTATTTGTGTTTTGGTGTGTTATGTGTATGGGGTACAGGATGGAATGAGCCGTTCTAAAAAGGTTCCGGGACGGAACGATGCGATAAGTATTAGTCCTCCTCGTTCAGAACCATATTTGGAACAGTTTTGGGCTCAGATAGAATGATTGAGTGCAAGTAAATAGGATAAACAGTTGTGCTAGTCTTGGTAAAGTGGGTGGAGCATCTGGCAATAAAAGCAAGAAGCAGATTATCACTTTGAAATACGATAAGAATAAAATTGGTCTATCCTCTGACACACCAAAACGAATTACATTTGAACCATACTCTGAAATAGAATATCACTTAACGCATTTGTGAGATGGTGCTCAGTTGAAAATGCCCCTACTGGTGATAGCGTTAGTAAAAAGGGTATCTCGAAAATCGGATAGGTAAGCAAGAAAATCTCCTAACGGAGAACTGAGAAGATCTCAATGATTGGGAGAAATCAACCGCGGTTCAAATTCCGAAATATCACCATTTCAGCACATCGAAAACGAATCCTGTTCGGAGGATTGGGTTGTCTGGTACATTATCTCGTTTATTCGTTTATGCTCTCGTCAATCATATAGGCCTAAACTGCGCAAAGTCCCAACTCCGATATCAAAACTCCTAAGCCCAGCCCAATATTGTACACGACCTCTCCAAAACTTTTCCATAATTTATCTGGGTGCTTGTCTCCAGAAATCTCTCTGCCAAGCATCACGAGCAGCCCGAGCAATTTTCTCACCAACATACTCGTATCCGACGAATATCTCTAAGCACTCAGGGACTTCTGAATCCGGATGTTCATGCTCTTCATCGAGATCATCATCATCACAAGCACCGAGAATGACCTTGCACAGCTTCAAAGATGTCCAGGCATCATGTGGATATTCTTGTATGATGAGCGTGTCGATTTGGTGGAGCAATTTGCCGACCGTAATTTGGTCCGTGTCGAGTAGGAGCCCTCTAGTGTGATACTCCTCGTGCTTTTCCTCTTCCTCTTTCTCCCCCATGTCAACAACCTCACCACCCGATTCTGCGCTGCCGATGCTCTCCAATCCATCTTGCTCAACTTCCACGTCCAAGCTGTGCAACCAAACAACAAGGACCCTTGTTCTTCCATTTTTCTCTACCGGCAGATTGAGTTGAGCGCCTAGAAGCGCCAACGCCGTCTCCGCTCCCTCAACGAACTCCACGTCCATGCTATCCACCCCACCATGTCCACCCTCACCCTCCGCAACAGCAACTCCATAACCATCCCCAGCAGCATTAGCAGCAATACCGTCCCTAACATTCTGCTCCCAGACCCATCCAGCAACCCAATCTGCATCCGTGACCTTGAAATTCCGCACCCTATAACTAGTCACATCTCTCCGCTCTCCACCTTCCTTAACTCGCTGCAACCCCACCTCCGCCAGCTCCGCCGAAGTCAACCCTTCATAGAAATCTCTACGCGGTTTCGCCACTCGACCTTTGGTATCCCAGAGATTGCTGGCCCGTTCGTATCTGCCTCTCAGGCTAAGTCGGAGGATGAGGCGGAGCTGTCGGTCGGTGAGGTTCTCACCTGTGCCGTGCGAGGGGATCGTTGCGACTATTTCATTGTCCAGGAACGGGATTGTTGATCATGGTAAGTTTTGCGTATTTTCCTAGTGGTGCGCCGGCTTGGGAGTTGGAACGCTTGGGAGGAGGGGTGGTTTCCCTGCTTACCAGTAATGCCTCGGGCGAGAGGCACGGGTGAATATGAAGAGTGCATTTCTTTAACGCGAGCTCTTCGCTGCGTGTTTAATTCGAAACCTCCTGGGATGTCTAGAAGCGTCTGAAGTGCTTTGAGGTGGCTGACATGTCAACGTTGTTGTTGTGGGATATCTGAAGCTGTTTGCGCACGTCATTGGGCGACTTCGAAGAACGACAGAACCCAGGTGCTCTGAAGAAGGAGAAGACGCTTGATTGGCGGGGTATGAAAGTCTTTGAAAGCATTTACCGAAGCGAAAAGGCGCACGCTAGTTCTTTTCCCTTCTATTGAATGAATCCGGTGCAGAACAACAGGGATGCGGGGACTTCTATCACGCTTGAATCCCAGGCAACGTCCATATTCTGAAGTGCGCATGCACCACTCGAAACATCCAAGCTCATTCAGATATAGTAACCATTAACCCAATCTGAGTCGATGTTTTATTAACACTGGTAGACCGGACAATGAAATTGAGCGACTTTTGTTTACATTTGTTTCGCTTACCACTAGCGCGACTCAATGTCGCGGGGCTTAGAGTCATACTCCGTCGTCAGGCTTTCACAAGCATCTGAAACATTTTTTGAAAAGCATTGAAAGAGTGGATGTCAAGTGGAAACATCAAGAACCAACGAAAGGAGGCTCGGAGAAGGAGGCTCGTAGAGGACATTAAATGGTGGCTTTCGCCCAGGGCCACTTTCGTGGCCGCTTTAACCTGGCGCAGGTACATCCGCGGGAGTGTCATCTTTCAGCATAATCCATTTGGTGAATATCTGGTTATATAATCGGTATTGAGAATAGGGTAAACTATACTGGGTACCGCACATACCAAAGCGTGATCATATCGTGACGCAATAGAGAAGTACTGGCTCGTAAGGCAGCTGATAGATGCAATCAAAGTGATCTGTTGGTGAAATCAACGCTAGGATTGCAATGTCTCGCAGAAAGCTTCATCAGTAATGCTTCAAGAGACCATTTTTGATATTTATAACTCACCCTCGCAATCTTTGTCCAAGTTCTAAACCTAGCGCCATGGAATCGACCGGTTAGCTACAGACGGCGTCAATGCAGCTCAAAAGTCTCCAACTCTAACTCCCCATTCTCTAACATCTCCATAGCCTTTCCGTACATGTATCCATCAACATATGCTTCTCCAATGACGACGAAGTGGTTGTCGACTTTTCGAAAAATCATTGGCTGAGGACATCCGAGAGGAACGCAGATAATGTCGCCTGTTTCAACGCCTTCAATTGCTAGACCCATGATGTTGGAGGTTCCGAGAAAGAAGCGGCGACCCCTGATAATTGCTGACGATTTGTGTATCCAAGATTTGGTCACATGTCTCATAGCATCCTCTCCAGAGCTAAAACCTTGGGATTCGCAGACTTCTCGATATTGTTGCAACATCCAAGAACGAGCACTTGCAAGCTCCGAATCAATCTTCTTTTTCGACAGGCTGTCAAAGAGTGAGTCGCCAAATCTCCCCACCACGGATCTACAAATATCTTCTCTACTTTTCCAACCATGGTTGAGTCGATCTACGAGTTTGTCACATATCAGGGTCCGACCAAAGCGTTCCTGTTGCTGTGGTCCGCGGTTACCAGTTGTGCCTAGGAGAGCCCACCAACTCAAAAATGCACACTTCGCATTGTCTAGATCATTCATGTCCTTCATTGCGGGGCTCTCACCGACGCTCTCGACTTTCCCCACTACAACACCCTTCAATATCAAGGCATCTCCAAGATCATCGACCCGGACATCACCAATACTTGACCCTGCAGCCGAATAGCGGTAGTTTGGGGTACTGATATCCCACAAACATTCATGGCTATTTCCTCGTGACCAGTCTGGCACCCACGAAGGAAGACCAGGAAGTTTCGAGCCGCATCGAGCCGTCGTAAGAATCTCTAGTGTTGTGCAATGCTGGAACTCTTTCTTTGCGAGGTCATGGTATATTTCCGCTGTGCTCAGAGAGTAATCGACGTTGATCTGATATTTGCTCCTGGAATTTGCAAGGGCAGCAGCGCCGTATATCATGTCTCTAGGATCCGTAGCTATGCGCATCCAATTAAATCGCAGGCACTGGAAAAAGCTGAGATCTTTTGCTGCGAATGCTTTTTGGAACAGTCTGATATCATTTAGACCCCGGTATCCCAACAGCAATCCAAGAGTGGCCATGCGAGGCAGCAGATTGAATAAATGATTGCACTCGAAGCCCGAATCTCCGATTGCCATTGCTCTGAATAGTCTTTGTGTTTCGTCAAAAGCTTCTGCTTTCAATGTGTCACGGCCGCATTGTAAACAAATATGTTTGGCGCTGACTAGTTCCTGAAGAATCCACATGCGCATCCAATAATCGCGACTGAAGAGGGCGGAAAGTGCCAATACTGACTGCCTCGTTTCATCGTGCGAAAATATATGAGCAATTCGTTGCACATTGTCTCGACAATCGTACATCTCCTGCATGAGGTCGAATGCAAGATGACTGTTCTCGTAACTTGGACCGAGCCAGAGGACAACTAGTGTGGCTTGTTCGTAGATGGTCTTCATCTTCGCAACCTGTTCATTGCGCTCAACTTCATCTGCTTGATTGATGCAGAGTGCATCGATCCATATGATGACTGGTTTCGGCTGGGTGTGGAATTCCTTCAGTGCGAGCCATAGAGTTTTTCGCACGGAGATGGTTTGGCCATTCAAAAAGATAGGATGTTGAGGGTCAACCGGACTTCCCCATGTGTATGACAGGGCCTGGTATGGCGGAGCTTGATCCATGGTCACGTGAAATACTTCGCAATAGACTTCGGCAGCTCCCATGTCTACATTGGTATGCGCATAGGTCAAAGTCAAACTCTCCAGTATGGAGCCAGCAGAACCATCAGTACCCCTGGCAATGCAGTCCTCGTCGCTATGATTCTGGCCTTTTCCTGGCGTTTTGGGGAGATAATTCTTCGGGAGGATTCGAAGAAGCCGGATCTCACTCTTGGGTTCCATGAGTGGGTCATAATGGAAGGGCTGGTAATTCCTCAAGTTAATTACATGATTTCTTTATAATCAAGGAAAAGAATACCTGTGTTGTCGATGGCTGGGGGGCTGAGGCCAAATCAGCATCGAAAGTTTCTGAGCGTGGGGACATGACCCTTGTGAATGGAGCCTCGGATACGACGGAGAACCAGGATGTGAAGTAGGGGAGATGATATGCGGAATTAACCCAGAAATTTCCAAGTCTATATTATTTAAAGATAGCCCCGGATGTTAAAGTGTCAGGAAGTTGTGTTTGCCCTGGGGGGCTTCACCCAAGCCAGATCAACGTGTGCTGATACGAGGCGGCTAGGTGCCTATCACCAGTAGTAAGCGCTTGGGCGATTACGCAGCATGATGTCATACTGTCATACTGTCACAATTGCCGTGGACTACCAACTCTACTCTCCCCCCCCCCCCCCCCCCCCCCGGCTTGAATGTTAAATGTGTAGAAAACTGGACCTCGTGTGGGTAGCTACTAGGGGTGTCTATCCAATAATTCAGTAGAGAATCAGCCTTAAGTAAGGCTCAGGTGTCTCTCGAACCTTCTAAAGGCACCCTCGCTATTATAACAGGCCTGATCCTGGCTCGTGCTTCTGGCTGTATTCAGGGCCGCTGACCATTCAGTACTTGAAATCTAGGCCTCCGACCCGCAAAAGTTCACATTTAACATTCAAGCCGGGGGGGGGGAGAGTAGGTAGATGCTATTTGACACATAGCCAGGCAAGATTTGTGTTGGATGAACGCCACCACGAGTGTTCATACAAACAACCACAAGCGAGAAGCTCTGCCGATGCAGAGCAAGCATGGTGCATCACGTGATACCCCTCAACTGCTGCTGGAGAACATTGGGTGTCAATAGGTACTTAATAACATAGGAATCGTGTTGGGTTGATGTGCTCACTACTCCTGTCAATAGACCGCACAAATATACCTAAAAGGCTCGCTGGCCCTACACGTGTGACTCGCTTAAGCCCCTGACAAAGGTTTAAAGTCTGCCGGCATGATCGGCTTTCCCCACTTACTGTACACTGCCCGAACTCTACGTCTCCTGTTACGGAGGTATGCACCCTGTTCTAAACCATGATTACTGACATCCCTCTCGGCCGCTTTCTATGAACAGCGAGGTCCAGGGATCTTGGGTGAACCCCCGTATCCACCTCCTGCCCAGAGTGGCAGTGAGCATGCAGACCGGGAAATGCCATGCGATACGACTTCATTTACACCTGAACATAAACACCTCATTTGCGTCAAGGTTTGATTGCGTATCAAGGCGAATTAAAGTTTTTCCAGAAAGCAAATCATCAAAGGCCGAAGCGCCGGCACTCAAATCTGTTCGTGGTATAAAGTTGAACGATTTCCTGTTTTTGTTTGGGCTTTTGGCTTCTCTCCTCAGGGACTTGTTCTCAATTGCACTCATTTCTTCTTCTTTCACTTATAAAACAATAATTTTCTCGGTGTCTGTAATTCGCATCTCTCCGTCAACATGAAGCTGTCCATTGCTTCTAGCCTCAGCTTGGGGCTGTCCGCATTGCAGCTGGCCAGCGCCAGATATGTGATGTATGTCGACCAGTAAGTTTTCTCCCGCTCGAAACAGCCAATCAAGGGACTCATTTTATCAGATACCATCTTACCGACCTACCAAGCCGGGAGGTTGCAGCTGGAATCGATACCGTCATCATGGCCTTCGCAAACTCCTCCCTGTTTGTTTCGCCAGCTGGAAACTACACTCCATTTGAACCAGTCAGCACAATGAGATCTCGATTTGACGCCGGCACCAAGGTCATGATTGCGCTTGGTGGATGGGCGGATACAGACGGTTTCTCTGCAGGAGCTGCAACTGAGGAATCGCGCACTGACTTCGCCAAGAACGTCGCCAATATGGTCAACACTTTGGGTTTCGACGGGGTGGACATCGATTGGGAATATCCCGGTGGCAACGGAGCAGACTACAAACAGAAGCCAAACTCTGGCAAAGTCGATCAGATCAACACGTTCCCGCTCCTCCTGGCTGCAATCAGAAGCGCTATCGGCCCTCGGAAACTGCTGTCAATCGCTGTTCCAGGACTCGAGAGGGATATGATTGCATACACTGCCGAGAAAGCACCAAGCATTTGGGCGCCCCTTGACTTTGTCAACGTTATGACCTACGACTTGATGAATCGCCGCGACAGCATCACCAAGCACCACTCTGATATCAAGGGCTCACTCGCAGCAGTGGAGCATTACCTTAACGTCCTTGCTCTCCCACCACCAAAGGCCAACCTTGGATTTGCATTCTATGCCAAGTACTTCACCACCGATCCCGCATTCCCCTGCGAGAATGGGTTGGGATGCACCACTGTTCTTCTTGAGGATGCTCAGGGAGCTGACACTGGTAAGAGTGCGGCCATGACATTCGAGGCTGCCAACTACGCATCTGCATCAGCCAACCTCACCGAAAGCCCAGACGGATCTTGTGGTGCAGCAGCCGGACATTACTGCACCCCAGGAAACTGCTGCAGTCCTTTTGGATTCTGCGGTGCCACCACTGCCCATTGCACGAACTGCCAGGCGGAGTATGGAAAGTGCGCTACCACATCCATCACCAAGCTTTTCCAAAACGCCATGGCGAACGGCACAACTGATCAGGCTGCTGGTGGAGAATACCATTACGACAAGAGCAACAACCTCTTCTGGTCTTGGGATACTCCCGAGTTGATCGCTAAGAAGTTTGATCAGATTGTCAAGGCGAAGGGGCTCGGTGGTGTGATGGCTTGGAGTGCTGGTGAGGATAGCCATGACTGGAGCCATATCCTGGCTCTTCAGGCTGGTGTCAAGAACTTGTTCGCAGGTACCAAGCCAATGCCAACGTCCGCTCCTGCTGCTCCCCCCTCACTACCTGCTGGTGGCAAGTCGTCAATGTCCACTAGTTACACAAAATCGTCTGCTGGTGCCGCGCCAACCGGTTCTGATGATTCTTGCGAAGAATAGATACAACGTCATGTAAGCCTTAGCTGTTCTCAGTCAATATATAACTACTGCTTGCTAGAGTAGAAATAAACAGCGTCAGGATACAGCCTTAATTTTGTGACATATATTGCCTGTTGAGGACCAAAGTGAGCTCAACCGTTGAAATTCGACGCCTAGTGATTTATCGTGACAGAAGCATGTTGGAAATCCTGTCTCGAAGCTGTTATTCGGAATGTCTATTGTCGTAATGGGAACTTAGCTGCAACGTTCACGCATACGTTGGTAGAGCTGGAGAACATCGGTCAGTGCGGAAGAGCGTGTTTTGTTGTGGAGGATGTTGTACCTGACAGATGATGGGGACATAATGTTGAGTGTAGATTGTTCTTCGGTACGGCGATATGTCTGAGAAACACGTACAGTCCTCCAGGAGACCCAGAATGAGACCCAGACCGAGGGAACAAAGTCGCAAAGGATAGGAGACATCACAGGATACTTTGTCACGAAGAACGTCGATGAGGTTTCGCCGAGTCGATGTCATCAAAAAGGGGTTTTAATTTCAAATCAAAGCTATCTTCGGTATAACTAGGTTGAGCTGCCAAGTACATCCCAAACGCCCTATCTCCATCCCCAAGACTCTATTTGCCATTGAAGTCACGCTGAACTACCATATTCCGCTCCAACACCTGCCTCGCCCATTCATCTCTGCCGCCCACCACTCCATCTCCCCAGATATTGCCTCTCCATATCATCCTCCCTCTCCACCACCAAATCATCCGCCCTCCCAACTACATTCTTCAAATCATGCTCTTCAGCATCCTCTTCCCCACCCATCAAAGTCTGATCCGAATCCCTTGCTCTCTTACCTATCCTCTCCCCTTCACTCTCAATACTATCCGTCATAGACTCTCCCGGACTAGTTTGTCCCAGCCCCACCTCAAGGATATCCATTCTTCCAGCTTTAATAACAAACCCTGTCTCGAACCTCGGCGCTGGTTTCGGATTCCGTCCTTGCTGATTCTGATCCTGAGGTGTCGCGACCCGAGGAGAAGCAGACGGTGATGGAGACTGTGACAAAGATGGCGAGGCATGGTTGAACTTCGCTTCTCTTTGGACAATCTCCGCAGCGCCTAAACCCAAACCTGGAGTCAACCCCCCTTTGACGAGAGATTGAAGCTGATTCAGAACGATGAATTCAAGCTTGAGTTTGATGGAGTAGACGAGTGGATGGAGCGTGCATTTCAGCGTGAATTTATCCGTGTAATCGAACAGCGTCAACACCGCATCAAGCGCAATGACAAGAAGTTGAACAATCAGGAGGAGCCCGATCACTTTGCGAGTCTGCAATGGATATCCGATCTTGAGGAATTTGCGGGTGTGGTAGATATATAGGCATGACATGGCAGTTTCTTGCAGTGTGAAGACAGTTTGTTGGATCCGCTCCATGATTTGCATGGGTCGGTAATACGTATCATGATGTCTCGTCATGAGTCCAAATTCAAAAACCACAACAGGCGTATGGCAAACCAATCCATCAACAAGTATTATCACGAGTAGCCATTTCAGGATCCTCGGACTTCGAACCACGAGATGGAGACGTGACCAAAGCACGATGGAAAATCCAGTTACGTTCGCCACCCACCCGATTTTGCAGATAATGGCAACTAGCACGACAGGCCAGCTGTTCTCGAACGATTTGAGGATGTAGCCGGTGGTTTGGAGTATGATTCCGAGGGTGGTGATGATGATGGACCAGAAGTAGATTCCGGTGTGGCGTTTGAAGGTTACGTAGACGAGGAGGAGGAGTTCGATGCTCATCCAGTATGCGACTGCGCAGACGGAGGCGATGAGGCAGAACGCTGTTGGGCTTTGATTTTTGATGTTAGTCGGTGGTGAAGTGTTGATGATGAGGGGGGACTTACTTCCAGGGGAGCCAACCTTGGCGAGCGAATGTCCAGTCATAGTGAGAGAAGGGAACGAATTGGACGCAATCTTGATCCATGATGAGTATTTGAGTGTTGCAGTACTAATATACTGATTGTTGTGAGATGCTTTGGAGTAACGAGAGAAGTGCTTTGCATCGAGGAAATTGAACAGTCAGCGAAATGTGTTCAGCTATATGAAGCATTTCTTCGCCGTGTAACACATTCCAGTATCCTATGAGCAGCCCCCATACCCGCAGCACACAAGCTCTTGGACTTATCGTGAAAGACCATCAAAGTCATGTATAGCTCCACAAGACAACACACTTCCCTGCCCACAGGGCTGAAAATGGCTGTCAGGCGTCCCAGTAGATGCAGAGCACGTAATCTGTGGAACTTCAATTTTCCATCTCAACGTCCTTTTGAGGATATAAATCGAGCAACACCCTTGTTACGATAGGTGGGTCGAGGCTGGAGTGCATGCCAAGAAGCTGATTAACACACCCTGCAGCTACGTTTTCTTCTTTACCGAGACTCGCGGATGGATGACTATGCATGCGCATTGCAGACGGGAGTAGATTTGACGGAATCAGGTAGCCACTAGAAATGGGCTTTTGCTGCGAGAGATCGAGAATCGGTACCCGGTCGTGTGGGTACAACGTGCACTGCCTGACTCGGCTGCGAGTTTGGCTATCCCCGCTCTGGTCTTGACATGGCTAGGGTAGTCTTGCTGCATGGAAGAAACTTTATCTTTTGATTGGATTTCTCGAATCGCTGTATCGCCGAATGATTGCTATTTCCCATTTGGGAGAAGGGTGGAATAACTGCTCCTTGGGATTGATGCTTCCGAAGCCCCGGATGGCAGACTTTCGCTCGCTAACGCCAAGCGAGGACTGAATACAAACAAAACTGCATCCTTCCAAATTCCATGACATGACATGTCATTTCTGCACCCGACAGAACTGAGAAGATCATCTCTTCCTACCCGCAAGACATCCATCTACCAGCCCTACCAAGCGTGGCGAAGCTTACTTCACGGAAGAAGCCAGCTTATTTCAGAACGCCGCCAAGCATCACGATGAGTAGACAGCTGAGTAAGGAAAGCTAAAATGCACTTCATTCTTACGTCTGTACGACATCCTCACCAGAATCAGCTGTATGCGCCTAGAAACCAAAAGGTCGGTATCGTCTTCTTCTCTGACTGTGTTGTCGGGGTTCGCTCCGAATGACTGCAGGGTGAGGATAAGCGATAGGGACTTCTGTTATTTGTTTTTGGGCCCCGTTGAGGGTGAGAAGTTGATGTTTTCAAAAGGGCCGGTTATAGTAATAATATGATTTAATGGAGACTTCAAAAGTGCAAGTTACCTCAGCCACCACTGAGTAGCTGAGAGGATTTAAGATCAATTGAAGGAACTTAGTTGACCGTGGCCACCCCACTATTGAGAGAGAGCTACAGATGAGCAACCCTGCAAGCCCTGCCTCTCCCCTCGCTTAGTGATAAAACTCCCCACCTCCAAAAAGAAACAGCGCACTACCAGTATTATGGAGTGAAATTACGACTTCAACACACATCTCATGTGATTCTCATCCAACTTGGCGGAGTGGTTAACGCGTCAGACTTGAAATCTGATTCCCTCGGGAGCGTAGGTTCAAATCCTGCAGTTGGAGTTCACTTGATTATATTTTTTCTTTTGCTTTTGCTGTTGCTGTCTTGTTAGAAAAGTCAGCGTAAACTTTTTCCTTTTCTCTTTTGTATTTGGTTGAGCAGATCGCTGATGAAAAAATATTAAATAGTTCATTTCTCTTTCCTGATATAGCAAAACATAAACAAACAAGACTGTACGTAGAAGTCGGATGTCGCTTGAATATTTTTACAGCAGGTCAGCCCGTCCTCCAATGGCGGTCCAAGATACCTTACAGGAGAAAGCAGGTTCCGACCCACCGTGGGAGGTGCACTTTCCTAAAATAACGACCTCTCAACTGCTAAGAATTTCTTATCACTATCAATTGACTGTTAATTGATAGTTACTAGAATTTTGTAACAGTAATATGATTATTATTCTACGAAAGTGCCCCTCCTACAGTGGGTCGGAGCCTGCTTTTTCCCTTCAAGGTAGCATCTTCACTTTTCTGACTGACTCAGAACGAGGCTGGAATCAACCAACCAGAAGCGACCCCACCACATCGGGCCTGAAATGGAAAACTCAAACAAGCAAAAAAAAGAACCCATTGTACATTATCCATCCCCTCTATCTATCTCCAAGCCCTACCTTATTCTATCAATCTACCTCCTGCCAATCCCCCCTCTCTGCTTACAAAAACTAAACAAAACTCAAAAAATATGGTTAATCGCTCGCACTCCAGCTGGGGCTCGAACCCAGAGCCTCAAGATTAGAAGTCTTGCGCGCTACCATTGCGCCACTGGAGCTATGCATAAGCTGAAACCCAGAACAGGGATTAAATCTGCTGGTTCATGTCGGATTTCTGCTTATTTGGTTATTTATTATGCAGAGGAGAATTTTTCGAAATTGATCCACTATGCGAGCAGAGTTTTCGTCGAATGCATCACGTGTAAATAATAGGTCTGTTGGGCTGGAAATTGGAGGATCCATGGGGCGGTGATTGAAGGATTTCTGCGGGGGAATGGGTAGTGGCCTGCGAGCGTTCTGAGAAGAGGTATTGAAATGGAAAGTGATGTATTTTTGGTGCTGGAGAATTGATGTGTTTTTCAAGATCTCGCGTATTGTACTGCATCTTCGCTACCCACCAAGGTAGGTAGGTACTTCGACTTCTGCATTACCGGAATCCCTGGATGTTCTGTCAAAGGCTGTGAAATAACATCGTAGGTTTATTTTCCAGACTTTGGCAGTCAGTCAGATCTGTTTTACTTGTTACCTAACAAAGTTCTCTAGTTTAAGCCTATCTCCTCACTCGCGTCTGGATGCACCGAGTCAACAAAAGGAGAGCTTCCCTAATAAAAATGGCAATTGAAATCTAGCTATAATGTCTCACAACAAGCTTCCTGAATTTGACTGATGGTATATACAGCAACATGAAATTCCAGCTCTGCTCGTTTCGGCTTGATGGGTCCCGAAAAAGAAAGGATACTGAAGATATTCTGTCCCTGCCCAATTCCCCCTCACTTTCAAAGACGTCCTTTCCCTCCGTGTTTCGCATAGTCTTACATCCCTCGAATCTTGTGTATGCAGGCGATGAGTATGTAAACCAAAAATTGATTAACGACAAAGTTGAACCACTAGCACAGAGGTCATGATGTATATTTTTAATTTTTAATTTTAATAGATAGACTCGGATTGGTTCCAACATGGACAGGGGAGAAATCAAAAGAACCGTGCGACCAGCGGGACTTTCTCTGGCGATGATTACATCGGATCAAATATTACTGATTATTTTGATTATTGATTATTTACATGCCTACAAATGGAAGAGTACATGTCCGAGATGCTGTAACCATTGGACTTGATACCAGAACAGGCGATACCACGACTCAATATCTTCTCACAGCAGTACATCCCTCGAATCTAGAAACCCAGAATCCAAGAATCAGCACTCTTTTTTCTTCAGCATAGGCACTCAACAGCCCTCGCCCCTTCCAGATCCACAGAATCCTACTCACCCACTCGGGATCCCCTTTTCTTTCCCCCAGTCTCATCAACAGGATCTTCAAAAAAGACCCTCACACCTCCAACTCCCCTCCACATCCCCATCCCCCACCCCATCCCAAACCGCCCTCTCGGGAAACGGACACACCTTCCTCTGCCTCCTAACCCCCTTCCGCACATCATCATCCACAAACTTCGTCGCCACCATCTCCCTCGGCTCCACCCCCTCCTCCACCCACCTCATCACCGCTTTCAAAACATCGTACCGCGCTGCATCACAACCATTCGAAGTTTCAAAGCCCGGGACACCCGTCACGGTATCTCCTAATGCAAAGGCTTGCCCGCCGCCGTTGATGTACCATGGTGCGTCGCCGGTGGAGCGACTACAGTGGAGCATGCCGGGGATGAGGTAGAGTTTGTAGAAATGTGAGATTGGGTTGCTGGGTTTTGTTGTTGAGGGGGTGAGTGTATTCAAGACCTGATTGTAAAAATACAAGCTTGAGCCCGCTGGAATCAAGCCATCGCTCAGTCCGTGATAATGGATCAATTTCCCGCCTCGAGAAGCGAATGGTGAGATGTCGAAATCATCTGCGTTGGCGCGACCAGGGTTGAGATTGTCGCCTAGATGCACGGTGGAGATGTTCCAGTTTGAGGGGGAGGACCAGTTGTATACTTGTGAGGTGGTGGAAGAGAGGTTGAGGACCATGTTGGATACCCAGGATGTGCCGTAGGAGCTGGGGATACCGGAATCGGTGTTGAGTAGGAAGGGAGACTGAGATTCGCTACCCAGGGGGAAGGAGGGAAAGAGCAGGTTATTGTCGGAATCGGTCCAGTCATGATAGAATTTATAGAGAGTCTTAAGCTGAGGAGCTGTGAGGCAGGTTGATGTATTTCGACCTGGTGTACAGAGCAGGACGGAGGGGTCAAACTCGCAGGAATATGGGGATTGGATTATTCCATCGGTGAGGCCATCTTGAGAATCACATTGCCGCAAGACTTCTTTTGCGATGATAGGGAAGAGGTGTGAGGGGATATGTGTTGGGCTGTCCACGGGAAGATTCCACAGCCCAACTTGCAAACTCCATGGTTGCAAACGAGACGTCCACCATGCCGGAGCAGCAGCAACAACACCATCAAAATCCTCAGGAAACATCTGAATCTCTTTCAACCCTTGTCGGCCCCCGGTTGAACAGGCTGAGTAGTAGCTATATCTGATCTTCCTCCCGTAATAGCCTTCTGTGAGGAGTTTGCCGAGGACGACGGACCCGTGCATGGCGCGGTATCCCCAGTCTGTTTGCGTCTCGGGGTTGTTCAACGCCCATGAGGCGTCGCCGCTTGCTGAGAGGTGACCTGTATCTGTGGACATTCCGACGAATCCTGAGAGTGCGGATGTGCCCATGTCGTTCCAGTTGATGCCGCCGCCGAACCCGCCATTTCCAGAGGCGAGAAAGCGGGTGTTCCATTCTGTGGGGAGGAAGAGCCCGAAGTTGTAGGATGAACTTGGGGAGGAGACGACATTGATTGCTACGGCGCAGAGCTCTGGTAGTCCGGTGTTGGGGAGAGGGAATGCTGGGGAGGGTTTGGACCATGTTCCGTTCTTAGGGACTGGGACGGTGTAGGTTATTGTTGCGTGAGAAGTTGGAGGGAGGAGTGAGGCGAGAGCTGAAGGAGAACATTCTAGTGGATGGACGGTCGCATTGCCGAAGCTTGTGGAGAGGAAGAGAAGGGATTGAAGGTTTGAGGTGAAGGATGAGAACCAGGTTTTGTTTTTGGGAGAGGACAACATCTCGGTTGTGTGACCCCACGTTCCAAACAAGAGAATGGAAACCCAAGATGACAGTGAGAGTTTGAGGACGTGCATTGTGGACGGAAAATAAGGTTGTAATTCATAAATAAACAATACTTTCAAACTACAGCTGCCGTCTATACATGCCGTAAGGATCGATGGAGTAAATAAAATACCAATAGTGATGTGATGGGGGAAGATCGTTCCTGGCGGGGTAAAGATGAGATGCCCTTGAATTTGCGGGGTTGTGGGGCAAGAAAACACATCTTGACCTCAACCTTGTTATATCGGACATCCCCCGTAACATTCATATAGCGGAGATCTGCCTATATGATATGCTAATCAGAGCTATGAGGTCATTCGTTTTGATGTGCTTCGTAATTGGTTCTTGACGACTCCTAAATGTAGGTGTGGTGAGTAGAGGCTGAGGACATGGGAAGCCTAGACTCGGCAATTCCGAGTTAGAATTGCCAGAGAACTAGAGGACAAACATGCGAGACTTCGAGATTATGTGGACGTCGAAGTGAAATTATGAACGGAACATTTGAAATAGTGATCGGCCTTCTAGACATGTACTTCGCCATCCAAGGTCTACATACAAGACCTCTAGATCAGAGAGATTGTCCCGTCACCAATAGAATTCTTGATCGAGGAATTGGTCATTAAACTCTATATATCGTCTTGTATACATCTTTTTCACTTTTTCTCCTGCTCTGGTACCTGTGTGATGAGCTTTCCCTTCTTGACTGCAGTTTCGATATTTTCCAAGACAAGCAATTCCATATTTTTCTGTCAAAATATTAATAAATATACCTTTCCAAGAAATATGAAAAATAATGAGAGAGAACATACCTGTGTCTCTACTGTTCCGGTTCCGATATGAGGCAACAAAACCACATTTGGGTTCTTCAACAAACCCTCATTAATCTTTGGCTCCTCCTCGTACACATCCAATCCCGCACTCCACACCTTACCCTCCTCCAAAGCATCCACCAGCGCCTGCTCGTCCACCAACTTTCCTCTCGCAGTATTGACAAACACCACCCCCTTCTTCATCAGCGCAAACTCCTTCTTCCCAATAATGCCCACCGTCTCCTTTCTTAGACTGCAGTTCAAACTCAAGACATCCGCGCTCTTCAACAGCTCTTCAAAAGATACGTATTTGGCATTGAGGGACGCTTCGATTTCTGGGGAGAGCTGGGAGCGATTATGGTAGTAGATGGTCATTCCGAAAGCTTTTCCTCGGGCAGCGACTTCGCGACCGATGCCACCCATGCCGAGGATACCGAGGATCTTGTTCTGGGGATCGTGGCCGAGTTGGAAGGAGGATCCACGCCATTGGGAGGAGCGGACGGAGGTGTAGGGGGAGTGGATGCGGCGGAGGGCGCCGAGCATGAGGAAGATGGCGATGTCGGCTGTGGCGGAGTTGACTGCTACGGGGGTGGAGGAGACGGAGATTTCTGAAGGAAGGAATTAGTTACGTGCTGAGAGAAGGGGTGGAAGTGATGTTGGGTGGGAGGGTATTGTGAGGGTGGTGTGGGCAAGATTGGGAGGGAGAGTGGGCTGGAGAGGACTGACTTTTGTTTGTGCATGCTTCTACGTCGATATTGTCGTATCCCGCACCATTGTGACAGATATACTTCAAGCTCGCAGGTAGTTTACTCACGAGTTCTTGATCGAAAGGTCCCGTAATCTGGACATCTTGTCAGCCTCTTCTTTCTCTCTCTCACTAGCTTCAGGTATTGCCATAGCGTTCGTCCGGGGAAACTCACACTCGTAGATTCATTACTTCTGTACAACGCGACGACATCGTCATAGCTCCCACTTTCTAGCTCTTTGAAGAAATCCGCGCGGGTTTTCGAGCCTGCAAATTCCTGCTGATGCATTAGCAAGCGGAAAATTCATGGGAGCTGCAGAGAGGTGTACCTTCAGTGTTGCGAAGCTGGAGAATTCGGACCATTCTTTCTTGCTATGGGCGAGGTCACCGATGAGGAGGAGGGATTGTTTGGCCATTTTGAAGGATTGTTCAGTGCTCGACTTGAAGCTGTTGATGCTGCTGCCAATTGAAGGAACAGGAGAGGAGAGGTAGCGAAGGAGATACTTTCTATATGCTGCGTAGATACGATGAGCTCAGTTGGTAAGAAGGATGTTTTCGAATGATGTAAGGACACAGAAAGTCAGTGACGAGAGTAGAAAATAAAGTGCAGGTGAAGCAGCTTCGGCTCAAGATAACCCCGCCAACGACCTCGGGGCAACCAGCACAGCGCAGCCCAGGCACAGGATGGCGGGGTAATTCGCCCCATTCAGCAAGGGTTCAATTGCCGGGAGTCTGTGGGCCCCCATTTTGCACACGATCACGGGTATGAAAAGAGCTCCAGCTAGGTATAAAGAGGCCATCCTGATGTTCAATTTGACACAGCTTTAAAATTAAGCCGGGCTTTTAAGCGGCTATTGAAATCACTTTGAGTTGTTCAAAGCCTGGGATGGAGTGGTTGGAGTGATCAATAGCCGGCGGGGTGTGGTCGGGCTTTGACGGTGACTGCATCAGAGGGAGGAGTAGTGGAGGAGCCCCTCCTATCCACCTTTGAGGGCTAGGATGCCAACTCCTAATTCTGGCACAAGGTGAATGTGCTTTATACTTTCTATTGACTGAATAATTGTAATTGATGTATTCATTGTTGACGTTTTTAGATAGATAAGACTTTTCTGATCAATGCTTTAAAGCAGCATGCAAGTTCCGACTTGCAACACTGCTCCACGGGAACCTGGATAACAGATGGCGGATGCGGGGGGTCCTAAAATTACCGTTATGGATCACAACACTCTTGTAGTGCTTTGTTTACATATTGCTCGGTTGTTCCTTCATGTCTTTATAGTAAGACTCTGTGTTTCCATGCGGCATTTAGGCATATTCTCTGAGTATACCCTGAGGTGATCTTTAATAAAGCTCACTTCCGACGATGCATCACAAAATCTCAAAGCCAAAGTTAATATCTCTGCAGAATATCATTGCAATCTCTTATACTTGAGTCCAGCTGTTTCGCTTTCTTCTGCTGTTCTCTCCTCTGTCAAGTCTATACGGGAAACCCCTCTCCCTTCTCGCCATGACCCTATCTCAAGTGGGAAGGAGCAACTCTTTGTTTACTTCTAGACATTCTCTTCCAATTTCTGAGAGACACTTCAGGCAATTTCACATAATGCCCATCAACAATATTCACACCACAAGAGCTCATCATTACCCGTATCCACCACTGTTTTATTGTTACCGCCCCCATTTCGCTATTCGCAAATCATGACAGAAAGCCGAATTCCGATACCCAGCAAAGTCCCACAAATCCCAAACAGAAACCCCAATCGGCCATCACCGTCAAGTTTGCCAATGCGCAAACGCCAGGCCGATCCTCCTTCACTGCGACATGACCCAAGAACGAAAGACATAAGCTCGAGTGACAATGATAGAAAGAGGAGGGGGATTGTTATGCCTGAGAAGGATGAGGAGGTGGAAGGGGGTCAATGTTTCGATGGACTGGATGATGGGCTCTTTGATAATTCCAAATTGTGAGTATAGTGTTCTCAAGCTAGCTGTCTGTGCATGCCTCGATCCATTACTAAACGCGAATATGTGTACTACTCAGAGAACAAAGTAGGCACGAGAGATCCGATAGCCGCTACAATACAAGTCAACATACGGATTCAGCCATCGACCTATCATTAGAGAATCCAGGCCTAGATGTCTCTTCAGATATCCCACAGGAGCAGAGACCATTACTTCCCAAACCACTGTCTTTGAAACCGAAGCTGTTCATAGACACCAACTTACCAAGAAGTCGAGGGAAGTTCACATCTAAAATCCCATCTCTAATTGTATCGAAGCGTCCACTGCCTTTCCTACCATATTCAGACTCGGAATACTCGGATGATGACAATGGATCGGGCTTGGGACAGTCCAAGAAGAGGCGGGAGAATGACGATCCGAGGAAGTACCGCCACAATGTCGACTCGTACCTGAGAAGTTCTTCGGAGTCTACAATTAAGCCTATCAAGGCTTCGCCAGAGCCTGTGTTAATCAAATCTGAGGATGATTCAACCAAAGGCCCCTTGTAAGTATCCTTGCAGCACAAAACGGTCACTGTCCCGCCTTCCATTAGCTTTGTGCGGCAAAGTACTTCCATCTCCTTCAACGTCCAATTGCTGATCCCTCCCTCCTAGAGACGTCATTGATGAACACAAAGGTACTCCGGATAAGTTTGAACCCAACGTTATTCAATATCAAAGTCCCAAACCGGCATTACGAGAACTATCATGCAACACCACGGACTTATGGTTTGAAGTAGACTTTCGACCCATGACCTGCACAAGAACTACTACGCATCAACTTGAATGTAAATCTCGGGTATCACGAAGCAGAAAGCCCTACGGACAGTGGCTTGTCGATATCAAAGTTGAATTTATACACGAGGAAAAAACAATCGCATTCATCAAAGGAAGGTTCCTCCAAAGAAGTCTGATCAAGTCGAATTTTCAAGAAGCCCTCAGGAGCCTTGACAAGACTGTGTCTGGGATCCCATTAGATATCTTCGATCGATATGGTCGCCTCAAGAGAGAACTCAAAGATCACGAAGTGCGTAAAGGGACTGGAATCTAGGGAGATGAAGTCGATCGTGGAGAGCTGTTCATCATCGATATTGTCCATTTGAGTGACGAATGGGCTAATACAGATCTTGGGTTGGGGATGATGGGACATGTACTCGGTGTGGCTCGCCATAAATCTCTGATACCCGCGTTTGTCCTAATCGACCCGACCTTCTCTACTGGGGTGATGCAGAATAATCCCGAGACAAAGCATGGGCCAGCGTCGAAAGATGCAGTCATGGATGGATATTCGCTCATCGATATCCTTCGTTATATAGGCTTCCGACGCATTGGAATATCTCGTTGCTTTGCATTTGCAAACGATCAGCTGCATCCGTCTCGGAACATGAGTGCTGCTGAAGATCGAAAGTGGGACGATAGGATTGGAAATTCTGGTCACCAATTTAACATGTCTGTAGAAATGCAAAGCGAGGAATATTTTAGGACTGGCGCCAAAGCCGAGTCTCATCTGCAGAAGTTGGCAACCACTCACCCTCTACATTGGGCAACCATGACTTTGCCTGTAGATGAATGCATTCAGCTGTACTCAAACACCAAACGAGATTTCGAGTTCGTCGTCCGTAAGTATTTCTGGCTTCACTGCTTCCATATTTGTACTGGATGGACACTGATCTCAATCCCAAGGCGATCCATTGTATCGTAATGTCCTGCATGTGGCAGCTTCAGAACAGAAAGCCCAGTGCGTTATCTGGCTGCTTCAGAATGTCAAGAAACTTCAATACTTGAAAACGGCGCGAAACCTGGCAGGATATACACCACTGGAGGATCTGGAAGCTAGGCTTGAGACGATCCGAACCTCAATTCTATACTTTGACGGGTTCCCTATCAATGCCGTTGTTTGTCTGGCAGCCCTCCTTGATCAGGACCAGCTCGACGCTATTGACCGCCAGAGATTAAGATTTGGTTGCAGTTGTGGTATGTTGATCATTGAATTCCACGAACAAGTTCATACTGACAGAATTTCAGGTGGTTGCGTAGAGGGATTCATGTCTCCCCGAACACAATTCGCGCTCATGTGCAAAGCAACCAAGATCTTCCACACCTTAGACCGTAATATTTATGACACCGACGACGAACCATGGACCCAGCAGTATTCTCACATCCTCCAATACGTCAAGCCTGAAATCCAAGAAAATCTAGAACTCAGCCAGGATCTCCGCCAAGGCTTCATCAACCTCTTCTTCCACATCGCTGAAATCATCGAGAACGGACTCATCCCTAATATTGAATCGGTCAAGAAAAACGCTTGGGATAAAGGGGATCGACAACCTACTGTCCCAAGTGCCATCTTTGAGAATGGGACGACTGAGGCGGCAATTCAGATTGTGTTTGAGATGGCTAGGGACTGTGATGAGTGGGCGGGCAGTGCGGAGCATGAGGTTGAGGTTGAGGTTGGGTTTAAGGAGGAGGTTGAGAGGTTGCCGAGGTGTAGGAATGATCATGAGTGGGAGCTTGTGGTTAGGATGTGTGGGTTGAGGGAGTTGGGGAGGGGGAAGTGATGGGTGGTGTGGGTGAGGGTGGGGGCTGGGATGGGTACTGGGAGTACGGTACCTGCTTCGATAATACGAATATACTTCTAAAAGCATCGTATCAAAAGAAACTTTCCTTGTCATGAATTATATCCCGTTATCTTGTTTTTCCTTGTCCACTATTTATAGCCCTGCTTTACCGTCATTAACCGGCATGTCTAATTTCTAGGACAATTCTGTGTTTTTTTTTTCTTCTCACCCCTCCAAACATTCACCAGTGCGGAAGTAATCTTAAGCAACCCACACTTTCTGAATCCAGTATGAATGTCGAGTTTTTTGGGATTTCGCTCTTGGTTGTGTTGTGATTCCTATTCATCGATTTTCAATCTGTGAAGAGAGATCGGGCCTTTGACTTGTGATTCGAGCATAGGACTGGATGCGGGCTTGTATCTGGGTGAGTTTGGGTACGGAGATTGTGAAGTGGGATTTTTGAGGTGAGGAGAAGGTGTTTTTGTTTCTAATTGCAAGGTAAAAGAGATTGTAATGAGCAGGACAATGGATGTGAGATTACGCTCTTGAATCGACGGGCTGTGTTGATGGCAGAGAAAGAATAGAAACCAGTGTACCATTGTCAATCTTGACATCTTGAAACACTAGTAATAGGCATCATGGGGACTCAAATATCTCTGCTGTCACAGGAGACTGCTGCGTTCGAAGTACTCCTTAAATTCTGTGGACCCTCTTTACTGAAGCGACAAGACTCTGTCTGTATAACCATAAGCCACTTCTACTATTCTAATGACGGCTTGTATAGCAAGAATGGCTCGTCATCTGGTCATCCAAGCATTATTCACTATTTGGAGAATCCCAAACTGCGATATCGGGAGAAAGCACTATTATTCGCCTTCCAACAGAATGGTAAAACATTCTCCTCCAATCTCAACAGCTGTCTCCAAAATGGGAAATTCAATCATGCGCAATACCATCCTGCACCTCATGTATATCCCAATCCGATTTCCTCTCCGTAGAAACAACATGGCTCCGAATCTTCGACCAAGCCTTCTTTTTCAACCACATCTGCCAAAGGCTCCAGGCCTAGGAGTCTCTAGTAAGTAGTGTATCACACAAAAGACCTTGCTGCTTTAACCAAAGCTGTAATTAATTAGTCTTCAGTTATATAGTGCTTGTGGTAGGCTGAACCGAGGTGCCACAAAAGGTTTTCGTGGTCGGCGCTCGATCTCTCTACTTTAAGTAGAATAAACCGATCTCTCACTACAAATGCCCAAAAACTTTGAATTGGTCGTTTCTCAGATGGAGCACAAGGAATCCGCAGAGAGAGTTCCCCAATGGTCGTTGATACGCTCTAGTCAATGCATAATACATTTCGCTGGCGCAATACGGTATTATAACTAGAAGAATAGCACAAAATCAGAAACTAAAAGAATTTCGAGCGATGTCATAATCATGCTTTGCTGCATTCCCCCGAAAAGCGTTCCAAACCAGTTCTACAACTGTACAATGGCTTCCTCCGCATCTAAGCGCATTCTCGTGATTCATTTTCCCAACAGATCACGAGCATCCTTATCCAAAGTACCCATACTAACATACTGTCCACTCCAGCATTTTTGAATAATCGTGCCACAGATAAGACCCTCTAACGCGGGCAAGCCTTGGCTTGGCCATTGAGGGGGATCTTGGGCGAAGAAATAATACTCATGGACACGCCAGACAACGATCGAATAGATGATCCAGCCAAGGTGAAGAATTTTGATTTTGGCAGTCAAGTCTTCCTCGCACACTGTATCTACGTTGGCATCCATAGACAGTAACACAGACTGGCCAAAATCAGCGAGTTTGAGCTTTTCATCGCTGACCAAGATATTCCGGAGGGCGATCTCGTCCACGAAGACCTTACGTGAGTGCACGTAAGATAAAGTGTCTGTGAGAGACAAAATCCACTGAGTTTTCAGGGATTGGTGTGGTTCGGTATTCTTCTCGATGTACCTCTTTAGGTCACCTTGCTTTGCAAAGGCGAGTTCGATCCCGTCATCGGAGGCTTTAAAACAATGGATGATCCCTCTATAGTTGCCTAGTCGTTCGAAAATAGCTTTCTCATGTTTCAACGTTTTACGATTGATCGAGTTTGAATATGCGGTGCTGTCACGAGCCTCACTGTTGCAACCATGAAGGGAAAAGACTCGCCACTTTGACGACCCGCGTTTCATCAAGCCGAAGGATACGGCCGGTCATTCCCATCGCAATGACTCCAGAACCACGATAAGACTTCGGAGCCCAGTCTGATTGCCCCTGTGCACTTAAGGGCGGAGGCGCTGGATTATCCATGTCATGAACGCCTGTGCTTTGAGACTGCTAGATGACGAGATTTGACTTGTGAAATGAGGACGCTGAAAAATTAGGATACCAAGGTAAAGACCCTGGCTGGAAATCTAAAGAATGTGTGCGGCGCGCCGACGACCTGCAGAGTGACCGGTTTTTGTTTTATCATCAACGCGACTGCTGACCGTCAAGTGAAAACGCAATTATGGCGCGCCGGGTAGCGCCGAGATATAAGTAATAGTAGGCGCTTAGCCGCACCTAAATCCCGGGTCCGCACCAGGCCTGAGGATTCCGTGCCAAAGCGGTTTCACACATATAAGCTTTAGCTTCAGCTGGAACGTTTCTGGTGTGTTTACACTTCGTGTAGTACACAGGAGCAGGATTGTCCCACCAGCACATCTTTCAAGTATGGCAGATGGTGATAGAGGTTTGTAGATACCGACAAGGCTATGGTGCAAGGCGTGTTTGGGAGATGGAGTCGAGACTTACGGCCGAACATAGGCAAGAAAATATGATTCAAATGTTGATTGTTGACGATAACGTTCTTTCAGTGGCGCAGGACTATACTTATATTCACGAGACACTAGAACGACAAGGCGAAAAACGGATGAACGCAACCATCGGAGCCTCTGGTAGAAGATTGAGGCCCGAAGCAATCAAGATATCGCGTTCATTGATTCAAAATCTGTGGGTGTGGTACTGCACCTGGGCAGTCACTCGAAATTCTCGGGCGTCAATGTCCCACTTAAATTCTCTGCTACAGTACCCTATAGATCACACTACACCATATGTCTTCCATAGCCTCGCCCCTCTGGTATCTAGGCCTGTTGTCGGTCTGAACGACTACATAGCTAATCGACCCACGGCTGCCTAAATCAAAACATGTTGGGTGTAACTGGAGGGCTATCAGCCTTGTGAGTCACAAAATTGCAGAGTCATCCTGAGTTGAACTGTACCTCGGACCCCGCTTTTCTGCTGAATCAATAATCGCTTATCATGCATAGATGGCGAAGTAGTTGGAGGGGAGGGGGGCGATTGGACTTGGTGTTCTCAACCTCCAATACAATGTAACGCCATGTAGGTTGATGTTGGAAAGGTCTTCCTGATTGCAAAACAGGCGCAGCAACTTCAGACATGCAATGATTTTACCAGTGTCTCCCAGGGTAGTCACATGAATTCTGCTCGGAGATGTGCCACCGAAGCAAGGCGATTAGAGCTATGTATCATGCACAAGAGCAAGAAAATGCCTTCTCAAAACCTTGGCGAGATTTAACTCGCTCTATTTCACTGTGTGCGCCCCTTGACCCCACCTTTGGGGGGAACAGAATGTTTCGAAGCAACTCAAAGAAAAAGACAGAAAAAATTGTTTGTAAAACCTCTAAAGGCTTATTATCTATGCAAGCATCAACCATATACGATCATGTTGTAAAGAGACGAGGTCAGACTGTTCACTTCAAGCATATCGAATGCACCGTAACAAAGAGTTTGGTTATTACCGAGCTCTACTACAACAACATTTCTGGACAAAGATGACAATGCTGTGCATCTGCTGAAAGAACACCGTCATATGACAAGGATTAATAGACAAAGGAAACAAGAGAACAATAATGGATGGTAAAGGCTTGAACATTGTTCCCTGATTGATAACTATTAGTTATAATTATAAAATATGGAAGCAAGACAATTTTTTCAATCAGATACCTAATAGTTTGAGCAAATTAAACTACATGGCGTCCACAACTGCGGTGAAATCTTCCAAAGTAGCGTCGACCAAATGTTTGGAACTCAAAGGCAGAAGCTCAGAGTCACATCCAAGGATCGAAGATGATCTACCCAGTGCTATTCAGGAAAGTTACTGTGGGAAGTACTTGTCAAAGACCCTGCGAGATAATGCCGAAACGGACATCACAACCAGGCTGGGTGACATGGAGATGCGTATTCTCGGACTACCCATCCCACCAATTGAGAACGAAGCCCAAGCAAGAGCGCTGGTATTAAGGTTCTTTCCCACCTTCGACAGCGCCTTCTTCATCAACCTCGTTGGCAAAATCGTCAAAGATTCCATCGAGATCTACGACGATGTCGAAGACACAGGCAAATTCTGCTACGGCGGCGATGGAGTCATCCGCCTCAATATGTCCATCCCAGACCAGAACAGCCCTCTCGGCGAGACATTATTGTGTGTCCTCCTCCACGAAATGCTGCACGTCTTTCTAGAGTACTATACCTGCAAGTGCCGGAAATGCGAGAAGCGAACAGCCAGAACCGGTGGGCCAGGAAAGACAAACCACGGCTTCACCTGGTGCAATGCTATGATTGGCCTACAGGAGGCTCTTCAGCGTGAAGTTGAGTGGCAGGTTGATTGTGATCTTGAGCATTGTGTCCGCGAGGAGATGACTGCGAGCGGGTGGGAACCCACCGACGAGCAACTCAAGCGGTGGGGTATGGAGGATAGCTCGGCCAAGCGTGGGAGAGGAGAGTCGTCGAGGAAAGGAAAGAAGGTTGGCCCTCAGCAGACACGCAGAGAGGCTGTTGGAGGATTGAGTCGAAAGAGACTACTGATGCCTAGCTGTTGTGAGACGATGTAGAGCGGTACGTTGATTCTTGACCTGCAATACCACCCATTCCACACCAAGTATCAGTATTGCAAATAGATTGTTCAAATTAAGCAGCCATTTTCCAATCGTGGATTTGATAGTGAGCCCCAAGGAGATAACAGACGATGTGAAGATACATATGTACGTCAAGGAATCAAGTCTCTAGGGCATGTAAGACTGACACCCGCCGATTATTAAACAAACTTGATTGTTGAACTTGAAGCAATCATTTGAATAGGATGACAGAAAGTTGTTCTGGGTTTCTCTTGCTTAAACTTGGGGACTCAGGGGTTTCAGCTGCTGTCGAACAAGAGAATGTGAGAATGGGTGAGGTCTGGGCGTGCCACCTAACAGCGATGTCCTTCAAATAACAGACAAGACTTTGAAGGGAGTTTCTTCCTCTTGTGAGGTTCAAAGAAATCGCTGAGAAGATCATGGTTTTCGTGTGTCTTTTGGTGTTCGTCGTTGTTTCCTGGGGACTGGACTCGCTTGTAGACAACAGACTTCACGTCCATGATATCAAGCAACACTTTCGAAGTGTTAACGTCCCAACCAGAATTCCCCAAAAGAAATATAATCAAGTTGTTGCTGAGCTTCCTTTATATGATACAAGGTACTGTATCTGCACCTAATCGCGACTTCAAGAGTTCCTAATATAGCTCTCAACGCCGCGACTCCAAGGCATAGAATCCCGCCACAACAAGCACTTTTGAAGAAAATAATCAAAGTCTGATAAAGCATCTCGAGACTTTTCAGAGCTTAGACCTAAGAAGTAAGGCTCCTCGGTCGCAAGATCAATCTGACGACACCGCACAAACTTGAGGTTTTCCTCAAAATATACTCCGACCTCCCATGTCAACAACACACTTTCTCAAGCCATTCTCCTCCTCTAACAACTAATCTTCAACACAACACGTTCCAAGCACTTTTGCAAAGTTCTGTATTCCTTTACGTCGAAGCAGCAACCTCGTCTCTCAACCTCAACTTCCCACCTCTGAGCAATCACGACTGCCTATTCTCACAACACTTTCCGTTACACATCAACAGACACCTTTGAAATCTAGCTATCTCTGCTATTCCAGCTGAGAGCTTTTTCCTTCTGCATTTGTCGCTCTAGCCTCAAACTCGACACCTAAACAACAATACAACCACAATCCTTCCTCTGTCAGTCAACATGGCTCCTTTTCCCCCCAAGAACGGAAAGAGACACAAAATAGAGACCGCCCCGAGAGTACCCGATGATGGTAAGTTTCAGATCTTCCATGTATATTTCCTATCGAACAATTCCCAGTCAACGAGCCCGTGTACCAAGAATTCCTTGCCATTCCCTCCACCGGTACCGGACTCGACCTCACATACCGTCAGCTCTGCATCCTGATAAGAAGATCCCCCGCCGAGCGTAACGCCAGAGCCAGCGCTATATTCTCCCGTGCTAGTAAAAGCGTCAAAAACCCCGGAGGCATCATCTACTACCGAATGCGAGACCATGACCTCCTAGCCCACCTCACGGAGAGCGAAATAAAAGACGTTTGAAGGAATGGAAATATGGTTACGAGGATTACCAGTAGTGGTGGAGGAGGCGACCCATACCGAATTGTCATCGATCTCACTATTCCCTGGACGAACATATTCAGAGCCATTTGGTCATCCAACATTGATGGCCCAAATCTCTTCTCCTACCTTCGGGGTATGGACTTTGCTAGCAAGGATGAGGAGCTTGCTGAACGCAGAAGAGCTATGATGAAAGTTCAGCGGGGAAGTTTGAATCACAACACTGTTGTCGGACAGGTGAAGGATGCCGTTTACAAGACTCATCCTGTTCAAATGCTGCGGGAGGGTTGCGATGTCAGAATCCATGCTATGGAGCTGTGATACTGGGAGAATATGGCGGATAAGGACGCGATGCATCATACAATCATACCAGTTCCAGCTGGAAGATTGCAGCGTGTTAAGCCCCGGAAGCTGTCGTTGGTATCTTGTGCCGACTTCCAGCTGAGCACTACATGGTGGCTGTCAGGTTTGAGCTCATCGCTTAAGGCTTTTCTTTTTTGGAGCGGGAAAATTTGTTGTTTGTATGTTATGAACAGCAGGACTCCAGTGGTGTTATGGAAATTTCCTCTCTTTTCTTGTTTTCGCTTTTTCTTTTACCATTTCTGATAATGGGACCTCACTGCAACACCTTTGGGCATAAGCTTCGAAAGAATTTTGAGCTGCGGTGTTAGAAAACAGGATTGGTGCTTATTTTCAGACATGGAATTGGAGACTGTTGGACTATAGGGCTCATGCATATTGAAATCCCCCAGCTTGAGTCTTTATGGAGTTAAGTAACAGTGACCACGTGTCAGAAGTACCTATTTCAGTGCAGTACAAAATTTTGACTTCATTGTTGACAAAAGTCATTACGCGAATCACGTGATAGAGCATGTGAGTAAGTTCTGTCTCTCTTTAAATGCACAATCAAAAACTCTTGACGACATCTCAATTGGTTACTTGACAACTTCAACTCACTCAAGTTATCAAATCAAAAGAAGACCAATTCACTATAATCTATGCTAATCTCTATCTGTCTCGTATCACACGCTTGGATTGATCATTTGTTACAGATGGAGGACTCTTGGTGCTTCCAACCAGTCGGTTTACTCGTTTATCTAATCTAGGCAGAAAATAAAGAATTTGAGTCTCTTGCAGTTCATGTCGTATACTGAAGCCTAAGCTTAAGGATCAAAGCAACAGGTCACATGGCGAAGATAGACGAGCTTCGGTATTATGTCAGGATGCCTGTGACCTAAAGTATGGAAGATAAATTCAATAAATTTTAGGATCAAATACTACTTATATTCCAAAAATGGTTCTATCTGATAGTTTCAAGCCATTTTGGCCACCGCCGGGGAGCTGAGTGAAGAACGGTTGCGGTTTCACTCCAACACTTTTTAGTGCATCAATATAACCTTAGCGATACTTACTGGCGAATTCCGTGGCCGTGGCTGGTGTATGTGGGATAGATACCTGGCGAGCATTGATCTGTACTGCGGTATGTAACGTTTCCAAAGGTTAACGATACGGCTTAGCACTTCTCGTCTTGCACGAACTAAGAACAAGAAGCCTGGGTAAAGTCGGAAAAGGGGCGGAATAACGAGGAATATGTACAAAACTCGCTTAGTGTCTGACACCGCACGTCGGAGCTCTACCAGAAGATTGGATCCATCTAGCAGATATTCCTAGCACCGCTTCCACTCAAATTCCATTTGATGTTCTCTCCACATGGGGACTCTCTGACGGTCGTCCCGTCAACCTTCAGACTAATGGTTATATCCTTGTTATTCGCAAACTCCGTCCTAGCAGCCAATCTCACCTCCCCACCACCATTGACAGTTCCACCCTTGATCGTAACTCCATAACAATTCTCGATCAGAATCGCATTGTTACCATTATTAGCGAGATCCACAGTCGTGATGGTCGCACCGCCTGATTCCGAAACGCAGAAGACACCACGTCCACCACCACGAGAAACAACTTTGTCGATGTTGACATTGTTGCTGTATGACCCACTGGAAAGACGACCATTCCTGTTGGCGAAGCGAAGAGTTCCGTACCCGGTTCCAGCACCGACATTATTGCCATCAACAAGTCCGACTTTGGCATTCGTGGTAGTCTGGAGCAGCAAGCCTGACTCCCCACAATCCTTCGCAATGACAGACCCGATTGTCAGACCGTCGATGTTCCATGTCTCGACTGCATGACTTCCAGCTCCAGTGACGCGGATGGTGTCCATTTTGACATTGGAGTTCGCAGCTTGGTCGCGGTCGAAGCGGATCCCGAGACCGCCGCTGAGGTTCATGGTGATTTGGCCGAGAGTGAGGCCCTTTGTACCGTAGAAGCGGAGACCGAAGTAGGGGTTGCCGGTCATGGTGAGGTAGGGGATCTTGACGTCGTTGGTGTTGACGGATTCGATTGCTCCTCTGCCGGACTTAAGGACAGCGTTGATGGTACCGCAGCCTTCGAAAGTCTTGCCGGTGGTGATTGAGATCGTGCTGGCTCCAATGGATCCGGATGCGATTACTGAGACTCGCTGTTTGAAGTTAGTATTTACTCGTTTGAGCAAGCGTTGAGGAGTAGAGGAGAGTGTGAAGTATTCGGGGAGAGCATGTTGAAAAGTGACTGACTTGGCCGCTGCTAATTGAATCGAGAGCCGCTTGAATGGCTGCACGATAATCTGATCCAGAATAAACATTTGTAGACCCTTTGGTAGCTACGAAAGAGCTTCCAGAGCCAGTGACTTTCGCATCAGGAGTTCCGGAGCCACATTGCGCAGAGACGAGCGAGGCAAGTGCAAACAAAGCCGTGACAATCGAGAACTTTGCCATATTGTCAGTATCTCACAAGGAAAACTTGAGAAACATCAAACAGCGGTAAGTAAGTCTCACCTGAGGATCCAAGAGGAATACATATATGCTGAATGAAAATATGTTTCATTGGAGGAAATTGCGGATGATTGTTCTACATCTATCTCGTGGTATCTTGGCCCGTGTTTCGGGGCATATGTTTATTCCATCCTTTAATATACCTAGGTAATGTTCCCAAGACCTTGGCGGCAGTGAGGGGTTACTGGGCTATATATCCACTACATCATGTGCTCGAAATAAAATTATTCTGCCGAACAGGATCCTAGACACCTGGCATTTTACCACATGATTTTCCCACTACTCGCCTGGAAGATTTTGGTTTGCACTTGAAGAGATACTCGAGTACGATGGACTCTGTTCTGGAATAGTGGAAATTGCTGCAAAAAGCTCTTCAAGATACAAAGTTGTGGTGTGTTTTGTGTTTAAGGTTCTGTATGCTAAAGCTCGTTTAATTCCCCGGCTTGGCGTTGTGTCTCCCCAAATGCCGGTCTTTCGGGTCTCTATTCAGGATCACCCCTGAAAATTGTCATCTTGATCCGCAATGTCAACTTCATCAACCGTTTGATTTAGATTGTGAAGTGGAGTTCAAGGTCTTGTTGTCGTCTGACCAATATCTCAATTCTTCATATGTTCTTATTTTCTGTTGATTTGAATTACATTATTCTTGCAGCTACGTAACAGGAGACACTCAGGACTAGGTATCTATTCTTTCACCTGACAGCTGACTTGCGGACTAATCATCCCCCGAAGTTGATCACACTTCGGCTCGACGGTACCGGCATCCTTTCCGCCCAAGTGCCTTAATGAGGTTGCGTTACTTCTGCAGCTCATACTCATACGAAGCAAACATGAAGGGAGCGACACCCTTAAGATCATTCTGGAAAATAGGCATTGACGCATAGTACTTCTCACAGTCAGCAACCCTCTCAGGAAAAGGGTGTTGAAAAATAGACACTTACCTCAAACGTCCCATTCGAGCTCAAACTCCCCGTCTGCACACCCCAATCCAGATTTAAATCTCCGCAGGCTTCGACACCGAAACAAACGTCTCCGTCATAAGCTTATATCCAGTCAATGCCGCTCGCTTATACTTATCTCCCTTCACATATCCCAACCTCAACGCCTTCAGCAGCCCATAAACAAACATGCTGGTTCCGGTACTCTCAATGTAGTTACCCCACTTCCCCTCATAACCTGGTGTCATGACTAACCACCAGCCTTTGGTTCTTGAATCCTGAGCAACTAAAATGGCGTCGGAGACGGATTGAAGGTACTTGAGCATGCGGGCACGACCTGGGTGGGAGGTGGGGAAGTAGTCAAGGGTGTCGACGAGCGCCATGATGTACCAGCCTACTGCGCGGCCCCACACGTGTGGCGCTGCGCCAGTGACTGGGTCAGCCCAAACCGATTTTTTGGAGACGTCGAAGCCGTGGACGGGGAGACCTTTGGTGGCGGGGTTGATGGTTGTGCCAGCATCGATGAGGTCGTATCTGTGCATCTCGTTAGTTCCAGCTCTCTGGTTATCAGCGCGAATGAAATGTTGAGCAGCCTTACTGATTAGCAATATCATCCCAAGCAGTCGAATTGTCATTCTCAAAGCAGTGAACCCAACGCGAGTAAAAGACGTCGAGCATATAGATACCATCCTAGATTCTATTGGCAAGACTCTATGATCACGAGCAGGACTAGTACTTACCAACCACATCTGATCGATATAGTCCGGATACCGGTGGTAGAAACCTCCATCTGGAGTTCGTCTCGAGCCATCAATCTGTTTCTTCAAAAGCGAAGCCGCTTTCAGGTAGATGTCGTCGTTTGTCTGCTCGTAAATATCCACTAATATTCTGAGATCAGTCCTTCTGTTGCTTTCGCTGCAATTGAATGAGCGTTTGCTCTTCGGGGTCAACTTGACTTACGGAAGCTGTGCCCAATCCGGATATCATCAATTGAGTTACTACTGTTGTACAACACAATGCTCCCATCCTGAGCGGGATAGAGCAGAATGTCCACTTGATACTTGACGTAGTCTGTGCTTTTGCATTAGTACTCGGGCTCAAGCAGACAAAACTATACTCCACAATGTCAGAAGAAGGAACATACCAAAGAACCTCCTGTCTCCGGTCCTATTGTACGCCAACATGATCCCCGAGTAGGCAGCTGAAGTCGTATACGCACTCGTCGGCGCAATACCACGCTTGATCTGCGATTCGGCCATCCAAGTCAGGTAGCGAGTCTCGCCTTTGAATTTCCCGGGCTTGATCTTATCGTCTGGATTGACGGTCATCCATGCTTTGGGGAGTGTGAGGGATGAAGAGACTGTGGCAACGAGAAGAGATGAGGTGGTGAGGAGTGGGAGCTTCATGATGACGGATTTCTGAGAGGTCGAAATTGATCGATGGGAGAATTGGTGAAGCCGGTGTCACTGAGGGATGAAATCACTTGTATGGCTTTGTAGGGGCTTATATATATCTCTTATTTTCTACTGTTCTGTTCTGATAAGTTGCTTTCATAGTCGCATTCTCACCTACCATTCTCTTGTCGTTGAACCCATCCATTCATCTCACCGAACGCATCCCATTTCACCGTCACAGTCTTGGACTCTCACGGCCAAGCGGCCAAGATATACCTCCCTCATCTTTTCCGATTCAAAGTCCTTTACCTCGTTCCGAATCTGTTCGTCTCCTCGCCCAATCCGGCCGATATCAAGGGACTCCAACGGAAGCGAGATCCCCACAAAGATCCCAAAACTCTCTCTGAACTCACCACCGATTAAGCTCACCAGTTCGAACTCTTTTCCTTCAGAATAACTAAATAGGCTTTTTCCGAAGCGGTCCGGAAAACTCAACCGGATATCAGACAAATATCTCAGCAGCTAGAAGAAAGATCGTCACTGTAGACTGGCTAAACCCTGCGTTAAGGCTGCCCAGGCGGAGGAATATTTCGCCAGTGCGCAACATATGTCTTGGCTACTCTGCAAGTTTCCGAGCGAATGGGAAGGGTGATCAGTACGATGCGAGATCTTACCGGCTCACCCAATTGAGATAGGACATTGAGTTGTTGTGATTTGGACAGAAGGGGAAGTTGCGAAGCAGATGGAGGTTAGGGCGGTTGTTGACTTTCTCGGTAAAGTCTTTGCCGAGTTTGCGAGGGTATGCTTGGCGCAGGTGTCACTGAGATGAGATCGTGGAGAATTGTGGGGGAAGACCAGGTTGGGATAGGATGATGCGGTGGGGTATCCCTGAGGATTAGGCCGTCTGTTATTATCACGAGATCTCATTGTCAATTTATGACGGGGGCGGGGAATGTCCATAGATGGCCTCTACGTTCCATGGATTCGATATTCTGAAATTCTGATTATTCTGTGCAGGATCAAGCTTCGTGGGATCACGATTTCAGCCACTATTGTGCATAGCTAGTTGGAAAGCAAACAAAGACGATCATCCACTGTAATGCCATGGTACTACAACTAGGTTTGATTATAGCATGAGACATTGTGGCAAGGGCTCAATGTCTATTGACTGAACAAACAAGCAGAATGTTATTTAGTATCCTATAGTTACAGGTTGTACACTCTCCAAAGTCGGAATGACTTGTTTCATCAAGCCCGTGTCTGCGTCCCATTCGACCTAGAAAGAAATGTCAGCTTCTTTTGTATTGCCACAACGCGACACCCGAAACTGAGGGCTATGCTCACCTTATCAATAGTAGTCTCCCTATGCGTCCCATCTCCCCCAGGAATCGCAAACCGATGATACGCCATGTACCACTCATCCTTTCCAGGGACCTGCACCATACTATCATGACCCGTCGCTAGAATCCCCAACGCCTCATTCTTCTGCAGTACAACCCCACGATATGTCCACGGACCATACACACTCTCCGCAGTTGCGTATCCAACTCTGTAATTCGGCGATCCCGTATCGTCAATACTGTACGTGAGATGATACAGTCCATTTCGGTACACGACGAATGTACCTTCGCGGAAATCCGTCAAGTTCGCAGTGATTTCCTTGACAGTATCCCATTTCATGCTGATCATATCATCGCCCAACTCGCCCACCAACGCATTGTTATTGCCCCAAAATAGATAGTATTTCTCTGTCACGGGGTCAAAGAACGCATCTGAGTCAATCGCTTGCCCTGCAGTCAGAGGTTCACTGCCACCATTGATGATCATAGCCTTCTCCTCAGCGACAAAAGGGCCTTCCGGAGACTCGGCAATTGCCACGCCAATGGTCTTGCGGTTGTAAGTGGGGTTTTCGCCGGAGAAGTAGAAGTAGTATTTCCCGTTCTTTTCGGTAATGGTTGGTGCCCAGGCGTTGCCTGTTGCCCACGGCACGTTGCCGGATGTGCCGTTCAATGTGAGGAAGGGCTGTTCGCTGCGAGTCCATGAGACGAGATCGGGTGAGGACCAGGAGTAGAAGACTTGGCCACCCCAGCTAGGAAAACCGTCTGTTGTGGCGTAAATGTAAAATGTGTCGCCGTACACGGCAATGTTTGGGTCGGCAAAGTAGCCGGGAAGGACTGGACTATTGCGTTTTTCGAGAGTGGTTGAGCGCTCTTTTTTCGATGCTACAGTGCCATAGTGTGCGTTTATGGCAGCCAGCTCGGCGGCGGTAATTGGAACCACAGTTCCATGACGAGGACTAGCTGGGAGACTGTATGAGCTCGAAACTTTCCAGTTTGCTGCAGCGATATCAGCTGTTTCGAGTGGGATGTATCCACGTCCAGAGTACTCATCCACGAAGAGGTAATACTTCTGACCGTTGACATCATTCGGGTTGGCTTTGAATGAGGTTGGTCCCTCCACTGCACTCGTTCCAGCTTTCGTGCCGATACAACTAGTGATTATTGACCAGGATGACAAGTTCGCTGCAAGGACGGAGGAACTTTCTTGGATGATATCAGTACATCCAGTAACAGCGCCTTCATCTTTGGTGAAGCGGTAATAGACATCTCCTTCTCTGAGCACAGTCGAGTCAATTCTCGCAGTTCCTGCATCTTGCCAGATCTCGGGTTCGCTGAATGTGATGAAATCGCTCGTCTTGGAGATCAGCATGCGTTGGTACGAGGATTCAGTATGAGCGGTATCGGTCTCGTTGTAGAGATCGCTGGCCCAGAAAACAACGTATGTACACAAAGCCTCGTCATAGTATGCCTCTGGCGCCCACGTGTTTCCCGCTGTTGGTGGTGAGACGAGGACGTGCCTTTGTTCAGACCAGGTGATAAGATCGTTGGATTCCCAGATCTCGAGATATCGACTGCCGTTGCGGACAGAATCGCCCCCTTTGACGAGAAGTAGATTAGCAAAATTTCCAGTGATGGCCGTTTCCAAGTAGGAAAGACATACAACTCGTGCCTGATCCGATCGACAAATCCGTTGACAAAAGGAAGAATTTGTCTCCCTCGTGCGATCTGATCAAAAAGGGGTCTCTGAGTCCCTTCGTTCCTTGCGTCGAGGTCAAGATCGGCTGTCCGCCATTTAGTTCATTCCACTGCAGCGCATCATTTCCTTTGCTGGCTGCAAGGTAGATTTTCTCGCCCGTAATGGTGTTTCCAGTGAAGTATGCGAATGCATAGCCTTCATACTCTTCTGCACGCGTGACAGACTGATGAGCAGAACTCCGAGGACTTGATGATGGAAGACAGGACACTAAGCTGGTATAGCCTAGCACAGCTGTGGCGAGGAGATTGAATCTGAGAAGCATGGTGAGAAGTTTGCTCAAGCCAGTGCCAACTTCATAAGGTCTTGTTCCAGAGAGTACATCCTCCTCTTTATAGTACTACAGTGCCGGACCGACTTCTCAGCTAGCTTCGTCTCCCGCTGTTCGGGGCATCGTCGCGTCTTTCAGTTCCCCATGATCGTATCGTCGTCGGCATGGCATTGTCAACCTTATTTCATTCATCTCACCCACCAATCCGCGCCTCCAATCTCTCCCCAAAGCCGCGTCCGTCGCGGGGTAGTGCCACATGTCCAGCCCGTTACGCACATGGCGGCATTCAGGGTCCACTGTGGGGAGTTGACGTGTGGAGAGAACATATGCGCACGAATCAAAATTTAGTGATGTAAGGTTTTGAGAGTCAGGTACGAGGGGGGATCGACGGCATTTGTGGTTGATGAAAATGTGTGCCAATGAGGGGTTGTTTTGAACCCCACATCCATACGAACACTGCCGAGATCCCCGACTTCCCCGGACAATGCATCGGCGGACACTGGATGTGGCTGAGGAAATGGGAAGGATTCCCCAGAGAAGCTTAAATTCCCAGGCATACCTCGGTAGCAATATCCCGTAATAATACAATACCGGTACACGGTGAGCCTGGGAAGACCCTACGGCTTTAAATTATACAGGTAGTGACAGGCCGAGGCTTCGCTAAGATGAAGCGAAACAAAACAACCCTGCAGCATTTGGTCCGATACATTCCAACTCCAAAGCATGCTTCAACCCCATTCAAAGACATCAAAATTCGTTACTTCAATTAGTTTCTGGCACGCCTTGCTGAAGCATCCGAAGTTATGTTTCCCTTGCGGCCTCCAAAAGTCTTTGCGATGGGTCATGGCTTCGCCCGTCCCACGGACTGTGGTACAGCAGATGCTGGGCAGTGGGACTTGTCCACAGCGCCGCTGTTGGGCTGGGAGAAGCTGGCGTGCATAGAAGATAATTGCAGCCCTCGCTCATGCAGTTGCCCGTCCATTTATACGGTGGGGCGAATCAAACCGTTGCTGACGGCGATTTGTTCAGGCAGAGCCTCAGGGGATGACTACGCCACAATAAGCCGCAGTAATTTGGGGGCCAATTTTCGAGGCACAAGAATCTTAAGAGCAGATATAAACAGGCACCCGACCACTTTTCCTGATGTGCATAACTCCGCAACGCTCGTAGAGAGTTCCTTTCGATTGTGATGCAGATATGTCTGACTGTACACTCACGCCACAGGCACGTGCTTTCAGCTCGATCTTATCAGCATTCGTAGGCTCTGTAGTCAACGGACTGACTTCTGGGTGGCTCGTTGCTTTCATGACAGGTTGGATATCATGGCTTGCATTCTTCCGCGTCGTAATAAGCGGATCATACATGTTGTACCGCAGTGCAACCAAAACATGGACACCAGAACTCGGCAGCGAAGAGTACGAAATGCTCAACAGAGCTTCGCCCCCTGATCCAGAATCTGCTCCTCAGCCATACACCAACACTCGTAAAACCAGCTCTCAAGAGTCACAAACAATGTTACTGTCTCAAGACCAGCCACAGACCCCTCCCCCTATTCTAAGCGAGCTAGCAGCTACATCCAGCGACGCAGAAGACGCATATCACCGCCACGTCTACACATCCGTCTTCGGCCTCGACGGCTCATCATCCATCCAACCCCCCAAAGAATCCCCGTTCGGCACCTTCTGGCCCACTCAATCCGACCTCGCCGCCCGCTGGTCCAATATCGAACTAGCACAGCAAAAGCGCTCAATACTCCGCGCCTTCTATGCCTCAGACAAAGACCTCGCCCGAGGCATAAGCGAGTTCTCCCGCTTAGCCAAAGAAGGCAAATTGCCCGGCCCAGCACCATATTTAGTCTTCTGGAAGCCTTTTGATAGGAACGTCACGGTTCTAGGGTGGATAGGTTGGATTTACGGAGCTGTGTATGCACCTATTTCCCAGATTTTCTGGATTGCAGCAAATGCCTCTGCGAAGGAGAGTGCAGGCGTAACGAAAGCTGTGAAAGGGCTGTCGGTGGCGATTACGGCGTTGCCGTTAGGTATTGATACCCGTGTGAGGTTTGCGGAGTCCTTGAGGAGGAAGCGCTGGGGTGGAGAGTGGGCGTATAATGCGTTCAACTTGACTAATGCGTTGAGCTGTCTGCTTCAAGGAGTCTTCTGTGGAATGCTATTGATCTTGGGTGTGATTGATATCCAGCGACCAACTGGCGATGAAAATTTTTATCCTAGTTTCCCCTTGCCTCTTGTGGGGATCTATCCCCTCTTTTCGTTGATTTGGGCGTTTGTCAGTTTCAAGATTTTGCCGATGGTGGATGGAGGTCGGAAGCCGGCGGATCAGAAATGGTATGGGCATATTCTTGATGTGGCGATGGGGGCATTTGCTGGATTGTTTCTTGCGGCTCCGTCTTTTGGGCTCTATATGTCTGGTGTTAGTCCTGGGGAAGATGGATCTGGTGGTTCGGACTTGGCAGAGTTTTTGAGGTGCGAGGTGAGCTGGTGGAAGAAGGCTTCGGCGATTTTCCCATAGACATTACAGAGTCCAAAGAACAATTCCAATAGTTTGAATCTTCATTAACATAAAATACGGGGACCTTCCAGTATTTTGAGGTATTTCGCTTTCATCTCGACCGGATTGACTGAGTTGTGTCCGGATTTACGATGCGATTGATTGTATCCAGGGAATCAATGAACACAGTCGTTGTGATGGAGCTCAAGCTCATTGTGCGAACTTCAAACTTTCAATATTGAACTATGATTGGTTATACATTTTCGGTATTCGACTCTGGAATAATCCTTCTGCGTCACAGCTATCTTGCAACCTCGCGGATAGCAGCTCAAAGACTCAGCCCACCACAGTACAAGATAAGTCGGGACATTCAGAGACTTTGGGGCATGTATCTCCGAAACCAATAGTATTTCAGGTCTATTATTTGACCTGCTATTGCGAGAATCTCCAGCGAAATTCTACTGTTGATGCGAGTATTTTGTTCTCATGCCAAATGTGCCTCTGGTTGCAGTTAGTCGCGGTATCGCCCTATGCTGTTCAGTTCAAGGTCCCGGTATCTTAGCATCTGGTGAAAGACTTCTTTCTGCGATTTGATGGAGAAGACTCTTCTTTCAATGCTCCATTTAAGCCCTTTAGAGATTTCATTGTCATGATCTATCGAAAGACAGTGAAGCACATCGTCGGCGTGTGAGTCAGACAATGAAGATAGGACTTGCGTCGCGACCCAAAAGAGCGAAAGTACCTTGGGAACCTGACGATAAAGCCTCGCTCTTAAAGCCCTTCCTGCAACCTAGTTCATAAAAGACATCCTCATCCAGCGAATTTACGAACGAAAGCCAATCAACAAAAATGTTTTCCGAGGCTGCCAAAGACCCTCCGGTATCTTAATTTTATTCTAGTTATAGGTGCAGTAAGTGGGTAACCACTAAAGCAAAGCTACATCCGCGCCAAATACATTACCAAGCTTCATGAAGAAAGCTTAAAGGTAAGTCGTCATATCCGAGAAAATGTTCGACTTGGTAATCCTGACTGATGTAAAAGTCATTGAACTCGAAAGACAACTTGAAATGAAGAAAGCTGTACGTTCTACCGTCATTAGAAGTCTAATCGTTATTTAACACCCAGCAGTTATACGAAGTCGAGAAGGGCAGGGCTCGGGATTGTCAAGCTCAGAGTGGCGGAGGCGTTGGATACGACACGCTTCTCATCATTGTCATGGGACTCCTTAGTATAGTCTACTTGGGCCGCGCTTCTCCACTCGGAGGTAACCTCGTTAGATTCCACTACTTCTTGGAGATTTGCTGATGTTGGCCATGTAGTTTGGCTCTGCCGCTAGGATCAGAATATGGCGGTTCTGAGAAAGACTGGGCCAGTTAGTTGTGTCGGGTGGTTGCTCTCTTCTAGCTATTGACTCTGGGGCGTTGGTTTGTAATGGCGGTTCGCGTTTGGGACAGATAACCGCCAGTAAAGCCTTTGACTACCTAGTGTGCATCGTACTGTGTGGCAAGTAGGATTTAAGTTGGGACTCGTGTATACTGAACCATCCCTCAATCAACGAAGGCAAAATGTTTTAAAGGTTTTGCTAAAATCGATCATTGAGCTCAGCAGCCTCGCTGTTCAATTACTTGATATTGATGAACTCCATCTCAGGCAGGCGCTTATCGTCAAATCCAGTCCCATCCGATACGCCATGTACATACGCTTGTCCAACAATAATATAATTCCCATCCATATCCAGCCTCAAGACCCATACTTTCTCACTCCCAGCCAAAATCGCAACCACATCTCCCTCTTTGACTCCAGAGCCTTCGGCAATACCAATATTCCCACCACCTACCTTCTGAACTCGACAAGTATGGCCAATTCCCATCCACCCTTTCTCTGTGAAGAAGAACTGCCGTCCATAATCACCATCACAAAGCCAATTTCTTTTCAAGACCTGAGGAGCCCACTCATTCTCGTCGCCTTCGCCAAGACATTCGTACATCCACCTCACGAATGAATGCTTGGCCATCAGAGCCAGTATAGAAATATTGTTATACACATCCTCGGGGAACATCTCATCGAGTGGGAATGGTGCTCTTTCAAGCCGCAATTCCCAAAGATCGCGTTCTTGGCCTGTCAATTGATAAGGCAGGCCCCAGTTCGAGATGAATTCTCGAGCGTTGTATTTCATGAAATGCTTGCCATAACTCGATCCTAGGCCTAGATCTGTTGTGCATGTACCTTCCACCACATTCAACTTTAAATTCGCAATCAGCGTTCGCCAGAATGCTTCGAGCTTCGTGCATCCCGTGGGGTAAATTGGTTCCCTTTGATCAATTATCCTGTATGCGAACTCCTTGAAGTGCTGCATCATGAGCACCGGTTTCAAGCCGAAAGTAAACGGCGGTCTAGCAACAACTACTGTGTCGACGACATGTGCTCGTACAGATAGTATGTTCCTGCTGAACGAGACAGAGAACTGCGGCGAGAACATCGATAGGTTCGAGACCGCTTGGGACACATGATTGCTGCATTGTGCTGGACCCTTTGCGAGATCTGGAACCCAGCTCGGAAGCTTTGGTGTAACATTCGTGCCGGGACTATCGCAAAGGTTGAGTACGCGCAGCGATAAGAGGTCCTTGATTGCCCACTTTGTTGCCTCTCGATAGACCTTTTGAACTGACTTCTTGTAGCTGGGCACCAACGGCCGTGTCTTGGTGAAGATAGAACTGGGAGTGATCATGCCCAACATTCCGTATACCCTGTCCAAAGGATTCGTCACATCATGACCAAGAAGTAGCTCAAGACACAAAGCCAGTGAACGTGACTCGCTGCTTTTGGCTTCTTGTAGATTTCCAATACGGATGACTCTGTACCATTTTGTCGTGAAGTTGAAGGCATCTTCATCGGTCTGATCCACCATTTCCTTGACTTTCACATGACGAATATAGTCAGGCTCATCTTCTCGATTCTCTAGTTTCTCCGTCACGTCTTCGACACGCCTGTAGATCACAGTTCCAAGGGATGAAATGAGCTTGCTGACTCTAAGGAAGTCGCCCCAGGGAATCCGATTCGAGCCACAAATTATTATCGCGGCTCGAGAGAGGACAATCTCTTGCACGACCCATATTCGGCCAAAGTACGGTCGAGTGAATAAATCCATAACAGCCAGCCAACCATCGCCTTGAACCTCTCCCACAAGATCTTCATCGAGGACGACCTCGGGGACCTCAGCCCCAGAACGAATGAACGTCTCTATATCGACAGACATCTTGATACGTAAAGCCGCAGCAAGGCTCTCGATCAGTCGAAAAGCTTTGTGAGTCTTCTGCTTCTCCTCGCCAATCCAGCATAGAACGGTCTTAGATTGGGTATATATCCTGCCCATCAACATCAGCTGGTGAGGTTTCTCATCCTCGTCATCTTGGTTGATGCAAATAGCATCAGTCCACAAAATCAAGCTCTTGGATACATCTCTCAGACGAAGCAGCAGGCCATGCAGACTGTCCATGATCTGCATCCGAAGGCCATCGCATAGGATATTGCGAAAGTACGTAAACTCGGTCGAAACCTTGAAAATACCAACGCTACTGGACTTGGTGATTGTACGGAAGCCCCACTCGTAGGAAAGAGCCTCATAATCAGGGTTCTCATCGAGATCTGCTGACGAAACTCTGATGCGAATGATTTCCGTAGGATCTGCAGGAAGCAGTTCGACGAGTCGGATACAGTTTTGTCCTTTGATGGGTTTGTATTTGTAGTCTCCAGGGGCTTCATTATAGACACGATCAATTTCATCAAAATTTTTGGTAGGCTCTTCCACAAATGGATCAGCCTTCTCCGGCTTGAGTCTTTGAGATCTTTTCGGAAGACCGTTGGAGGTATCATTTTCCATTCCTTCGTGTTTTCGAATCTTAATTGAGCTGGCTGGAAAGGAATACTGCACGGCATCAGACGCCATGATTCTTGTCCACACAAGGCTCGCTGGTTGATCTCAGGTCTTCGTGGGGTCGTGGTGTCGGATGGCTCCCCCAGAAGTGTCGACGCTTGGTGCAGTGGTATTGTGTATCTATCCGCCTCCAGGTTTCCAGCAACTCGAAAATATCTGACCTGTTCCCGGCAAGGTTTGTTGAAGCATCTTGAGCTGCCCATTTTCAGCTGTTCAGAAAACGCTCGAAGGATTTGATGCAGCAGCCTTCTATGATCCCCTGCCAGCGCATTTATGAGCACCAATCAACAACAGGCAGAAGACAGGTATTTATTTTGGTGACCTAAGCGAGATATTTTGTACCCGCGTTCCAGCAATAAGAAAGGCTGGGCTCGTCATTGCTAGGCCAGCTAAGATATTTAAACGTTTAGGTACGTAAGGAATTTCTGCAGTTGGGCCACATTGAGTCTGCTTGACTACATCAGACTTTTTGATCACAGAACGGGAAGGTTCAAGTTGTCCGTGCAACGCTTTAGAGTTCGTTGCAGGATGATTTCCATTCGAGTACATGTCATCGAACAGGGCTTGGAGCTTAGATATGGCTACATCTCAACATGCGATACAATAGCACTTCATTAAAACAGTCTTCCAGACATTGTCACATCCTCCAATGAGCTCCCGAGTGTCGATGAAGGCAAAATTGACAAAGAACAAGTCAGTAACCTCAGCCTCTTTCTAATTGCCAGCTTAATTTTAGACGTCAATGCCTCCCCCAAGATGGTATAATACCACGCCACTGAGACCGTCAAAGCTGAGCACCGTTCGTATGCTCGAGAGATAGCGTGTATAGAGCCAAATCTGGTGTTCCACTACTGACCTCGGAAAACATTTGAGAATTCGAATACCAGTAAATGCCTTCCGCCATGCCAGGATCGGCCAACCTGAGAAATATGTCCAGTAGCAGCGCGACAATTTCATTTACGCGGTGTAGTACCACTCCTTCTTGGGGCTGCATATCGCTCCACAACCATCTGAGAGATTCACAGAATCACTTTGTTTACCAGTTCCTGAGCAATGCTGAAGACGGCTAACAAGTAGGTTTCGGGTCTGTGGAAGACGAGGATCTATGTTTCTATTTCAAGGGCCGTTGCAGAGGATTCTATCGCATACAGTGATGTGTGTGACCGGTATATGGCGTATGGGCCCCAACGAGTGGAACAAGCACCGTCTTGGAAGGCTATTTTCAAGTCAATGTCGGAAATGAGTTATATATGGTGAATACAGTCGATTTCAGAGACAATATGTCGCAGACAAAACTACGTCAACACGATGAAGTCAAAGCTAAGCGAGATCTCTGTTCAGCAAAACCACTTTTTCACCATCCACAAGTTGAACTTTCCTCGACTCAGGCGCTCACACATATCATCTCAATCACTACCTCCAGTTCACTTCTCTGTCTGGACGCAAGTCAAAGGAATGCCTAGTCAATTCAGCTTTCACAGGGGTAGCGGAGAAGAAGATATCTTAGTTGCACTCCTGGACCCCGACGCGCCACCAGAGCTATTTTAGTTGCTGAAGCGTATGGGCATCAATTTCGAGGGCGAAATACCAGATACGGAGGAGATCACTGTACGTATCCTGTGCTCCCTTCCAGAATACTAGAACAATGAGATCTGACGTGTGATATCGAGCTCTACCAAGCTGTTGATATGTTCCAGGGAAATGGAAGGAAGAAAGCTGCGGGAGCTTGAGCGTGCTTTACAGTTGAAACAGGTAGCTTAACTTTGTCTGGGATCAGCGTGTGGCTTGAACTATGAGCTACTTTTTACTTTTAGGATATTGAAGGCTATAAAACGTTGGTGAAGAGTAAGAAGGCTTGAGACATCGTTGTCTTAAACTTGATGGACATCATAGACATAGGCTTGATTACATGTCCTTAATTGGATCTGTTTTGGTACCTCGTTAATTTCCATCTTGTGGTGTGCTGGAGCGCTTGATCTTGTCATTCACCCGAGTTATATATTCTCCCATTCTTCTAAAGCCTGCCCTCTTTTATCTGTCTCAATTTAAAACATATGGTAATAGTTGAGCTGCGTAGTAGCAGAATGGATATATAAGTTAAAGAGAGATGTGTTTGGGCTTGAGGGAAGAATAACACAAGGGATGTAGGAATATCGCCACATTCACCACCTGTTTTTCGAAATCTGAGTCTTTACTATTCCTTTCGACGGCAATTCCAATCCACTAACAGTGTACCCATCGTATTCTTCATCATATAACTTCAGAGAACTTGTCCGGGTCGCATTATCGGAGATCAAAGGAATTTATCAACTTCTCAGCTCTGAGACCTCGTAGTCTTGCAGTAGTCTCAAATCAGTCTAATTATGGTGAAGGTAATTCACTTCAACTGAGTCAATTTCTAATAGAGAAAACTTACCTACCTATTTATTCACCAGCTTTACTTCCCTCTCCTCTCATGGAGTTCAAACCCTTAAATTTCAAACTTCCTCAACATCCTCAACCTCAATACGATTCACCCACCAGCACAAAATTCGTAAGCAAAAGCAGTATATAAACCTTGACCAACACCATTTTCACTCCCCAAGGGTCCGAAACATGCTCACCTTAAATAGTCCAGAACGGGTCTTGGTAGTGTATTTTCCTCGCTCTAGGTACGATTTCTCGTAGTCCGAAGCTAGAGGTCTCCCCGCTGCCGATTTTGATGATGTTTAAAACAAGAGCGTGTTGTAACTATCCTGACAATCACCCCTTGTTCCACAGGAATCAGAGAATTGACGCATGTCTGATTTCCACTGCCAATTGATAAACCATTGTCATCTCTCCAACCATCGTCATCAGTGCTCCATAGACTCTCTATTTTTCCGCCCTGACCCCTCTGCACCTCCTCGAAATAGGTAGACTGTATTGCAATACAGCTGAAGAAAGTCAATCGCAGGCAGTACAGTTCAACAATAACCGGTTCTCCTTCCTGCCTCCCTCATTCAATAACGCGACTCACAAATCGTTGGGCCATAGTGTAAACTTCGTGAGTTGGATATTATATAAGACACAAAACGCGCTACATTCAGCAGCAATCTACAGCCTTGATGGCGAGGAAACCATACTCGAGATACATACCTACAGCAATACAACGCATCGCGCATTACCACAAACCCAACGCCTTTTAACACCGTCTCGGCCGAAAACGCCAAACCAGCCCAATTACCCCAGGAGAATCACCAAGCCTCCACCAACGCCTGCACCGACTCCATTCCCCTCTCCCCTTTCCCTAAGCGCGTCGCAAAGAACAATCACACCCACCCACCAGAACCACACACTCCAAATCAAAAAATCAAATCCCCACCCCCACCACCAGCCACACCATCCAACTGCAAGAACCCCGGCTCCATAAACCCCGCACCGACACCATCAATCCCCTGCCTATCAATCCCCGCCCCATCCCACGGACTCAACTCACCCATCCCATCATATTCTCCCGACCCAGAACTACTCGGTCCATTCTGCATAGCGTAGAGAGAAGTCGCAGACAGATCGAGCCAGCTGAAATTAGGGACCGGTAGGCCGGGCTGGACATTGTTGGGAGCGAAAGGATCGGGGAAGTTTGGGTTGGCGTAGATATTTGGGTCGAGGTTTGGGTCGAAGTTTTGGGGTTGGTTGGGTTGGTCGGGGTTGAGATTTTGATTTGTGTTCTGGGGTTGACGGTCGTTTTGTCCTTGGCCTTGTATTTGGTTGTTGTGTTGGCCTGGACCTATAGGATTCTGCTGTTGAGTAAGCATGCGATTATCGATGCTCATGCGATGGAGAGCTTTGTTGCCGTTCCGCTTGGGTGACTTGCGCCAGAGGAGCTCTAGAAGTCTAGCGTAACGATTTCCGATTTGGTTGCCGCCTACTGAAGATGCTTGTAATCGGTCGATGGTAAGTCGGATTACCTTGTGTACTTCGTCGCGTTCGGATTTCTGAAGAGAGGTCGTGGAGCGAGCCTGGAAGGTCTTTGTCAGTGACACTATTCGGAAGGAAGAAAGGTGTGGGAGGGGAAGTGGGTAAATACTTACTTTGTAGAGAAAGACGGCGCTGTAGATCACGAAGAGGTAATATGACGATGGCATGTGGCGGAGTGTATCTGGTGATACAGACTCGTTGAATCGAGTCAGTAACGATGTGGCAGCATTGACTGCTTCATAGATGAAACGTGCATCGGGAGCTGTGGAGTTGATGAGAGGCACGGATCCGTTAGGATTATGTTGGCTGTCTCGTTGGTCCGTGAGTGCGCGGGAAATGGTTGCTTGGTACGCAAAAGCGTTGACGTAGAGCCGCAGATAGTCGTACGTGAGCATCAGACTAGCTTTGATGTATGGGTGGCCTAGCATGTTAGTTGATTGTTACAGGGTGGGGTAGAGAGGCTTACAGTTCAGCGATCCCCAATTCTCCATCCAGGTTCCAATACTGTACCGAAAGTCATCAAGGTACTTGGCATATCGACCCTCGAGCATCTCTTTCCAAGCATGGCCTTTTGATGAGTAAAGGATGTCGTGAACATTGGAGAAGATCTGCGTTAATTCCAAGTTTGCCTGAAAAATGGTGGCGAAGTCCTCATCATGCCCCGAAGCACGTTGGAGAGTGGGAAAGTTATCTGCCTTCAGTCCTGAAAGAGGACCTGGTCCTCGAGCCCAGAACCCCTTACCAACACGCACCGAGACCTGACGATCGCAAATGTAGCATGCTGCCCAGACTAGCCGTTTCCGACGAAACTTAGCGGGGTCTTCTTGCGTGTCGCTGTTGAAGGATGTTCGATCGATTTCGAGAAAGTACCCAAGCCGTAGAGCTGTACCAATATACATCCAGGCTACGCGATCTTCCTCTCCACGGCCCACTGTGACCGCCACCTGAGGTCTGTGCGATACCCATTGTGATAGAAGGAGGAGTGCTTCTACAGCTTCGACATTCGCATCCGCACCAGCCAAGATGTTCGAGATTAATTGCTGCATGTGATCGTAGCAGACTTTGTGCAGCGCTTCTTCATCCTTCGATGCAACGGTGAGAATGGCCGAGAAAAGATGGGGCTCGTAACGTGAAAGCCATTGTAGTCTGCTAGGATTGAATGTCTCTCGGGGAACGATAGGAAAGAATGGGTGGAAGAATTGCTCGTAACTGGAGTCGTTAGCCCTTTTGCTCGGATCCAACTGCGGAATGAGGTCCCCCTACCTTGAAAACAATGAATAAATCTGCTCCGGACCAATCAGACCTTGTTGCACCGGAGGATAATGCCACACGGTCTCCAATGGCTGTTGGTTGACATCTGGTCGCAGCGTTGGCCTTGTTCGTTTTGATTGTCCATTCGGATCATCACTTCGAGGAGAATTGGAGTCGTCGGCTCGATCCGCTACCTGGGCAAGAATCTCGAGCGCATCAGATGGATTCTGTAAGTCTGCAGTCGCAATTCCTTCATGTGATGGCTTTCCAATAATGCTAGCCGTGGATTCCATGCGAGGACGGTATGGCTGATTGTGAGATACACTAGAAATCTGCAAACGTGAGCTTCACAAAGTACGAAAAGGATACAATGAACGAAAGAAGGTGACGGCAATACTTGAAAATGATCTCGGTCAAAATGGAACGAGCTTTCAATAGGGCACTTAAGCAAAACTTACAGGAGGATACTCGGTGTATCTCGGAGCTCCACCTCCTCCAGCAATTGGAGGTTGCCACATCGGCCTATCATCATACCTATTCTGAATGGATCCCGAATGCTGGCGACTATGAGAGCTGTTCATGGCGTATTGCGGACTCGAATTCGATTGTGCTGCTGGTGAACCTTGAAAAGTCGAGACTGTTGGAGTAGACGGTCCAGACTGCTCTGAGCTGTCTTCGAGCTTTGGTTTCTTTCGAACTCGACGACCACCACGATGACTTTCTCCAAGAACACATTCTCTGTTCTCTCTTTGACATCGTTTGCAGGGCTGTGGATACTGTTAGTGTGATTCTAGGTAAGCAGCATCAAATCCGAAAATTGTAGTAATCACGTGATATCAGATCAACTGCTGCTTCCAGTCCTTCAGTGCTGCTGCGAGACAGTTACTGGAGCAGCAGCTGTCTTACCCGCGCGAGAAGACGTTGTATCCCACAGTCTCACTTGAGCCATGTAACGCGAAATCGACATATCAAATTCCTCATTCCGACGCGTCGAAACTCGTCCTTGGCCCTCCCAAATCAGAATTCAGAACTCAAAATCACATACCGGTTTCCCGCCATTGGGATCCAAATCACATTTGCTCTTCCGATTCCTACAGTGCAAACAAGCACGGTACGCTCTCATAGCATCAAACGGCTTCTCGGCTGGCTGAGGCCGTACATCTTGCTGCCCCGACGTCTCTATCCTGGTTGGTGGTTGTGAAGACTGACTCTGGCCTTGAGCTTGAGGCTGATTCTGCAGTTGAGATTGGCCATTCCCATTACTGCTGTTCACCAATGGAGTTCCAGATAGGTTTGTGGTATTTGGCGCGCTTGTGACATTTCCGGTGGTGTTGATGCCATTGCCATTACTATTACTAGTGCCAACAGGAGGCAGCATAGGGCCCGACATGAGGCTTGGTGGAGAGTTTCAACGGGCCCGGATAGACGGCGAGTGACGGCCGGGGGAGCAGAGTTCAATTGACGGCGCTGGATGCGATTGATGGGGCGGCCGCTGATATTGATGCCGGTATACGTGGAGTCTGTGAGTGATATTCAAAGACCGATGATGCCGACGATGCAGGATGTCGGTGATTGACGATGGGATGGGCAACGGGCACAGATGCGGGGGCGCTGATAGATGGAGCTGGCTGGAGATGTGGAGGGAAGAAGGTTTGGATGGGCGTCGGGAGTCCGCGCCGGAGTCGGCTTTTGCAGGTGACAGAAGTGCCGACCGAGGATGATCCGGAGCTCGACAAACCGACTTCGTGCTGTTGATGGGTGATACTGGCATATATCTACACTTTAGAATCGGAAATCGTGAGTACGTTGGACTTCGTTTGTGGGTCACATTAGACTATTTATTTGAGAAATAAAAATCCAACATCGTTTGGTATGCGTGTACCCCTATTCACAATGTCCCAGTCATTCCTCTAGCAGTCGCTACCCCACATCTGCGATCACACCAACATTCCATTAAGGTAGCATTATGGTACGACTTTACATGTTCCCAAAACCGTTTTTCCAAAACCCAATATACGACGATTGGGCGCTGTATAAGAAGAACTACCAGCAATCATCAAATGATACTGCGTGGGTTTTGCCATTTGGATAAGTTCTTCGAACTTCCTCCGATTCATCGACAACGCGAGTGTTCCAAGAACAACATACATATCGATCCTGCTCATCAGGAACATTCAGAGCGAAGAGCTGCATATCCTCCTTCCATGGGATAATAAGGTATTACTGAAAGCGAAAGTCAATTGACAATATTGCCCATTGATAGCAGGTGGATCCACCTCCCTCTCGGAACATATCCGGACCCCTTGTGCAGACCCATCATTTAGACGAGCAACATACCTCAAGACATTCCGCGCAATACGAAATTCTATCAAGGTACAAGAAGACCTTGACCCTCGATAACGATTTCCAACAATTGTCTCTCCTTCACGTATCGGCGATTTCCTTCGGTACCTCGAGGATTTCCCAGCTGCAGGTTAGGGTCTTACCTGTATATCTTTTACAGGGTTGACATACTCATGAGAACTGCTCAGTCTTCAGGAGGCAAATTATTGATATCAAGTCGTGTGATTATATAATTTCCTGGCAAAGGTTTGCCCCTTGTAATTTATAACCTCACGATTTACAGATCGTCAAGCACGCCTCTCACAAGTGCAAAATCCTTGCACTTCTTAGGTTCCCTCTGCTTACAGCTACTACCATTGACTCACCTGACTTTGATCCAGGCTTCTCCACAGCAAGTAAGCTACCCCCAGAAAATAAATTCGCAAAGGTGGCATGATAGAAAAATGCCGGCCAACGTTGCAGGCAGAGGCATTTCGATTCATGGACTTCTGAATCGATAAGCCATTGATTATGATGATAGCTGAGCTCATGATGACAACAAAAATGCTTGGAGGTTTCATGAGAATAACTTTAATTACAAAATCTCTTGCGCAGAAAAGTTGTCTATGAATTATCCCTGGTTTCCTCTTCAGACTCCAGCATTTCGCACCAGATCTTGCATTTTATTTTAATCGTGTCTGCCGCATAGTAGTCTCCGAGATCTCTTTGTAATATGTGCTGTGTCAAGGGATCGCTCCCCAGATTCTTATATTATTTTTCCCAGGGACTTAGGTCCTGTTCCTAGATTCTAACCTTCCAATATGAAGCTTACCGGAAATCGGCCGAATTCACTTGGTATCGGTCCTTCCCAATGAAACACCTGTTTCCAAGGAGATACAAAATGAATTCTCGTGTCTTAACTTTCATGTGCATCTGAGCGAGACACCCTGAGGCAACATCCAGTTGGGATTCTCCTTTGAAGTGGACGTGCCGGTAAGCTGTATTTTTCTCTCTTGTTCAGACCAGAAAGGTGAAGTAAGCTTCGTTTATACCTACTGTAGCGTGTCTAGAGCCTTTTGTGTTCGCCCGGAATGCTGTTCTCATTTGTGCCCCCATCAAAATCACTGAGTTGGCAGCGGATGTACTTTTGATAGTAGTAGTATTGTAATAGTAATATATGAATTAAACAAAATAGGAATCGTGTTACATATTTGACGATCCTGATGCTGTGGATGCTACTTGTCATATTCTTGTACCTTTACTGGTATGTAACGAAACTCTCGGTGCTCCTGCCAACCGTGTTGACCAACTCAACCTCCCCAGAGGTCTACACTCCAAATCTCATCCATGGCACAGACTGCTGGAAAGATGGAAGGCCCTCTCTTGACTACCACCCAATATAGCTCAGTAGGAACTCATGCGGGTACCGAATCTCTCTTCTCTTCTTTCGAGACTGAATGTGAGTTTTGGCGATGTGTACTTACCACTTCCTAGCACAATTACAGGACAGCATCTCAGTGTAGCCCCAGGTTCAAGGCCACAAAATCCCCATATCCAAAGTAGAATATAGTACTGAAATAGGTATTTGCAAACACGATTGCATGTTTTATCCTCCACCGAAAATTCTTGGTGTGGACATGTGTTTATCTTACTCCACAACACCACTAAGCCGCTTTCAGGAAGCAGCTTAGTGCCAATGTCCCAAGACAGGATTTCTAATCACAAACGTCATCTTTTCTCGACAACCATAGAAAAGCCACTTTATTTGTTATTTATATTAGATGTCCATATTCAAACGTTGCATAATCAGCTGAGCAACTATCGCATAGGAAAGAAAGTCATCATGGCTTCAACACAGACACTCACTCGGAGCTCCAGTGAACTTGTGCCCCTGCCCCACTCTCAAGACATCACCTTCTCTCCCAAAAGTAACATATTATCCTCAAATACCGGAAATGCATTCGATGCCGAGGTTTTGATGCAGAATTTAGATGGCGGTCAAGAAGTCAAGGAGCTGTCTAGAAGGAGAGCAACTGTGGTTGTGACGACTGTAGCGGGAGTGAACTTCTTGAATACCATGGGGAGTGGGATCCTGACTGTTGCACTCCCGACCATAGCGAAGGATTTGAGTCTGGGGGTCGAACTACTGCTTTGGTATGATTTTGTTCTTACATTTCTCGGATCATGCTCGAAAGAAAGATTGCTCTTGCAGATCCGAAGAATTTGTACCATTTATGCTGATTGACCTAATATCCAGGCCAGCATCCATCTACGCGTACGCATCACTCACAAATTTAATCCAATACCAAAGCTAATCCCAGCAGCCTAACATGCGGTTGTACACTCCTCCTCGCCGGCTCCCTCGCCGACATCCTAGGGCGCCGCATAACTTTCCTTGTCGGCACATCCCTCTATTCCGCATTCACCCTTGGCTGTGGTCTCTCTCCGACAGGCACCTCTCTGATCATATTTCGCGGTTTTCAAGGCCTCTCTATTTCCCTGTATCTCACCACCGCCGTTGGAATTATTTCAACATCATTCCCGGCTACGGGACAGGGGAATAGACGGAATTTCGCGTTTGCTGCAACGGGTGCGGCGAGTCCGGTGGGGTATACGGTGGGCTTGGTGTTAGGTGGTTTGTTTGTTCAGAGTGTGGGGTGGAGGTGGTGCGTATATTCCGACATCTTACTCTCCTTCTTGTTGGTTGTCGAATCGTTCAGATATATTGAAGGCGAGACTCGGACAACTGACAGTTCTTCGAAGTCGAAGTTACATGTTTATACAGAGGCTAGACAGAGTCGTTTGGAGTTGCTAATGCATACCAGGAGTTTCCATTTTGCAGCTATTCTCAACGTCATTCTTTGCATAACAGCTGTTTCCTGGCTGCCAGCCGACGAGACACCAGAGACTCACGAGGGACAACCAAGAAGCAAGGTGCAGCGGATGAAAGGGGAAATTGACTGTAAGTACTAGGGAAGCTTACCCAGCCCGGCAAAGCTCACTGTTTCTTGATGAGTCAACTTTTTTGATGTCAAAAGATGACTAATTGTCTCATCACATAGGGGTTGGAGCTGGTATCGCAACGGCGAGTATAAGCACGCTGTCATACGTTTTGGCGTAAGTGTTTCCATCCAATTCGTCTCGCTAATCCCAAAGAAAGAAACTCAAATCAAACAAGTCCATTGACCAGATCTCCAGAATTATCACAGGAAAATCATCCTCCATCAAATCAGCTCAGAATATATCCCTCCTCACCATTGCCTTACTGCTGATTCCAGCATTTATATTCTGGATGAGCAGACAAGAATGCCTCGGTCGGCCAGCTATCATCCCAAACTCAATATGGAAACAAAGCGCATTTACAACGACATGTATAGTAGTTTTCCTAACATGGGGAGCTTTTAATCCATTTGGATACTTCACTACGTTATTGTAAGCGTCTATCATCTCCTAACTCCTATCTGCTCTCCCACTTTGTTATAAAAATGGTAACTTACCTCACCTTCCTTTCCCTCTATAGTTTCCAAGAAATCCAACACCTCGGCCCCCTCGCCACATCTCTCCGTTTCCTCCCCACAGTCGTCTGCGGCATCCTCACAAACATCGTAACCGGCCTCCTAGTCCGCAAAACAGCCGCGCTCTACCTCGTCGCAGTTTCGTCCGCCTTCTCCGCTCTCGCTTGTATCCTGATGGCAATCGTGCACCCAGAATGGTCGTTCTGGGTTTGTGCTTTCCCGGCGGTGTTTTTAAGTCCGATGAGTTCTGATGGTATGTTTCTGAATCCATGTTCCTCGCTTGCAGTCCGGATGTGGGCTGCGTAGCCCAGAAAGTAAACACAAGCTAATACGTAGGTCTGTTACACTTAGTGCTCTACACGATTTCCAATCTGATCATAACGTCTTCATTCCCAGCCAGTAAGCAATCCCTCGCAGGAGGAGTCTTCAACACCGTGTCCCAGATTGGAAATTCGGTAGGTCTCACAATGGGGGCTGTGATAGCAGCTTCGGTTACGAGTTCAAAAGCTGGTCATAGTTCTGGGTCTGCTACTAAGGATGAGAAGAGTGTGTTGAATGGATATAGAGCTACGTTCTACATGTGTTTTGCTGCGATGGCATGTGTGGTTGTGGTTGGTGCGTGGGGGTTGAGGGGCGCGGGGAAGGTGGGTGTTAAGAAAGAGTGATATGATGCGAATTGATAGGAAAGAGGAGAGCAAGAAAACTGTCCTGACTGTAGATACTGACTACTGCTCATTCAAATTATGCTATAAAGTCTTCCTGTAACCCAATTGAACTCAGGAGCTAAGCTTGTAGTGAGGATGGCGCACAGATGTCGCTCTACTTTTCTGTAAATGTTTTCTCTGGGGCATGATCTCCTCGAAGTCCGATTACACTACCAATCCGGTGACCCCTAAAAAGAATTAAACATTCATATAGGTATCTACTCTAAAAAGTCGACTATTTACCAATCACGAAGTTCTCTCTAGTCTCCATCCCATCTACTGCCCATCCGTCCAATTTGCCGCACTCTGAAACTCCACCACACTAGGCCACCTATTCTCATCGCCCACCACATCCCCCCCATACGTCAAATACCCCTGCACATCCAACCGATCCACTTTCATAACCTGCTTTGCATTCCCCATCACCCAAATCGTCTGCATCCCCATCAACATGTGCTGCAGAATATGACAGTGGATCATCCACACCCCCGGCTGCGTAACCTCCAGTCGCCACGCCCTCCACCCCATTGCGGTCCCATTCTTCGTTGAAGGCGCATACCGATACAGCACTGACGTATCACGCTTGATTGGCTTGCCCGCACTAGCAGCCCAGCGAGCTTCATTGGCAGCTTGATCGTATGTCCCATTCCCGGAGCCGAGATCCCAATAGTGCGCGCCGTGGGCGTGGAAAGGGTGCGCGTCAAGACCACCTCTGTCAGCTCCAGTGTTCTGGATGATGATTTCGATGACCTCGCCGATCTGCGCGGGGAAGACTCGTGTGACCGGGTCGATGCCGTTGTTTGCCAGAGCGCGCTCCATGGACGGGAAGTTGGAGGCGTTGTTTTTGTAGAGGGAGACGAGGTATGGTTCTTGGGGGAAGGTTTCGGTCCAGGGGTAGGAGTTCTGCACCCAGACTGTAGGGCCGTTGACACGTTGGTGGACCGTCATGATTATGGTGCGGGTTACGTTTGCAGCGGATGGCATTTTGGCCATATGGTGGTTGGAGTGGTGGGGCTTCAATTGGTAGTCGAGGAAGCCCCGGGTGATGCTGGGAACTGTGATAGGCAACTGTGAGGGGGGATAAAATATTGTTGGTGGGGAGGGAACGCCATAGTTGAGGACTGCGAAGGATCTTGTCAGAGTTGGACGTTCTCGGGATTCGATTTGCATCCAGTAGGTGCTTTTCTCGGGGTGGGGCTTCGTCTTCAGGAGGACACTGTAGCGCTGGCCAGTGTATATCTGGAGGAATGAAGTATTGTACGGCTCAGTATAAGACCTGATTTCGTCAGAATTCTCATCCAAGAGTGGATTACGAAGAGCGAGAGACTCACCCATCGGCTTCAATGACAGTCATATCATGACCTTCAATAGCGAGCGAGGCAAACGTGAGAGCCGTGGCACCAATAAACCTCAATCGATACGTCTTCCCAGGCTTAACATCAATTGCAGCAAGACTAGCATTGCAAGCCGTCCCGTTTGCAGTCCCAGCTCCCTTCCCATTCACCAATATCATATCCGACTCACCACTCCACGACAAAGGATTAGAAATCAACCCCTTTTCAATGGTGCTATCATCCTTTTTGAAGACGTCCTGCAAAAACACTATCCTTTCCTCGTCGTACTTGTACGGAACCTTTTTAACATCTTGAACAATGAGAGGGCCAGTGCAGGAGACAGCCGCGAAGCCCACGTGGCTGTGGTAGAAATACGTCCCTGCCATTCCAGTTGGAACATGTATTTCATAGTCGAAGAATTTGCCTGGAGGGATTGGCCATTGAGAAGCGAGGGGCGTCCCATCGCTGAATGGTGAGGTCGCCATACTTAAGCCGTGCCAGTGCTTCATTTTCGGTCAGCTTTATGAGTCTTTTGGAGAGCAGATCTGGTTTGGATTTACCATTGTCAGATTAAGGTGCTCCATGTCATTGTAAACCCGTATCCAGTAAGTGTCTCCTTCTCTGATCTTCAGTGCCGGTCCAGGCGAAGTCCCATTGACCAAGACAGTAGGTTTTGACGGATAACATGACTGCGCAAGTGGTGCTTCTGTGACGCGAAGAATGGCGTCAGGGATAAAGGTCTCGTCATGACATGCTGTATGTGCTGCTACAAGTCCGAGCCAAGCCAGTACAAATGTAAAATAGACGAATACGTTGGTATGGAGCAACATCTTGACGTTCGGGAGTCCCTAACAATTGCCTGGTGAGCAGACGTCTAGCATTGAAGATGGACGTGCTGGATGATGCGAGGTCATCGACAAGGTAAACATCACTGAGACACCCATCCATTCCTCGAGGCCTTGGAGGGAGCTTCAACTTCCATTTTCTGAACATGATATCGTTCAAACAACAAAATCCAGCTCAAACTTCAACAGGTTGAACAGTGGCATATACAAAGCTTAAGTAAAACGAGGTAGCTTACTAGTGTGTAAAACAACTATGCCGACAAACGATCGTCTTCCACGCGGCCAAATCAACAATTGCAGCACCTCAATTCAGATCCAAGCACAGACAGACCCAGATAATAAGGATGAGAAAGAATGAGCGGGTTCTCCAAATCCAGAAGAGCGGCGCAGGAACCTGAATAAATGCATACCTTTAGTGCCCCCATAATAAGATTACCAGCCATAAACTTTCAGGCGGTGCACTCCCTCATGACAGCAGTAAGCCGCCAGCGTCCCATGAAGCCTATTAAGCACTCGCTAGAACGCATCAAGGATGTGGGATTGGTAGGAATGCAGTGCAGATCGGGGTACTCCAAACTTAAATCTGACTTACATTAAGGCCTCCTGCCAATCAAAACACAGGGCATCGGAACTCGGAATTTCGCCGATGTGTTCGCATGTTTGCCGAAGTGTCTATCACAGAGAAACCTAGAATTGTTTTGAAAAATCGAACACGAGAGAAACTTTGCTATGGAGGGGGAGACCGCCGCTATCGAATCCCGTCGCGCTGACCTTGCATTGGATTTGATCGTGAGATGGGATGGAAAACAGGTTGATCGAGAATTCGATTCTGTCAGTCAGCCCAACGGCAGCTAGCCGCTCCTTCGAACAGAATGCTGATCGACCTCTGAGTTGGCAGCAGTGCCATAAGCTGACCTCCCATCAGCAGACGATCCTCTCCCAGGTCGTTGATCAAAGATATCGCATTGTCGGCCCCTCTGTCACCATCGTCATCTCAACGCTGGGGCTGCTGAAATTGACACTCACCCACCTTACCAATAGAGAGGAAACCCACGCAAACCCAGCAAGCCTTATAAGTTCCTGTAATATATCCAGACTTCCATTCGCAAAAGTAAGATAGAGGCACGGTACCATTGGGTTTTAAATATCCTTTGCGTCATGAATCAGGGATCGGACATTGGTAGCCGAAAGCCTAAACAGGAGGTATACAGCGACATGCCGAGCCTCGTGTTCGGTAGGACTGGCTCGACTGGATATAATGCCTGTTTCTGTAAGCTCACCTTATTTCGATGCGACTTCGTCCACGGTCCAGAAAATTATTGCACCCAGAATAGAATCTACCCTTAAGGGTCACTCCACAACGTACTGTAGCTGTCAGAACGCCACGTTATTTACCTTTGAACAGGCGAACGGGCCTCGTCAACTGCATTGACTCTACCTAATACAAGCACGATCCTGAATCACATTTCAGAAACACCGTGAAAACCCGACTCTCGTGATGCTTCCGCACAGCTCGTGAAATGCAATGCATTATTAAAGTATCGGGGTATCTTCAACAAGCCTTGACCATCAATCCTACGACTCCAGCCGGTCCGGCTCCATGCAATTGCCATTGCCGATGCCAATCCCCAAACCCAACACCAATCGTATCCCCGTGAAGTAAAATAAAACCATTCGCCCTCTAATTTTCCTGTCTATGCTTTTCATTTTGGGTGGACTGTTCAGTCTCGGTAGCTTCGTCGTCACTTCCGTCTACTTTCTCGCCCTCTCCACCTTCGCCCCATGCAGAGTTGCTTCTGCTTAACTTTCCATTTGAGGCTCCTGTAACTTCTCGTGGACTTGCCAGTGGACTTCCTGTAGTCGCCATACCTCCAATACTCCCACTGATACTGTCGTTTCTTCCATGCCCAAGCAGACCGCTTTTGACACTGCCTCCATCTGCAGCGGTCGACTGCTTTCCTGCGTAGTAACTGTTGCGTTCGCTGGGCAGGGCTGGTGCTACACCAGTTGCTGAATATATGCTGGCCCTCTCATTTAGTCCACTGACACTTGGTCTCGGCTGGTGTGGCGTCGACGTAATACCGCTTGCCGCGTCGATATTGGCACTCAAAACACTCAAGGGAAGACTCTCGCGGCTTCCACCAAACAAGGAAGAAGGGGCAAGTGCGCGAACCGAAGCATCAGTATCCATTGATCGTCTTCTTCGTCTCTTAGACGATGATGCAAGTGTGAGGATCGAAGCGTTGTCGGTGAGAAGGTTGTTAGCCGTCGCAGTGCTGTAGGTCGACGGATGGCCACCACTGGCTTGAGGTGCCAAATGCGCTGGAATGGCAGTGGCAGGAGGAGACGTGGGGAATTGATGAGAGAACTGAACAGTCTGAGTAGTATTTCCATGGTTGTGGCTGTGTGAGTTGATTGCCCCATTCGGCGCTGCAGAATGAATCGTAGTGAGTGTTGTCGTCAGCGATCGTACAGACGGAGCAGGTGAAGAGAAGGTGCTGTCTGCTCCTCTACCTGAACTCATTCCACCGCCAATTGTAGCATTTGTTCCCTGCCCGGATGATGGCGCGTGAGAAGGTGCAGCATCTGAATGGGCACACTCCGGCTCTGTAGACATCGTAGGTGCCATTGACTTGTTGCCAATAGTCGGTGGAGGAAGCCCATCCAAGGAGGAACGTAATGAGCGTCTGCGATCGATCGATGATGTGCTGACTGAATTGCCTGTCGGCACCGTGGAGAATGAACGATGCCCGTTAGGCGCATCGCCGTTGCCATTCAAATGGCCTGACTGAGGGTATGGATGATTCTTCGAGAGTATTTGCTTCTTAGATTTCATCTGGTAGGTATTTCGTTTCGTGCTCGCAGATGGACTGGCCTCTGAGGTTCCAGATGAGCTACCCTTGAAGCTGGTGAGCTTCTTCATCCATGTCGAGAAAGGTCGACGCCGTCCTGGTCGGTCTGTTCGGTCTGTTCGGTCTGCCATTTGCGTCAGTTGAGTAGCTTGAAGGGTAGCACCAGCAGCGGTGATGTTCTGCGGACCCGCAGATTGAGCAGCAGATTCAGCTCCGGGAGAATGCTTGAATGAGCAGCGCTGCTGGGCCTTTTTTGAGCTCGTACCATGTGCTTGGGGTGATGTCTCGGTCGCCATCGTTGTGTAAATTGGCCTGGGTGTTGTTGGGACAAAAGGATGACGCGGACACGCAGTTACTGATGGAAGGCGTTTCGTAAGCTTGTGGAATGTAGATGCCCGTAGAGATTTCAGCAAAGCGAAGATTTCGGATATTTGGGGGTTGTGGATGTGAGGGTCAAGTGGTGAGCTGGGAAGTCCAGAATGGAAAGGAAGCTATCGATTTGCAGTGACCAGAGCGGGAGCGCAGCCTTGTTGCGCCGCTGAAGGCTAGGCTGAGCTTATGTAATACACACGTGATATCGACTTCATCATCAAGTCTGGCTCTTCCAAGGCGAGAGCATAACTTCGAGCTGAAACCATCTGGCGAAATAACGACCCGCAACTCTGGCGGGAGAAGATATGGGATGTTGGGAATCTTGATACACGACGGCGACTTCCACGACTAGAAGCTATGTCTTCAACTGCCGCCCCGTTTTGTCACAGGAAAGTGCCACCAGGTCTCCATACTCACCTATGGGCCCTCGAGACATTCTGATATTGCTTCTTATCTGTTCTCAAGATGTCTATCCAACTTCTACCACCCGACGTTGTTGCTCAAATCAAGTCGTCAGTCACCATTACTACCCTCAACGGGGTAGTTTGCGAACTGGTCAAGAATTCTTTGGATGCCGATGCTGCGAAAGTCGATATAAGTGTCGACTACAGTAAGGGAAGCTGCTCCGTAGAAGATGATGGATTTGGTATATTACCATCGGAATTTCAAACCAACGGACATCTTGGAAAGCTATACCGTGAGCCAATTCCAACTTTTCACTGGCTACAAAGCTCACCTGCCACAGATACATCCAAACTGAATTCACATACTCAGGTACACGGCGGTCGTGGTACATTTCTAGCGTCTTTATCGGCTCTTGCTTTGGTTTCCATGACGTCTCATCATCATCTACATCGATCTCATAACAGCCTAACTCTGCACAAATCCGCAGTAGTCTCTCGTCAGGTACCTGCACCAGAACAGCAGCATTTAACAAGCAGCCAGGGAACTCGCGTTACTGTTCGAGATCTTTTCGGAAACATGCCAGTTCGTGTCAAGCAGAGAGCTCTTGCAGCAGAAAAGGAAAGAGGACATTTCAAGGACTGGGAGATGCTGAGGCGAGACATCATTGGGCTCTTGCTTCCATGGCCCAGGGATGTTGTTGTTAGTATTCGGGATTCTCAAACAAATCACAAGATGACTGTCCGGCCCTCATCAATGCCGTTTCAGTACGGCAGAATGTCCCGGACCTCGGTGTGCAATATACTAGCACAGGCATCCTTCATTTCTCATAATCAGAAGACTTCTTGGATATCTGTTCATGCATCGACCCCAGAATTGGAAATCAGTGGTGCAATCTCCATGGAACCAATCGCAAACAAACATGTCCAGTTCTTATCCTTTGGTATCCACCCAATTCTAGCTTCGGACGGCCAGAGCATTTTCCACGATGAGATCAATCGACTATTCTCAAACTCGGCTTTTGGAGTCGAGGAAAACGTAGAAGAGATCGATGGCGCCGAGCAAGACCGGAGAGCAAAAGATGGCCGCTTCAGAGGTGATGGATATACAAACAAGGAGCTGAAAGGCGTCAAGAAAGGGGTTGACCGCTGGCCAATGTTCTTCATCAACATTCAGATATCCGGTCAAGGCAGGTCAATATGTGGAGTAGAAGATGTACTGAAAGAAAAGAAAAACGCCATTACGAGCATATTAGAGCTTCTGCGAGTCTTGGTACTCGAGTTTCTCACTAAAAATCACTTCCGTCCAAGATCCAGCCGAGTTCACCAATCCAGCAAGACGAGTCAGGCTGCAATCCCGGTTCAGACAGCTAAAGCATTTGCCTCTTCTGCACCGGGAAAACACGGCGAAAAAACCCCCAAAAGATCGTCTGTAGGCATGAAGGATGGCTCTGATACTTTTGGGGCAAATGTAAGGCTGCCTTCATTTCGGCAAGGTGTGCCGCTTCCAAATTCTCCGTTCGACGCTTGGTCGAGAGTGAAGAAAGGCGCCGTATCAAGACCGACGACTCCCAAAATCTTCAAGGACCTTGGCGGCTCCGCAACATCGAGACCTGCGACAGCTCCTCCTCTCTTATTTGATGCTTCTACAGCTTCCAAGACTTCAACTCCATACAGACTCAAAACGAAGCCTCTTCTATCCAAAGATGGGAAACTGCTTCGGGCTCCTTTCGACGATGTCATCCTGAAACCGGACTCACAACCTTGCCCAACATCCTCGGCTCCCAACACATCATTACGTTCAGACCACACATCTGATCATGTTGATGACGAAGTAATCCCATGGATCAATCCAATGACAAAGGTTCAGACACTTGTCAACAAACGCACAGGCCTAACGATGAAGTCGACGGGTTATTTATCGTTCAGTAGCCAGACACTGCGTTTGACCACTTCCGTTCCATCCCAGAGACATTCGCAGGTTCCCCCAAGTCCGTGGATCAGCGATCTGCTGAGAACTTGGGAAAATCCAGTCTTTGCGCCAGCAGAAGCATCCGTTCCCCAGATATCTTTTGATGTTGGTGATTCGACAGCCCAAAGCATTCTGCATGGTCATCAACATCATTGCTCCCATGTCGACATTGATCGTGTATTTAGAGATATCTCTTCTGGCATTAACGGCCGCATATCAAAAGATTCTCTCAAGCATGCCGATATCATATCCCAAGTGGACCAAAAGTTCGTCTTGGTGAAGTTAGAATCAACTCGATCCAAGACGTCGGATGTAGATAACGCCAGTATGCTTGTACTGATCGACCAGCACGCAGCGGATGAGCGTATTCGTGTCGAGGCACTTATGGAAGAGCTATGCACACCTTCCGCGTCGGACTCTACGGAGTCTTGCCGCGCAAGAATTCTAACAGCCCCGCTTCTAAAATCTCTCCATTTTGATCTTTCAAAGAGGGAAACGGAGCTCCTCCAAACTTTTCGGCGCCACTTCTCGGAATGGGGTATCCTCTACACTATCTCCTCTTCTACAACCACATCCACAGTTTCCCGCCTTACCGTCACCTCCCTTCCCGCCCCCATCCTCGAGCGCTGCCAATCAGCCCCCGGCCTACTCATTGATCTCATCCGCACCGAGCTCTGGAAAGTCCACGAGAATCACACCTCACCAACCCAGCCCCTCCCGCAAGGCGACTGGCTTCAACGAATACATTCGTGTCCCCAGGGTATTCTCGACATGATCAATTCACGGGCATGCAGAAGTGCGATAATGTTCAATGATGTGCTGAGTACAGAGCAATGTGAGACGCTTGTGAGAAAGTTGGCAGAATGTAAATTCCCTTTTCAATGTGCGCACGGGAGACCGAGCTTGGTTCCGTTAGTGGATCTGGCGGCTTTCAATGTAGGAGCTGGGATGAAACTACAAGAGGAGGAGGGAAGTTTTGGAAAGGAGTTTAGGAAGTGGAAAGGGAACTTGGAAGGAAATTGAGAATGCACAGTGTTGTTTTGATCCCATGGAAAACCTAGTCAGCCAAGCTTATATCCTACTTGATCGAAGGCAAATATAGGTTTGGAAACCTCCGCCTCAACCACCATCTCACTCACAACAAGTATCGCAGTCAATACATGACAAATCCCCGCTCTCAACTCCCTATGGTTCCTCCCAAGTTACCGAAAATCTCTCGCCCTTCGTCACAAAATGCCCATTCTCATGCTCGCTCCTCCCCTCCAGCGTATAAAACCTCTCACCACACCCCGCCCTACACAAAAACAGTCCCCTCCCATGCGACGCCACATGTTTCCTCCACTTCTTCTTCGACTTATACTGCCTATTACAACCTATACAAATCAGCGCCGCTTCTGCTGCCGCGGCTCGCTCTTCTAGATCTTCGGCTGAGCCGGGGATGGGTGGCTCGCGCGCTTTGGTCAGGTCGATTGGAGTGCCGTCGGGACGTTTGATGGTGATTGCGGCGTTTTTGCGGGGGAGTTGGAATGTTGGTTGTTCCGGGGGTGGGGAGTCGGGCTGTGGTGCTGGTTCTGGTTCTCGTTCTGGATAGGAAGGGCGAGGGCGAGGTGTTTGTGATGAGGCGAATGGCTCATCATCGTCGCTGGTGGGTTCTCTTGCTAATTTCTTCATAATCTGATATGTATCGGGCGTCATCGGTCTGTCACCATATTGTTCACGATAATGCCGGGCTATGCGAACTCTTTCCTGGAGCGCGGTTGGGGAGAGATGATGCATCATTGGTTGGGTTTGATGAGATTCCAATGTTGATTGTGGATGATGAGACCGCTTGGAAGAATCTGATGACGCTGGTACGAAAGATGGAGACGAATATGAGGGACCTCCTTCCATCATTGGAATAGGGCTAGGCTAAAGGTAGAGTCAGTTGATGTAGGTGATTATGCTTCAGTCCGAATGGGAATATTGAGCACTTACACTGCGAGAGCGATCTGCTTTGTGGTCCATCGTCCGTGAATTTTGGAACTGCTTCACGGTTTCCTCATCGAATTCATCATCATTATCATCCTCCCCATCATGTGTCAGTGACCCGAACTGGATTCGAGGCTTCACACCTCCCATCATCGGCAAAGTTGTACTGGTGGTGTCTTTTTCGGCAAACTTTCGGGCATTCGTAAGAAGCGAGCTTTGTGCGGCTTCATTTTCAGTCCGGGCTCTGGAGAAACGAGCAGTCTCAACATTCTTACGTTGTTGAGCAGCAAAAGCCTTAAAAGCATTTACAGCATCTTGCTCAACGGCAGCTGCAGTATTGGAAGCAACATGTGCCTTCGCCTGCTCTTTGACTTTGTTGGTGCCATCTGGCTCAGAAACTTGCAGCCGTACGAACCCATCCTGGACGAGAAGTTCATGTCTTTCTGCAAAGTCTTTGGATATGAAATTCATGTCGCCGCCAGTATCCGCCATTGCAACGAGAGTCGGTTCATTTTGAGAATTTGATCCTGCTTTTATACCTCCATCCATATCTTTATTGGAGACCTTGAGAGTCTTGAAAGACTTGTTATTAATGGGAGGCATGTGTGGTGTTTCTAACTCCGTCCAAAAGTTCTTGTCGTCGACTAAATCTAGTTCTCCTCTCCAAATTTCTGCTCCCTGTTGCAGAAAAAATTCAGAGTCGTCGTTGGAATCTCTGGATAGCGAAGAGCTGTCATTGTTCTCGCTTTCAGAATCCCACTCCACCTCTTTCGGAAGGATCGTGAGAGCGATTTCTTCGAGGTGACGACAGATATGCCCAATGAACCCTGCACCTGGAACGGTACCGCAAAACGGACATTGCTCTTTTGCCATGTCACGACGAAAAGTCTCCGAAACGACTGCTGATTCAACATTCATCTCTGGATGTGCATGAGAAATGTGCTTCCGTGTGGTATCTAGGTCATCCTGAGCATCCCCGCATGCTGCACAGCTCCAAATAATGGTATCTTGGTGTTGAAACATATGGTTCGTGAATTCGAGGCGGGAGCCAAATGCAGTCATATTGGACGAGCAACGGTCTAAAATACATACATAAGGTTGCAAATCAGCGTAAACATGACGTCTGCTCGTTGTCAGTATTTGGCTTCAAGATTATTGACGCTGCACCTACTCCCACTGTGTCGCACTGACGATTCCTCGCAACCTCTTACAGCAAATAGGACATTCGAAAGTTTTTCCTTTTGATGATTCGATGGGCAATGGTGGAAAGTTTTCCAAGCTACCAGCAATAGCAGATCCCACAGAATGCCATGATATCTGTGATCGTGCTCTTCTCGATGCTGTTTGAAGCGAGCTGCCAAGCGCAGAGTCAACAAAAGTCCCCTCGGATTTTCCCGCAAGGGTTCTTCCATCCATGCTGCAAGCATCCTCTGTTGAGACACTTGCTCGAAGTGGCAATTCTTTGACTCTATTGAATCTGTTCCAATTCGCCGTTCCGATACGTTCAATCAGCGATACCGAGGCATTGGGGAACCCATCCCTGATAAGTCGTGAGAAATGAAGCTGCGGTCCGGTAACAGTAAAAAGCTTGAAGTCTTGTTCATATCGTTGCAAGGCGGCAATATGATTAAGGAGGGTTCGCTTGGAGGTTTCTGGTCCAGAGTAGTGCTCCAGAGATATACGACCGAGGCTTGTCATGACGGCCTCCGCACGAGGCAATTGGGCAGGATCGTCATCCAGCACTGATATGTGGCACATTGCTTCTTCCACTAAGTCGAACAGCAATTCATCGGAGATCTCTTCGATAAATCGGACAGCTTGATTCAGTAACTTCCAAATGTCGAAGCGGGGACTTTCCTTTCGCTGTCTTCGGCTCATCTTCAGTAATCGCACTGAAGTGGACACAATCATATCGCTTGAAACGCCCGCATAGTCTAGTACAGAAGGTAAGATATTTTCAGCTTCTTCATATTTTGCCTGTCCGATAAAGCTGTCGGAAAGCACAATTGCGAGGTATCCTTGGTGATGAGAAGTGACCTTTGGTTCTCCTTGGAAGACCTTGTTCCACAGCGTCTGGGCCATCTTCTCCCCATCCACTTCCTCCATCAAAAAGTTGTAGCATTTCACCAATTCGATCCCAGTGATGAGATATTCCATGGAGACCACACCAAAGTCTTTTTTGACGTGTCCGAGGCTAGATTCTAGCAGTACACAGGCGATTTCGAATGACTGTTGCCTTGCGGCAAGAAAGCCTAATTGCGGATGCATCCTAGGTGGGAATAATCTGAGCAGCTTTTGAACACTCGCAACGCCTTCAAGAATGGCTCGGGCTAATATCTCTAGGGTACAAGATGGATTTCTACGAACAAGCACTGCCCAAGCTAACTGATAGGAGGGAAGAACTTCTTGTAATGCGACCTGCTGAATCTCTCGTGAATCCTTACTGCTTGGCAATTGCGTGGCGTCCAATTGTTCCTTGTTGTGCAGATGCGAAAGGTTCTCCTTTTGGATGACAGGAGAAGCGAAAAATAGATGACGGGGTAGTTCATGTCTTTGACTGGGTATTGTCTGCTCTTTTACTGCATATAGGTATGCATAGCAGTGTTCGTGGAGGGTTAGAACTGATAAAGGACAATTCTCTCCCAGGATATTGAATATTCGAGACAGGAAGCGAAGGAACACATGAAAGCATTCTGGCTGGCCCGAAGTATCACCAGCTGATGATAGATGGGCCATGACATCGACGGGATTCAAGACTGTAAGAAATGGCAAAATCGTCGAGTTAACCACGTCCCATAAATGCTCTTCCATTTCTTCCCACAGTATCTCCGCGTGTTGCTCAGGAAAAGCGTGGATAACCACTGCCAAGACATCGTATAGATGTTCTAGCGAAGTCGCCTGGTGCAAGCCTGCTCTCAGCTCAGTTCTCCACTCATCGTTCAGATGAAGATACTCCAAGAGTCCGTTTTTGCTCGTCGATACAAGGCCTATATTTATCGCCTGTGGCAGGATTGGAGGACTTTCCCAGGCTATTGTAGTACCAAATTGACGAACCAACCAACTTGGCACTTTGCTGTGTCTCGGAGGGAACAAATTCAATTCTCCCGAGTCCGTCCATAACAGACGACTGCGACAAGCACGATCGAAAAGGGCCTTTGGCACACTCGGGCTGTCGATATGTGCCAGAAGACGGCAAAATTGCAAAATATCTGCATCATCGGTGGCCAACCGCCTGATTACATCTTGTTTCCTACAAAGATGATTAATATACCCCCAAGACAAACAAGTATATCACTCACCATGAAGCAGATCTCACAATTTCGGCCATTGCGAAGCATGTCCGTTTTGATATGCGAAGCAGCGATAGCTCGTGGTGAGGTTCAAATGACAACTCGAGAGTGAGATCTTAACGATGTGTCATACTCATTCTGACAAGAACACCGCGGCATCTGATCACGGGTATCAGGGTTCCGAGTTTAAAGATACATGTGTTTGTGTGTGAAGCCTGATGTTTGAGCGAGGTCGGGTTCGGTGAGGATGCTGTGGCGGCTGAGCATGCAGCAGAAAGCGCCAACACCATGATTTGCTCGGGTACATAACCAATAAAGGCAGATAAATTAGATGCCCAGCTACCTATGTCCGACTGCTCAGCCTCGCCGAAACCATTTGAGTCCTATTCAGAAACACATCTTTCACAGCTTCAATCGCTCACCCAGATTCCTCATTGGATCGAGCGCTCTCTCGCCGCTTGCGAATTATGGTTGCCAGGACGACGAAGACAGTTAGAGTAACTGAAATCCCCCTGAAAGTGAAGTTTGAAGAATTCGCAGCTCTAGCGACCAGTCTATGTGCGAGCCTCAAGAAAAAAAGCAGTTATCCTCTTTGTCCTCCTGTAAAACAATGGGCTCCACCGGTTTCGCTCTGTATCCAAGGCGCTCATCAAGTCGGGACAATCACCCTCCCTTCCTCTAAACACCGACAGGCTGCTTTGGTACCCAATGCAGTGACCTGGAACTGTGATGATACCTTTGAAGGCATCACAGTCTTACACTGCCCCAGAGATCCGGACATTGAGTACTCTTTCTTTTAAAGTTCAATTTAATATTCGAAGGTAGACTGACGGAATATAGTATCTGTGCGGTACATGGGTTGAACGATAATGCTTTCGAAACATGGTGTTCTGGGAACACGATGTGGCTCCGAGATCTACTTCCTCACACATCTCCCTTCGAGAACGCTCGTATTATGACTTTTGGTTACAACTCCGAGAAGTCAAATCGAGGGGTAATCCGGGGCCTGAAAGATTGGGCAGACGACGTTCTCAGGCACCTTTGTTCCGTTCGAGCTTCGGAGGAAGTTGGTATCCCTTCGTTTGACACTGACATGATTGCTTACAGGGAGGTAGGAAAGGAAGAGACCACTGCTTCTCATCTGTCATTCAATTGGTGGTTTGGTAGGGAGAGAAGTATTCAACATCCCCACGATGATGTATACTTCGTGGAAGCTGACTTATCTATCTCGAAGGCACTGATTCAGTTGAAAAACTACCCTCAAGCATAGCCAGATCTTGATTTCAAGTCATGCGCTATTCTCTTCCTCAGTACCCCCCACTCCGGATCGACAGATGCTAGCTGGACTAAATTTCTGCTGGACATCACAGAGCTGAGTTCTGGCGTCAGGACAAGCCCGATAACCAATCTACTCCGTCTATACAATCCCCAAGTAACAACCAATCGTGAAGAATTTGAGATTCTGAGCTCGAAATTACCATTCTCGTCGTTGTACGAAAGCCAGCCAACCAGTATCAAGGGGCTCAACTGCCAGGTACGACATGACGCAGCAGCGTAAACACTTCTACGCATTTTGCTAACATACTATTGGCAAGATTATCACACAGGAAGCTGCAAGCATCGGTCGCGTTATGGGGGTTTCAGTTCCGGAAGCCGATCACCGAAGCATTTGCAAAGTCGGCACAAAGTTCAGTGGCATCTACCGAATTCTGGTGAGAAACTTAACCGCTCTCAAAGCCGAGCTCAACGGCTATAAAAAGAAAGTAATGACTCCAAAGGTATAAGCTGCTTCCTGTCGAGTTCCGATTCCAGATGCAAAGAGCGGTCTTCTGATCAGAATCGTGCAGCCACAGATTGGTCGTCCGCCACCAACAGCACAAAGATACCCGAATCCTGCTGGTAAAGCTTTCTATGCAGGGAAAGGTCTCCGATCCACGACGAGGACGTCCAGGCTGCGAGGCCGTAAAGCTGAACATGAATCACTCAGCAGGCTCATCGCGCAGTGTCAGGAAGACGGCGGGGCTGTTGCGGTTACTGGAATTGGCGGGATTGGGTACGTTCTATAGCAGCTTCCACGGCACCATCCGTTAGTTCATCTAACCGCAAGTACAGAAAGACTGAAATATTACTCGATGTCGCATACCAGCGGCTGGACAAGACCAATATCTTCTTCCTTCGAGCTAGCACAAAGGTGATGCTTCAAGAGGCATACCTCCACGTCGCCATGCACATCGGGCCAGAAGTTCTTCTTCACAAGTACCAAGGAAGAGATACAAGAGATATCTGGAGTCGAATGGATGTCGAAGAAAGAATCGAGATGTTCAAAGAATGGCTAGCGCAACCCGAGAACTCAGAGACTTTGGTCATGCTTGACGACCTAGACGGTCTCGCGGATCCGGAAATTATCCTGTCAGCGATACCTCAAGGCGCCAAAACAGTCATGTTCTCGAGTAGAAGTCCCACATTACGCGAAGAGGTTGACCGCGAATGCCGGCATCTTCGGCTCTGGTCCATGAACACCGACGATATTGTTGACATCATGGAAGCAACAGTCCGGCAGAGCGACTACGAACAGGAGGGGGAACTGTATGATCGCAACATCCTCAAACAAATCGCTCAAGCAGTGCACGGGCATCCTCTCGCCGCATCACACGCTATCAAATACATCATCCGAGTCATCTCTCAAGAGCCTGTAGACTCACCGGCAGAAACGTTTCTTTCTATCCTGGAGGATCCAAACCACGAAACAAGAGCCAGTTTCCTTGAATACAAGCCCCGCGCTCCGTCTATCATGGACACCTTCTATGTCTCTCGGAACCGGCTTCCCAACCCTAACGGTCTCGCCTGGATATTGATGCAGTTTCTCAGTATCCTCGAAACAGATGCTTCGGTTGTCGACTATCGAGATTTCTTCTACAAACGACAATGTATTATCAGTCCAAATGAGTTCCCCAATCACGACTTGCTTTCAAATTGCGGGCCAAAACTTTCTGAGGCTTTTGCAGATCTGGAAGCTGTATCTTTTGGTGAGAGATTACAGACTTCGAAACCCTTTCGCTTTCATCGGCTGTGGCTGGAGTGTACGAGACATGCAATGGGTGCGGATATGAGGTTCCAGGCTGTGCGGCAGGTCTTGCTGATTTCCCACCGGACGGTCGAAGGCGCGATGGGAGATGAAGCTAGAGACCAAGCTTTAAGACGCTTTTTGCCTCACATCAGGAATTGCGTGCGAGTGTGTGAGCGGTTTGGCATTGAGTTGGCGAAATTTCAAGGAGCTGAGAATACCTTGTTGTGGTATAGGCGAGGAGAAAAGTTTAGCTATTGAGAGCAAGAACATGGCTGCATTCGTGCTGACTTTGCTCTGATCTGCAATGTACAAGATATCTCGTGATCAAAGCTTTTGGGCTGAATTTTGGATTTCGGTGCTTTTAGTGCACCTGAAGCAATGAACCAATCTGTTTTCGGTCATCTACACAATCTCCACCTTCTTGATCTTCCCCACTGCCTGGAACTCATCAATCACAATTTGCGGCCACGAGTTCATACAAATATACCGATCCTCTTCTTTCGGCTCTCTCACAAGCATAGCCAACTCCTCTTCTCCCGTATGTCGCCTCGCAGGACTCAACTTGGACAAAGTCGCATAATACAGCGTATTCCTCATAACCATTTTAATGCGTTCGACAGGAGCTCGTAGGCGGAACGCTGACAGTGGGAGACCCATGGACTGGGAAAGCTCGTCGAACTGCATGTCACAAGGGGTCCAAGAGCTTGGCTCTGTGTTGTCCCATGTATTCAGGCTCCACTCCCAGGGTATGTTCACGTACGGGGTGTCGTTTTGATTGAAACAATTGAAGAACACTGACCGTGCTGATATCGGGGAGGAGATGTGGAGCATGTTGTCTTTGAGGACTGGTCGAGCCTCGGGGTGTTCTCGGTAGATGAAGATCACGTAATCGTCCATGAAGTTTGCGGTCATGCCATGGTCGGCATTGATGAGGTGTTGCATGAGTGTCAGAATATCCATCAAACGCTGAAAAGGTTGGAGGAAGATCTGACGCAAGACCAGAAAGTTTACTGGGCGTATTGACGAATGGAAGTGGATCGTGCGCCCCAATTCCCCAAGGAAACGTCTTGCCTGAATTCTCTGCGAATAGAGCGTGCATCTGATATCATCACCTAGGTGAAGATCTCCTAGTCCCGACAACTTACTCCTCAAAAATGAGGCATAATGAGAAGATTCTACAAGGCTGCCCATCTCCGAAAGGTCTCTATGAGGGTTATCTGTCACCTCGAACTGGTCGTGTATTCCTCGGAGCAGTGCCGTAGTCAAACGAACGTTGTCTGGGTGCGTGGGATCGAACGGATGTGCGACTGTCAGATTATAGCAGGGGCATGTCTCAACAATCCGGTACGTATCTGCATCTGTCGATCGCCTCATAAAGAAAATAATGATCTGAGGATCACTTTCGCCCACAAGTGCGAAGACATCTAACGGTTCTGAGCTCGTGTCGTCGTCGAAGCTGATGTGTGAGGTAGTTAAAAAGAGCTGACAATTCGCGGAGCTGAACTGGAGGGTGTAAATATCTAGATTATTAACTCGAAAATGGTGAACTCTTCGAGGCTTGGCCGTTACAGTGTATAAGTGAACGAGTTCTATGGTCAAAGAAGCGGACGTTTTGTTGATTGTCGGTTCATCAGTGTTCCATGAGATCCAATCGATACCTGAAGTGGTACAGCCGATGTAATATCCTCCCCGGCTTGCGAAGTAGGGATACATCGCCCCTTCCTGGTCTCTGTGTAACTGAATATAGCAACGATTGCTGTCAGGTGGACCCACACCTTTTGTAGGCTCTTGACTCTCGTCATCCACAAGCCCCACAGCATCTCCATATGCGGAGCTACCAAAGTTTCTAAACGAGGGACCTACTTGATATTTGACTCTAGGAAACCCTGGGATCCCAGGCAGGTCGAAGGAACAGAGGTTCTTGCGGAAGTCGCCCAGGAGCCGGTATCCCTCCCAATTCGGTACCCAAGACGGATGTGACGGCAAAGATTTCTTTCCCGCTGCAGCCAGGAATATGATGGACTCCTTCAATTCAAGAATGGCGTAAGCCGAGATTCCAATTTGCGTGTGAACCGTTGAGATCGAGTAGTCTGGTGCAAAATCTTTCCCGATGTCAGATGATACAAGTCCAAGAAGGCCAAAGAGCTTGTCCCTTGGGTCGGATGCCTCGGACCTCGAGGCTATATCTAACACATCGAACAGAATCTTTTGCTGTAGAGAAGATCCGTTGCATAGAAATTCAAGCCAAGGAACATCCGAGGAGCTCCATGACCAATCCTGACCGCTACGCCTAGGCCCTGAAGTCAACTCGATGTCCCCGATGGGTATGAGTGCATTTGGCGCAAGGAGAAGCTCTTGTATCACCCAGACACGACTGAAGTAACGGAGGCCAAGTAGTTCTTTCAGTTTGGCACCCAAAGAGTCGATGGGACCGAAACTCTCATAGAGGCGATGACGGCGTGGGTACTGGTGACTGGATCTCGGTGTCTTGACGACATCACTGCCAAGATATACCACAACTCGGAGACACTGATGGTAGATTGTTCCCATTTTCGCGATTTGCCCTTCTTTCTCTGTTGCATCGTCTTGGTTGATGCAAAGTGCATCTATCCAGATCAAGCGGACCCCTCGCCGTGGGCGAATGTACTCGAGCAGTGACCAGCAGTTCTTGGTCTGTAAAAGTACATCCCAATACTCGCCAACGTACACTGGACGACACTTTGTGACATCTCCATCCTCTCCGCCCCAAGCATAAGAGACAGTCTCATACTCTGGGTAATCGTCGTCGTCATATGTTTCAAGAGTAACGTGGATGGGTTGTTTTTCGCCAACTGGTGAAGTCAGACACAGCAAGCGGAATTGATGACCACGCAATCGTTCTTTGTATACGTGGGAAGGCTTCTCAGTAACTTTTTCGCTGGTAATGTCGGCTTCAGCTTCGTCTCGCGAAGTGGCTTGGATCTCTCCATCTTCAGAGTATGTGACGCTTGGGGGCCAATGGAGATTCATTGCCCCGGCCTCCTCATCTGGCGGCAAGTGCCATGACTTATCCACAGTCTCCTGCTTTTCGATCAAACTCTCCAAGTCAGGCTCTTTGTCGCAATTCCGACATCTTGGGTTCCCGTCTTCCAGAACTATGTCCGGAGTTTCGCATGAGCCCTTGTGCCACCTACTCATCTCAGTTGTGGGACTGGGCCTACGAGGGGAGACCGACTCGAGTGATTACCAGAGAAGCCATCCAGAATAAACCAGGATATCCGCACGACTGCGGGAAGCAGGGCAGTGGTGTTGGTATAAGTTTCTTTCTTGACAACGAGCTTCAGCTGTGCAGTGTTGCCAAGCGTGCAAACCCCACCCTGCAGAGTGCTATAAATAGTAATCCCAATCCACGTGCTGATATTTCATCGGAACTTATACGTTGATTTGATACAACGTCATGGACTTTTCTGATTGATGATTCCAAGCTCAGCTTTTTTTTGGCCGGCGATGGGAAAGCGGAATGGACAAGCTAATACGAGAACCGACAAAAATTCGGTGTGTTTCGATCAAGCAACGTGAATACGAAAACAGTAAACAGATGCAATATATGTCTATGATTCTTGTCTAATTTCCAATCTCCTTACTCCTCTCCGAGCTGGCAATGATGGCCTTGCTGTACGCATACCTCGCTCTGTCTTCCTCGAGACTAAGTAACCCCGCAATCGTCGTCCCTTTCGGACTCGAGACCTTCTCTCTCAGAACTGCAGGGTGTTCATTCTGCAGCAGTGTTGCCAATGAGATCAATGACTGAGTCAAAATCTTGTTCGCATCTGCTCGCTTCATTCCCTGGCTGACTGCTCCATCCAGCATTCCATCAAAAGCAACTGACAGCAGAGCACTCGACGCACCCGCCATGACCCCGGCAACGTCATACAACTCGGGTGCAACTGGAGCTGTCTTTCCGAGTTGGCTAAACATCCACTCGATCAAATCTTCGTACTCATTTGGGATAAATGGGTTGGTCTCCAGGACAGTCATCGACTGTCCATATTCGGCAGCCATATTCATCATCGCTCTCTTGATGAAGAAAGGCTTCTCATCTTCAGTCTCTGGTCCCGCCCAGAAGATGGCAGCGTTTAGCTTTTCGACAGGAGAACCAGCGAGGACACTGATTATTAGCTTTCCAGCCAGGGCTTCTCGTACTCCATCAACAGTGAGGACCAAATCGATCATGTATGGCTTGAACCCGAGCAGTACGACGTCCGCCTCATTCATTGCTTTCACATTGTCCCCCTGTATGACTTCTAGACGATCCGAGTATTTGGCGAACTGGCTCTTCACTCTCCTTGCAGACCTTTCGCTGTTGACAGTTGCGATAAAGCGTGAGATCCTAGGGGTCTCTCCCAATGCCTGAGTCTTGGCACAGGAGTCGAGGACGCCTGAGAGGATTGCTCCAGCCATGTTTCCTGAATAGGTTAGTCACAATAATTCAACTAAGCGATCGCCAAAGCCCTCACCACATCCTATGACCCCCAGTGTAAGCCCCGTCCTCGGGGTGAATCCATTTGTGGTCATCCTTGAGGTGAGTCAAGTCGAAGTAAGGGGCAGTTTCGAAGCGCAGAAAGTCTGTCTCCTGATATCAATTGAGTTGCTTCGAATGGTTCTAAGATGTGACAATCAAATTGAGAGACTCCGTACAGACTCGTCAAGGCAAGACAATTTGTGGACAACAAATGTGGGATTTCTTTCTTGACGATGACCGATGACCCAGATATCCACCAAGCCAAATTTCCACCCGATGAAAATGAAAATTTACGCGAGTCCCGATAAGGATAAGAAGGGCGGGCCTGCGATAAGGACTCAATTTCAACCTCACTTCATCTCTTGAGAACATCAACAGCCATCATCTTATCCATATCGGCAGAATCATCTGAGATCGCGGTTATGACTCTGTATCTTTTGCATAATGCGTCAAATATAGCTGCGAACCAAAGAGGAAGCTACATCACGAGGTGCTCATCCACTCTTCGGTACCGCGTTTCATGTATCTGGGCTGTGCAGCATGGTAGCAGCTCCGATAGGTGGAACGCCAGTGTATATTTTCTTTTCGAAATGGAACCACGCTTCTCATCACAAACAACATCTCGCTCCTTATCAGTATTCATAGGAACTGGTCTGATTACCCGGGTTACTATGCACTGAGCACTGAACGAATGAATCCAATTCTTGAGATATCATCAATTATGATCTTTGTGGTGACAACCGAGACTCCGGTGAGCCGCTGCGGATCTTGTCAGGGATAACGTCGATCAATCAACCGTCGTCCCCCCTTGGGCACCATCTCAGATTAAGGATGCGTCGTTGATGGACCAGAAACGCAGCATACCCAACCGGCAGAGACCGACGAGGAAACCGGCCCCGCCCAGGGCCCAACTTGAGATGAACTTCATGCGGCCAACCTTGTTTCTGCTCAAGGATTGTGACAGTTGACGTGTGGTGGCGCATCGCTTCCCGGGCGGTACATCTTCCAGCAATGCGAAACTGAACAATCTGGATATTTTGGACCAATGATGATTCCATATTGACGGATGATTTACCTTCCCCTGAGTGCAGAAACGGCCATTCCAGCACCATTATTTCCCACAAACAATGCCATATCGTTGGCGTAGTCGCTGATGCTGGGCAGGGAGAGCAGTCTCTTATAAAGTCTGATATGTCTGCCGATCAAAGCCCGTAAGGTCTGTTTTCAACCCACCACCACATTCATTCATTTGTCCGTTGTTTTTGCTTGCTGGGCAGTTTTTCATATCATCACGTGCTCGGTCATGTTACCTTCCAATCTTTTAGTTTTGCTCTCTGCAGCTACCACTCTCACTCTTTCGAATGCTCTTCCAGCTTCTCAGTCATTACCCGAACCTCATTATGCTCAAATTGGCGAACGTCGTCTCAACAGCGAGCGTCTCAATACCCGAGCAACAAAAACAGAATATGTCACCTACGCCGTCGCTGGGATCAACCAAATGATGACCTGGTACAACGCAGCAACAGGCCTATGGCAAGAAGCTTGGTGGCCCAGCGCGAACGTTGTCACAATGTTGGCCAACTTCCACCAGTACTTCCCAGACATGGCGAAAGGGATTACCGAGCAGGTATACACAACTACTTTCGCTGTCGCCGAAAAGACTTTTCCTGGATATCTCAACGGATTCTACGATGACGAGCTATGGTGGGTGCTTGCCTGGATTCAGGTCTACGATGTTACAAATGACCAAAAGTACCTCGACAAAGCCGCTGCAATATTTGAAGACTCCAAGAATGCATGGGGACAAACTCCATGCGGTGGGCTTTGGTAGGCTCTCCTCTATTCATAGCAAAATGCAATACTAATTATTCTTCAGGTGGGACAAAGCACATACACAAATCGGCGCCGTAGAGAACGAATTGTACCTCTCCGCAGCCGCAAAACTCGCCAATCGCCGCCCAAACACCCCATCTGGCGGATACTACTTTAATGAAGCAGTCAAAGCTTACGAATGGTTCATCGGCTCCGGCCTCATCAACTCCGATAATGTAATCAACAATGGCCTCAACATCGCCACATGCCAGAACGACGGGAGCTACGTCTTTTCCTACAACCAAGGAATCCTTCTCTCTGGCCTGGCTGAACTCACGTGGTCGACTGGAGACCCGAAGTATAATCAGTTGGCGAACACAATCGCTCTGGCTGCCATGAGGAACCTGACGAACTCTGATGGCATCCTCACGGATCCTTGTGACCGCGGTTGCAACTCTGACACCGAGCAATTCAAGGGTGTCTTTGGTCGTGGTATCCAATTTCTGGTCAACCGCGCAATGGTTCTGGATGATGCAACCAGAGCTATCTATATCAATTTCCTGAAGAAGAATGCCGACTCTATCTGGGCATACGACCAAGTCGATAATCAGTTGGGGCTCGTGTGGAGTGGACCGAAAGGCACCGCGAGTGTCCAAACGCAGTCGTCAGCACTGGATGCTATTGTTGGAGCCGCGTGTGTTTCGTGAGAGCGTAGGGTATTTTTGGTTACGACGGTTTGGTTTCGGCGTAATTGATAGACACTGGGTATGGCTACTTGCCTTGATGGTAATGTCTTTTGGTTTGGCTTGATTGGGATATATGATACCAGGATACTTAGAGATAGTGTGTTACGAATTTAATGACCTTGACAATTTTATTTGATTAGGTTTCTTTTGCCGTTTAATCTGGCCCCAGTTGTATCATCCGAAGACAAAGGCAGCCAATAGGAATGCTATTCCTGGCCATCCATGCTTTTAATACAATTGATGACGGTTCCATCCAACTTCCCTGTCGTCGTATCTCTCGTCGCATCTATTGTCATCAAAAGGATTCATCCTCACCATCGCCCAGCCGCAGCCGGGTGAAGCTACCCACCCAGCTTTGCCTGACAAGTTGCACGATTTTGAAGTAGCCCGTACCGCCAAACCTTACAATATTAAGTTGCGGCGCTGTAGTCGTCCTCAGAACATGTCTCTACCTCTACGTGCCGCTTTTTGTCAACTTGTCCAGCTAATGTAAGAGCTCACTCGCCAGCTACCCATGTGAGATGATATGGCCAGACGTAGTAAGCCTGGCATTTCAAGCTTACTTGAAATAAGGTATTTATCAATAACCGAGTTTCTGCTCAGCGTATGAGCTGCCTTCTTCTAGTTTGGCACAAGCTGTAATTGAAATGAAACGTCAAGGAGCAATTTTCCAAGAAAGCTGTCTCATTCATTGTTTCGGTTTTGTCGCTCACGACAGTCGCAAGAACAGACATGTCTCGCTTTAGATATTTCAGGCCCATATATCTACATCCTGGGATGATAACATGATATGGGAGCTTCCTCCACAGACACCAAGAAATTTCAATGTCCCTTAACAGAGTTCACGATGCCTCAATCATTCACTTCACATGATAGATGTCACGAAAGGAACAGAACAATCGACTGTGCAATACAAGGCAAAGATGGACTTGACTATATTGGAACCAGGATCTCGGACTGCACCCTGGCCGACAGAAACTCAGGTCATCTCCCTCCTGCCGCATCCAAAAAGCCCCGCCTACGGCCAAGTGGCCTACAGTTCTTTATTTTCTGTGACATCCCCAAACCTCTTCTTTTCTCAGCAAGCCATATCCCTGAAGATGGATCTTTCACCTTTCAACGAATCCAATCCACATCCTTGCCAGAAATTCCTCGCGGACAAAGTCCTTAAGCATCGGAGCAGTTATCGTTGGCCTACGAAGCCAAATATTGCCACCATAGCTGCTATCACACTCAGCATCCTCCCTGACTTGGACGACATCGTAATCTCTTTCTTGAACAAAGGTCGCAGCCACACCGTTTTCAAAATATATTCAAGTGGCAACCAAAAAGTCAATTACGTGTTCCGTGTCTGTAATCCCCGCGATTGCTTCCTCAAGCTCTCCAGCGAAGTCGCGACACTCACTCTATTGCGATAAGAGACCACAGTCCCTGTATCTGAAGTCATCGCCTATCATTCCAGTCGAAAACACGAGCTAGGCTATGATTGGGCGATAACCACATTTGTTGATGGTCACCCTCCAAATGGACTAGACGAGATACCCAAAGCTGGCTTCTATGAAGAACTCCAAGGCTTGATGGAGAAGCCTACGAAGCTGCCGAAGTTCAAACTCATTGGAAGTATATATTTTTCAAGCAATCTCATAGCCTCGAGATATCACTTGAATAGTGGAAAGAAATATAATGAGTTCTTCGCTGTTGGACCTATTGTTGACGTGTGGCTCAACCCAGCGCTCTTTTTCTTAGGTGCTCCTTCAAAAACCGTGGGCCTTTCGCCACGGTGTCCAACTACCTCATTGATGAAGTTGGTTGGTGGTACAGCAAACTGATTTTTTCAGAAGAAAAAAAGCTAACAGTGGAGCAGCTAGAGATTCTCAAGCGCTTGTTCCGAATTGGAGAGAATATTGTCAAGGGGTACAAATGTGACCATTTCACATTAGTACACACCGACTTGCTGTACTGCAACATCATCTTGGATAACTTGTCCAAGAAGATCAACGGCATCATTGATTGGGAAGGGGCTGTGATTCTGCCTGGCTGTTTTTCTCCAGCGGTCATCAGCGTTGGCACTTCTGACTTTCCTCAGACCATTGGAGCTTGCCGGGTCGTGCGTCCAAGTCCAAGTACCGGAGATAATGATACGATCAATAAATCTGGTGGAGAAGAAGGAAGTCTAGAGATGATGCGATGAAGTATCAAGCCGCAAGCTGGAGACTGGAAACTTCCGAAGGCATGTCGGTGTGACGAGCTGTCTCCTCTGTTCGGACCTTTTTTGTTATTCTGCTGCTACTGGGTACCCGTGACTGGCGTTCGATCGACGCCAACCTGGCCGAGGATGAAAAATACGGTCGATTTCTTTGAGAAATCTGTGGACTGGTAAATTTTGAGATTAGGCGAGTGCGCTCTGATGAAACAACATTTCTCCCTGCCAATACCAAATGGAACATCTCCGCTCTGGTGTCGCTGTTGTTTTTCGCTTGAGTATCATGTCTTGGTTGGTTCCACTCTATCGTTAAACTTTCCAGGTAGTATTACTACAATAACGCCCCGAATTTAGATCCTTCGCCACCGCCTCGAGATTCCACATAGCGAATTTGATGCTCTTGAATATGTTATATATCTCTCGCACGGGATCTCCCACCTTCTCGTAGTAATCTTATACTAGGGTAAGAGAATTGTTTACCTAGGTTAGTCCTACATTAGCGCGATGTGTTCCGACGACGGACACGGAGATTTCTGCACATGGAGTAGATAAGACCAAACCACAGGTAAGATGCGTCAAACTCTACATGGTGGCCCGACTCTTTCTTGTCTGCCGTGTCCTGCGCGGACCTCAGATACAATTCCCATTTGTTCCCCTCTCGAAGCCTTCTCTGTGACGGAGAGCCAGCACCATAAATGATCTCGATACTCTAATCGAATTCAAGACGACCTTCTTTCTCATATTCCCTCTTCTCCCAAGCTCACTAAACGTGATTATCCACACTACTGCTTTCTTTTGATGTCTAACGGTAACGGTCCTGTATCCCAGCTTTTCTGCGCATCCGACAGAAGTCAAATGAATAATCCTACTCATTGGTATCACGAGAATTGTTAACTGCAGCTCGGGATTCTGGTCTCCGACGAATGGATTAAGCAAAAGTAAATGCACAATCTGCTATCTGAGAAACATGGGTATAAACCATTGAGTTGTTTTCGTCAACTCAACAAAAGGTTCAAAACAAGATCCACATACGCTGTAAACCTCGGCTTTTGTCAAGAACGTCAGCCCCTCGCTAAAAGGCCTGTAAGGTAAATTTCATTGAGCCTATTGCTTTGACACCATCCCTCTCTAAACTGTATTCATCTGTTGTACAACACCAAAAGCGACGACCGGCAAGCGACATTATTAGTACATATACCTGCACCTTAAAACACGGTAATGCAGTCAGCGTCACATTCTGGTTTGCCCGCCCACACGTGGTTCGGCCAGCTCACATCTTCGCTCGCGCTACTTTCCGAGCACTATCTCGCTCTATACTTCCTGTTTACGCCGAACGCTTATCAAAGTTTAGCGATTTTCGGCATTCTCAATGTCCCAGCATCATTCAATCGGAATCGATTAAAGGGTCATGAGGCCATAAGGTATACACACAAATAAGAAATAGTTATACTAAAACGCAGCCCTACTGTTTTAACCTTTTAGTAAGCTGACTTAAGGAAATCCACTTAGTTACGTACTTTAAAGAATTATTTTATAGTTAAATTATAACGAAATTTTAAGCACTTAATTTTATAAGAATTATAAAAGACTTATAATAATATTTATACAGATATTATAATAATATTAATATCTTATTATTTACTATATTTCTAGAAGGAAACCAGTTTTAAAAGGGTATTCTCGCTTAATAAAACAGCGTGTGTGCCTTAAGCAGGGGTCTGACAGGGGTCAATTTAGGTGTGTGTGTGCCTTGTGGCCTCATGACCCTTTAATCGATTCCATTCAAGCCATGGCACTCATTTCAACCGAAGCATGGAACTTTCCGATGCCGTCATATCACCCTACCTCACAAATTTGCAATATTGCTCAAAGGCTTAATTTTTTTACACTAGTGCCATTCCAGTAGTTCAATTCCTTAGTTCAGGATGTCCTGCTTAGACGCACATTACGAATGCCGTCTTCATTGGATTCGCGGATTCCTCCCCGACACTTCAAGGACTTGGGTGGGATCAACGTCGTACTCCTTGGAATATTTGCGGCATGTTACTGGCGGAGTCGTCTGAGTTCATTGAGGGCGTTAACGATACCGGGGTTGTTATGCGGGGAAACTGGACAGGTTGCTACAGGGGACCCCTCCTGGAAGCTCTCCCATGGTAAGGCCCCACGTTGGCGAGATCGAGAAAATAAGAGGAGATGGAGGCATATATGGAGGAAGTTTCCCTGGATGTAATTTATTTCTGTTGGTAAAGAACGATTCTCTTGGCGCGGTTAAACGCTGCAATCTCGATTCTTCTTCATTTGGCATTAAAGAGACTTGAGGCGATTCCCAATCAAATGTCTTCTAACGGCACAACTCATAAAATGGATGAGATAAAAAATGTTTCCGAGCAACAGTACCCAGAAGGTCTTGGCCTTGGGTCCAATTTATCCCATATCAAAACATCCGGTGGAATGACGATCTCTCCAGAACTTTTCGAAAAAGTACAAAGAATTCTACTCTTAGTTGCTTTACCAGAATGGACCAGAAGCTGATTTGGTGAAGCTTTATCTTACCCCTAAAACCCAATCAACCGGCGACTTCAGAAAGCGTTTTGCTAATCCGACTCCACTTGGCCTTATGGGGTATAATGCCCGCCCTACAACATATCTTACTCTGTTGACTCTGTCTCTAGTTTCGTTATTTCATCATTGACATATGCATCAATTATGATGGGATGGGGTGGATCTACAACTCTCACTGGCGTTGCGTAAGCTTCTGTGCATCGCCACTCGCAAACGTTCCGCTAACATCCGTCCACAGCGGCATCTTCTTCTTCACAGGTCCCGTTCTCCTCCTTCTCGCCCTGATTTTCGAATGGATAATGGGAAATTTCTTCTCCATGCTCGTTATGGGCATGTTTGCAGTCTTCTGGCTCTCGTTCGGCGTCCTCCAGGCGCCTTCGTGGGGAATCGCCGAGTCGTACAGCGCAACCGGGAATGCAGCTGAAGGCGCAGCTTCGGTGGGATACAATGCGGCGATTGCCCTGTACTTGACGATGTGGGGATTCTGGCTCTTCACGACTTTCCTCTTCACACTCAAGACGAACATGGTCTTTGCTCTCATTTTCTTCTGCGCATTTATCAGCAGCTTTATTTTCGCGGGTGCATACTGGAAAGTCAGCACTGGAGAGTATGATATGGCATTGAGGTTACAGAAGGTTTGTCACAGTACCTTGATGTGGAAGAGGTAGTTGCTGACGGACGCAGACTGGTGGAGCGATCTTTTTCATACTTGCAGTGCTTGGATACTATATAACCGTCGTCATGATAGCAGCAGAGATGCGCATCACAGTCCAGCTGCCAGTCGGAGACCTCTCTCATTACTGGCCAAAATCCGACGACCTTGCCGATATGGAGAAGAACGAATGATTTCCAGCAGCGGAGAGACCCTATGGAAAATGAGTATTTACGAAGCCCCGAAGAGTGTGCGTGATGGATAATAGTTTGTCGTATACTTGGCAAGTAGCTAGTCATGTCTAATTCAGCAGCATCAAATCCAACTATTGTTTCAAGAATTGCTAATCGTCTGCTGTATTTTCCTGGACATAGTAAGGCTCGGCAACAATATGTTCTAGAATACAACAGTTTCCATATCGTGGTAATCGTAAGACCTGAGTTTTAAAGCTCAGCATCTCGGTGATGATCATGGGGTTTCACGTGGGCAATCATACAGTTATCTGTGCACATATTGTTCTTGAAACGAAACGAGACAAGTCGATCTGGGGTACCCCAGCCTGTCAGCTGCCAAATCTTCCGAGTCGCGCAGCGAGACAGGATGAAACCCATGAAGCCTCGAAACAAATACCTCGTGTTCTATTGCTACTCTGCAACAAGCCTTGAGGCGAACTGGGTTAGAAATCTTGGCCCATTTCTTTTCGTTATAAGAAACATGAGAAGTTCTGCATGATTGTATCTTGCTTTTCATCTTTCTTTATTCAAAAGCAAACTACTCTGGCAGTAGTTGTCCTTCTACTACTTAAATCGTCAATTTTTTATCTGTCCCAGATATACACCAGTTCAATCGCAATGCGCTTCTCAATCGCAGCCCTCACTCTCCTCCTCACTCTCGCCGCAGCGGCACCTCACAACCGCAACGCAGCTACGACTACAGACTCGACAGAAGTAGCATCAACCCAGAACAATAACAAAGATGTCACGAATGACAATACGGATGATGCAGCGGGGGCTGCGGACGCTACCGGTGCTAAGAGTGCCACGAACGATGATGATGATGATGCAGATATCGCCGGCATTATTGCACAGCTCCAAGAAACATTCGACCGAGACAATCCGAACGGTACGCCAACGAGCCCTGGAGACCCAGATGATTTGAATGGCGATGGAATTATCAATGTGTTTGAAGCGGGTGCTCAGGCGAGCTAGAATTTCAGTGCTGGGCTGGAGATAGACTTCAAGTTGTAGTAAAGCGGATTGGCAACATTCTCGAAAGAAAGTGTATTACAATTCCCTCGGGGCCTCATATGGCACGTCAAGTCCTACTACGAGGCATGCTCTATATGATGTATTTGATCCAAACGTTGAGAATGCTACTGCCTCGTGAAAACTGATAGTTGCATCTATCATCAATTGATGACTCGCTTAGCTTGTTTTGGTGTCAACAGCGCTAACTCTACTCAATTGGGTTACTTTTCGCCTTCGATAGGATTTTGACTGAGAATACTTTCCAACTTGGTATTGGTAGTCAGACAGATTTAGTCTGCAGACGTGAGCAATTGCTGCTTTAACCTGAACCTGTGATGAGTATACCTGACCCAAACCTGAACATCTTAAACACCCAAAGCGCTCTGCGAGCTATCTTTGCAGATCGTATTCTGATCTTTTGTGTAATGTTGGTCACCTCCATGATTGAAACAGATCACGGACATCGAAATTCGATAATGAACTCCATCCAGCAGAAATTCAACAAATCGTTGAAGCTGAAAACATTCAGTTATGACCCTCTTGCCGAAGACGACAGCATTCGGCTTCTTTTACTTGAACCTGGCCAGCCAGGTGACCCTATCTCTTGTAGCCTTATCCATACTTCTATCACCGAATGTCATGACAATATTTATGAGCAATATACTGCATTGTCGTATGTTTGGGGAACCCAATTAAACGCCCAGACGATCCATGTCAACTCGCGACCATTCCGAATCACAGCCAATCTTGCTGCCGCTCTCAATGATTTGAGAGATGAGCATAAATCTCTTCGTTTATGGGCAGACGCAATATGCATCGACCAAACCAACAATTTGGAGCGAAACCATCAGATCAAACACATGCGCGACATATTTTCTCTGGCTCAGCCCACTGTGGTATATTTGGGTCCATCCACTGGCGCTAGCACTTTCGTGTTAGACGTACTCCAATATTGGTGGAGGCGTGGATCGAGCCGAGTCTTGTCTGGAGAGAAGGCGGAAATCCGCAGAATGGTAGCCTCCGAACTTCTCCTGAGAGATTGGTTCACTCGTGTCTGGACGTATCAAGAGCTTGTACTGTCAAAAGAGGTCTGGGTGCAGTGTGGTCGACAAAGACTGAAGTGGGATGTTCTATGCAGTACACTGCTGGACCAAGATCATCGACTGATACTTAGCTCGAAGACACCAGAGAGCTCTCAATCACCTGTGAATATGATGCCTCAATTTCGATTGCTACTGCAGATGAGAGACACTCGCCTGAGATATCTCGTTGGACTCCTGAGCGACACCGAGCCCGAGTCCCTTTTGTCGATCCTTTTAACTCGCCGTGGGTCTGGAGTAACGGATGCTCGTGACATGATATATGGACATCTTGCAGTCTCTGGTCTACATCTTCCACGGAAAACAATTTCTCAAACTCCGGTGCCAGAAGTTGATTATGACAAAACCATTGCCCAGGGATATGCTGCTGCAACGGCATTCATCATCAATTCAATGAGAAGCAATGGAGTACTGTTCCATACAGAGGTCTTTGACCGCACTCTTCGTCGACGAGACCTACTACCATCCTGGGTTCCAGATTGGTCTCTTGGTAGCAGTCACCATCCTCCCTTATTGCGGACTCGGATCCCTTTACCTAAAGACTTTCCTTCAAGCGTACCGAGTATTAGGCCGCACAGTCTTTTCATACCTGAGCACTTAGTACTGGTTTATCAAGGATGGAGAGTGGGCGAAGTTGAGAATGTTGGTTTTGCAATATCCCACCAAGAGGTTCTCACCGAGTATCTGGTACGATATATCAAACGTCTCTGCGCTTTAAGATTGAGCTGGGTTTGGAACCTTAGGGATCGGAACGACCAAAGCCGTTGCCGGGCCCAGGTATACATTCACATCTACGCTTTTTGGCAGAAAGTCTTTGGTGATGCTTCTTTCCCTGATTTACCATCTGAACCAGGACAAGTAATAGACGACAGAAACCAAAAGATCTTCTGGAACGATGCTGAGGACTTGTACTGCGAGCGCCAAAGATTTCGTTGGAATGATATTTTAAACTTCCAGAAAGACTACACCATTTTGCAGCAATTCCTGACCCAGCAAGCTTTTCGAATCAGCGGCTTGAATGAATATCTAGAGAAGGGACGGAAACTTGTCACAGTAGCGACAGGCGGTCTGGCAGTTGTACCGCAAGATACACGCAAAGGAGACTTGGTTTACTTCCAGCCAATCGGCAACTCGCTGTACTTCACTGTCCTCCGACCTTTCCTGGACAATAACAGTGAAACGTCCCCAAAACCAGAAATAGAGAAGACAATACGTGAGAGACTCTGGTTCAGAACTGAAGGAATGAACATTCACTTCTATACCATGATTGGAGCAGCCTCTCTAGGGGCAAACAACCATATCCAGAGACTGATGGCGGCCTCCATTGCCAAGGATGTCGAGCATATCATTGCACTCGTGTGAATACGCTTGTGGACTTGGTCCAGAGAGAAGTCGAATCCTTCTTTCCTAAATCAGACAAGAGAGATATTTCTCCCACCTTTCTTGTCGCTGGCCTCCAAGCATGGTTATGAGGTTGTCTTCGTCAGCTTCTGAGTTGTAGCGCTGGCTCGCCAATTTAGCCAATCAGTGACCATGTGTCGCATTCTGACCAATTGAACAGCACGCCTGAGCTGACACCCCGTTGGCGCAGGCTTATGGTACCTACCCAAATCCCAGTGCGCGGCGGATATACCTTCATTGAGCCCATCTTGACTCAAATGATGATGAAGGTGCAGAGTCAAAGATGCGAGAAACGAAAAAGGATCAACGCGGCGTTCTCGGTGCTTACTCTGGATGACTTCCTCCATGTATCAGTCAAGTATATTAACAGTGTCCGCAATCAACCTTTGCAACCAAACTCACTGATATCCGAACTTTCATAATGGCTGCTCCACAGTTTGCAGTCCCCGTGGAATTTTGTAGCCTTGTTCGATATGTCGAGTCTAAAGATCCTCGATCGGACGAAGACTTACTCGAGGCCTTGACCAAATATGTCCCTATTGAAGGAGGATCGGAGAAAAATATTTGGACGTTTTGGCATTCGGGCATCCAATCAATGCCAGCATGGTGTCAGCGGAATATCTTCAACTGGATTCGCTTGTGCGGCCCATCGTGGACCGTTCGCGTTCTTGACAATATTCCCGGATCACCAAACAATGCTTTGAAGTGGGCTGAATCTTCGGAGATCAAGCTCCCCGATACATTTGTGAAGGGTACTATGGATGGGCCGTACACTGGACCACACAGTGCGGATTTTCTTCGTGGCGTGTGCTTGTATCTCTATGGAGGTGTTTGGATGGACACTGGCATCATTCTCATCCGAGATCTGGACAGAATATGCTGGAACCAGTAAGAACTCCCCTTACAATGTAGGGTGTCGACTGCTGACTTTCTCCAGACTGGCGGATCCTTCATCGCCATTTCAAGTCTCAACTCCACTGATGTATGGAACGATCATTGCCAACCACTTTGTTGCAAGCAGGAAGGGCGACCCATTCATCAAACGCTGGTAAGTCAAACGCACCTGGGTTGATCGGAATCTTATCGAACAGAATAGGCATGATATCTTCATCCACATGTGGGAAGGCCAAACTAGCTCCGCAAACATCATCCAGCATCCACTTGCAGCAATCGGTGCTACTATCAAATTCGAAGACTCCGAAGCTAGAGGTTTCAAGTGGGAGTTCAAAGTCGAGCCTCAATTTGTCACCGGATACATCGCACAAGTCTTGGCATGGATGAGACTAAGCGCTCTCGAGGAACCCAACGGCTTCAACGGACGAGACTATGCAGCAGAGAAAATCCTACTCTTCGACGCCCTAGACGAAGACTGGGGCGCCGAAACAGTGGTTGGCTTCGAGGGCCAGGCGTTGTTCGATGCACTTGCTACAAAGTGCGGTCCGGACGCCGATCACGATTCTGAGGCGTACAAGTTGGCGTACAAGAATGCTTGGAGGATTATTACAAAGTCGAGTATGCAAAAGATTACTCATGGGAAGAACTTGACGAAGACACCAGCGCTTGGTGTTCTTTGGGATGAGAAGGAGAATCAAGGGAAGGATGTGGAACCGGGGACGTTCGTAGAGTTACTCAGATACGGGAGTGTGAATCTTGAGCAGACACGAGAGAGTATTCGCTACGTCAAGGGTGAGAAGCCGGAGCTGGTCATCAGAAAGGGGTTGTTGGAGCCGTAGATCACTTGTCATTCGGGAATACAAGCTTTTAGACAATAATATTTGAGTGGTAGACTTTCTCAAATGATCACCATTATGTTACTCCGTCTTGATCATTCTACTCATTTGATATTATCGCCAATTGGTACTACAGATTAATTGCGTTTCGGCTCATGAGACCCCGGAGTATATCTCGCGGCTCGCTTAGCAATCGAGATCATCAACAACGACTCACTGTGGTTACCCTGTCCCACCAATACATCCAAAAGTCGGCTGTCTGAGAAAACTCGGCTCATACATATGCAATCATTATTCCGTACACCCAGCGGGAAGACGGAAATATATGAGACACGTATCAAGGTATGGGGGAACAAGCGCGACTACATGGATGCGGAAAGTTGATTATGATCACCCTGCACTAAAATAAATCAAGACAAAACAAACATAGCACGATGGTGCGAAAAACCTCTATGCCGTCATTAATATTCATAAATATACTCATATTATCCATTATCCTGCGTTACAGATCGTCCTCTCGCCGACTGTTCTCCAGTTTCTTGTTTACACTGACATGCTCAGCGAGGTACTACAGATCGTCCCGAGACCATAGTACAAATCTCCAGGACTACATTGGGGAGTAATACCATGTGTTATACAAAGACAATACAGTCGCTTTTACGTCTCATCCCTCGGAGCTTACTCAATCGCCGATATGGGGCCCTTGACCGAAAACATATACAGCACTATTTCCACCCGCCCATGCACAAACTTTGGAATGCTACAGACTTGCCAATTCAGCACAAAGACATTACAAGAACGAAATCTTCATAACCATAAGCATTTGAATCTATTGCAAAAATGCATCTCTCTGTTCCCGCTCTCACCATCCTGCTCAGCTCCGTCCTAGCTGCCCCTCGTCAACATTCCGCCAAATGGAGACTTGAGGAGAGTGGAATCCACAATGGTAGGAATTTCTCTTTTCCATACTCTGAACATATACACACCTTGTTCAATACTCAATCAGACGTCTCTACAGAAGAAGTCTTTGACCTTGGTTCAGAGTGCCCCGAGGGGATGCGCTGGAACCCATTTTTCGGCTGTCTTCCTATCAAAGGTTCTTCAGCTGGTGAGTACGCGATCAGGGAAAAAAAACGTTCGAATATAGGACGCTTTGATCTGATGGCATTGAACTACACATACAGCCTTCTCGATGACTCTCACTGGCATCTGCTGAAATCTTAGGAGAGGCTTCCCGCTCCATGTGCCCACCGGGTTGGCATTGGACTCCGCCCGCAGGCTGCTTTCCCGACAGGTCTTCAATTGGTAAGTAGCCGATCGGAGAACATTATCTAAGTATTGAATCAATCTGAATTAACACTCTCCAGAAGAAGACCTAGTCCGTGGCTCTTCAAAAGGTTGCCCCCCGGGGTGGCAATGGAACCCGTTCATGGGCGGTTGTTTCCCCAACGGAAGGTCTTCAATTGGTAAGCACTCAAACCATGCCACACTATCTTCTGTAATAAGATCATTGTTACCTGACTAAATTCAACAGCTAAGATCCATGACCCAATCTGTCCGGACGGGTGGGTTTGGAAGCCAATTCTCGATGAATGCTTGCCTGCCTTGTCTACAAGCCATGCGCATGCCTATCAGGACCCAGGATGTCCGGATGGGTGGGCTTGGAACCCAATTCTCGACGAATGCTTGCCTACCCGTTCGCGCGCCTATGCTCTAGACTGCCCCAAAGGATATATCTGGGACACACTCTTCAAGGAATGCGCGGACTATGCGTTGGTTGCAAGTGGTATGTTCGCCATTTCCCTATTTTGCAACACCGTGACATGCTATATAGGAAGGAAACATAGCTGACAATTCATCGATATGTTAGAGATGAATCGTAATCGCGATGTAGGATGTCCACCTGGCGAAAGTTGGGATCCGTGGGTGGGGGGATGTAGACCCTAGATCGTTTAACCTGATAATGTAGGTTAGTCTTTGGTTCTAGTTGTCTTTAAGCTTGAGGCTGATCTGTAACGAGATGAATGGAGGTGTCCTCATGAAAGGGAATGCTTTCGTGTTGATCCAGGGCAGGCTTGCCATCGGATTTAGTTTGTTTCTTTGCCTTTCCTCTTGTCTGAAGCGAATTTGCTTGGTCTTGAGAGAAGTGATGGGAGTGGTGAACTTCGGCTGGTGTGCCTTGATACACGCGAGGGAAGAAATGGCAAGTGTATTAGTCGAATTTTCGATTTCGACAATAATAATCACTTTGCCCGTCTCTGTGAGTGTGCTGCAGTGCCTTCTGTGATAACTTCGAGTTTTTGGAGCTAGAAAAAGGGTCCTGAGGGTGGATTTGGGTGCGAAGGAGGAGGAGATTTGGGAATGGGGGAGAGCATGTACTTGTATTCGTGAGTGGGAGGCAGGATGGTGTTGATAAGGGCGTAAGACTGAGTGACATTGATATAAAGGAGCAAGGGTGTAAGTAGGTCAAGATAGGTACACGAACGATGAAAGTATTGGCAAGGCTGCTTGATAGCCTTAAGCCTTCGATTAATTTCTGTTGAAAACCAGGTGAATTGCTCCAACATAGGTGCGTCTTATGACGGGATACCACCGGGACTAGTCTGCTTCTTCACCTCCTCCACCTTACTCGCCCACCTATTTCTAATCCTCTCCGCACCATCAACCTTCTGAGGATACAATATCCGCTTCAACGCAATAGCTCGAATCATCATGCCAAACACGTAAATCCACATCATAACCAGTAGCACCGCAAGGACAGTACCAAAGATCCTCAATGCGCGAGAGTCGAGAGAATTGGCTATTGCAAAAGTAGCGGTCACGAGGGCGGTGTTCGGGAAGACAAAGGAGAACCTGGGTTAGAGTATTAGCGAGGAGTTTCAAGGGTAGACAAGGAAGGTATAGGGACTTACCAAGTCATGTCGAAATGTATCTGATGCTTGTCATTGGGTCTGACGATCTGGAAGTGCGCGCCGACACTGACAAGGAAGAACCAGAGACATAATCCCCATAGCCAGATACCAACGAGGAGCGAGATGAGCTTAAGAACAAACTCGGCGTTGTCGTTTCCGAAGTGGACATTTGGTGATATCTTGGAGATACCCTTATTGCAAAGCAAGACTAGGCCTGCGACGGTGAAGCCTGATGGACCTACGGAGACAAACTGTAAAGTTTGTATTAGCGAGATTGCTCCAAGGGGCTGTGAAGTACATACCATTCCAGGTCTAGTGGTCTCCCGTGGTAGCTTCTGTGTCATGAGACGATAAATGAACGCAGAGTATATCATCAAGCTGACGAGAAAACCGATACCCTGAATGCAGACAGCGCCAAAAGCAATGGCAATGGAATTGATTCGGTCTGCTGCAGTAGCATCGGGAAGGGCGGCGATTAAGTTTGCGGCGAACGGAGCGACGAGAAGAAGTGGGTAGGCAGGGAAAATCCAGATAGGCGTCATCATATGAATTGGGAAAGATCTGACACAAATTAGTGCAAGTACAGACGTAAGAAAAAGATGAACGAACTGGGTGGACCAGATGATCAGATATATGCCTGCGCTTGCAATGACGCTTATTGCGACATATGCCCAAAACAGCACCTGCATCACGGTGTGAAACCATGGACCAGTATATGGAATGCCATATTGAGAGAAATTAATCAGGATGGTGCCGAATCTACAATATGTTAGAATTGAGATTTCGATTGGTGATATACAAGCACTCACGAAACAACCTAGGGGTGGTTAGCAGTGAACTGACAAAGCAGGAGAAGGGGCTTACAGAAGCAGGAATGAACAGCGATTCAGATGGACTGATAAATGATGCTCTAAAAGACCCTGGTCGAAATTTGAATTTCATGGTAATGAAGATGCAGTTCACCAAAAATAGGACCAGATTGAACAGGAATATGATCACGCCAATGATCCGTAACCATTCGGCTTGATATGGAACTGAAAAATGTCAGACAGTGTATTCCTGGAGAATTGTATCGTCTTACTTCCACTTAGTACATTTGCAATTCCGCCTGGAGAGAAAAGAAAGTCAGCAAGAGGCTGTCTCATAGTATGCCAACAGAAAATCAAAGTCCAAAACCAATCCCGAGACCGGTGTGAACTTCCTGCAATTCCAGTAGCTGCGAGCACAAGCTCGAAGAATGACATACCCGTAGCCATATTCATGGTGAACCATGTCCAAGTATAGCATGCAATTCTGTCTCGAAATCCAATCTTCGCAGATCCGCCTCTCCCAGCTTCTAGGTCATTGGTAGCTCTCTCTTTGCTCCAACCATTACTGGTCTGAGGACTGGTCTCAACTTCCGAATTTGTTGTGTCTACATCTGCCACATCTCCCCTTGCATTATATCCCGCTCTTCTTCTCTCTCCAACATTATCCGTATCGAGATCGCTAAAGAATGCTGGTGCATCTTCTAGCGATACAGGAGATTCGTAGCCATTCTCTGGAACTCCGTCTTGATTCAGCCGTCCTGGTACAGATGCCCGAGTTGGCATTTCGCAAATATGCCAGCTTCGGGAGCAGTGACAAAGATCTTGGATATGGCGTAGAGACCGAGGAGGAGGAGAGGTTCGAGGGATGTGAGGGCGTAGCTGAAGTTCACCAGAGTCGTGATGAAGATAAGGAGATTGAGCACGAGAGATCCAACATTACTCAATGCCATGGTGAGGGAGGCAAGATGGACGTCACCGGCGGGTCGAGACGGAAAATATCTGATGGGAATAGTGTGGAGGTTGCTGGTGAGAAGCGTCGTGTGTGGTTGTGTGTAGGCTTGGAGGGCTGCTTCTAATCCGTTATTCTCGGCTGGTCGGGAGCGAGCGTCATGGTCTGTCTGGTCAGGGTCAAGGAAAGTTGCGCCAAGGACCTGCAAGCTGACCAAGTGCCCAATGACAAGACGGGAAAGCGGATGTGGCGGCGGTCTGGGACGGCAGAAACAGCCGAGCTAAACCTTGTCTGTCCAGCCTTGTCTTCTTTCTTGGCCACTGTCGTTCCTCTTCTTCTCTCCTTTTCCCCCCAACACCATCATTACAACCTTCAGCCAAGGGGCTCTGGACACCAAGTCACCAGAAGCCTCTCGGGGTTCAATGCACTGCTATTCACACTAACGATTCAAGCTTATATTCTCTTGCAGGCATTCCCTTGGCGTCAGTCATCAGCCTCGTTGTCTTTCAAGCAACTCTGAATGCAGATGGCCTTTTGAGTCCTCAACGACAGCCCCTGTTATGATACAGCTTGGGATATGTTTCTGCCATGTCTTTCAGGCTTCTTGAGCTAGGCAGATTCAGTCTGATCAGCACTTCCCAGGCTTTGAAGCTCGAAGTTGTGTCAGGCGTCGATATTACAGGTGCACAAAGGCTTGTTGTCTTGGATGACGATGCATTGATCAAAGCTGTTACCTCGAGACAGTTGTGGGTCTCTCGAGGGCGAGGCTTCCGAATTGACATTGAAGTGTTGCTAGACGGTAAGACGCTGGACAGGAGTATTTACTTCGAATTGCTAGAATCCTTGGGTTGTCTCATCCGAGATAAGAAGGTAGGTTTCCCGTCATGCTTGCTTTTAATTTTACTCATAATTTCTAGGAATGGAATCAACTCTTTCTCTCTGCTTCCTTGGAGACTCCCCCTGACATCCCTTCCGTACGAATGCCGCACTTCTCCATCCTTCTGAACAACAGCACAAAGCCAACTGAACCTGGAGTCGGTCTGGCGGAATGGATCGGGAACATCGACGTGGTACCACCAAATGGAGTCTTATGTGCTCAGCTTGAGAGGATACAGGTCCAATTTAATTTCATGCCTACACTGGAGGCAGCAATTGATGGCGTGCCAGCCCCTTCTGCTTTGAGACCAGCATCGCCTGATGATATTCTACTTGATTTGCCGCCGGATACCCTCCCTAGATCTACGCATGAGCGAGATTCCCAGAGTCTGGACCTTGCCGTACAGCTTCTCAAAACCCTTCCGGAACAAGTGGCGAGTTGTTTCGAGTCCCCTCATACAACTGATAATCAACCTTTACATATCGATCCCCCACCAATAATTGACCTTAAAGTTAATAGCAGTAATGAATCCGTATTGGTATCTGCTCCAAGCGATGGCGATATTGGATCGGGCAACAGTAGTAGAAGGATCTCTGAAAAGGCTCGCATTGTCCTGGATGCTTGGGTTGGCACGCATCGGGATAATCTCTACCCGAGCATGGAAGAAAAAGAGAAGTTGATGGTTGCCACAGGCCTCAAGAGAAGTTAGTTGGGGTTTCTCTATCCCAGCTTAACATCGCTAAACATTCTACTGATCGTGCACCTAGGTCAGCTGAATACCCAGCTCTTTAATTATCGACAAAAACTGAAGAGAGGCTTGCTCCGCGACGTCCAAATGCAGAACCTTGAGGGAATGCTTCTGGGTGGCCAATACAGATATGATGCATGCGAAGGTGGCTGGAATGAAGGCAAAATGCTCTTAACTGAGCACATTGACCGATCTAATGTGGAAGAGCATGACGAGGAAATGATCTTCTCACAGATGGCGAATGACGAGACACTGCCTCTTTCACAATCTTCCTCTATATCAACTACTTCTTCGACAAACACTACCATCTCTTCGACTTGCTCGAGTTACACATCTCTTGTTCGCCCCAATCTTGACGGAAAGTCGTTCTCCCTCAAGTTTGCTTTCACGTCTGCGCTTGCGGATGAGGCATTTCGTACTTTGATGGGAGCTGCAGTTCCTAAACGACTATCAAGGTTCCAAGACTTTCAACTCAAAAGTCTCCCGCAAGTACCGATGTCCACCTTTGTGCCTAGCATGTTCAGTCCCGGCTTCAAGAATGTAGGTCTTGCTAGAGTTAAATGAGCTTCATCAAATTTTAACACATTGAGTCCAGTCAATTGCAGGTCATTCTCGATTCCTGCCAACTATAAGCCATGCTTTATGCGTTTCGATGCCACAAAACGTGCAGACGCCCAGCTTACGACGAAAACTTTTCCAACTCTCAAGTCTAGAATCGTCCCAGCTTCCAGATCCTAGCAGCCAGTCTGGGAAGCCTGGAACAGTTCAAAGGCTGTCCTCTGTGGTACAATCCAGACTTTGGGGCATGATGCAAAGAAAACTATTTGACAAAGCGGCCGGGCGGAGACTTTGGCGGCGATCAACACCGGGAGACGAAGATGAGAAAAGTGATGTCGAAGATATGTTTGCAGCAGTCGAAGATGGAAACAATTTGAAGATGGATGAAGATAATGGGATGTCTGAGGAGGAAATGCTTTTCGGAGATGACGAGGATGATGATTTACTGCTCGATGATGACAATGATCAGTACAATGCAGATTGGGAACGACGTGCCATCGAGGACAAGACAGATGATATGCTTTTGGGAGACGACTGGCAACAGGATTGGGCTACTGCTCCCAAAGAAATACCATCTGAAGAGAGCCGCATGGACATGGAGACACTGGAAGAAAGTGATGACATCACGCAATCGCCCGAGAGCGACAGAGTGATGCTGATGGATCAAATCGACAGGGACATTTGGAAGAAGTTGGACGGAGATATCGGTATACAATGTCTGGACGAGAGTGCAAATGAAGAGATGTTGATCTAGGCAAACAATTGGCTCGTCTTCTCATCGATTCTGCAAGTCAAATCAGCCGTGAAAGACTTACTTTTCAACTCTCTTCGGATTTTCCCCGGGGCGACGATGATGATGGCTCAAATTTTCTCTTCTTTATCGCAATCAGTGCCAACTGCGCCAAGCACCAACTTTATCGGTATCACTCTGGTAAAAGGTGGCAAAACTCTCCATTATGCGGCAATCAATCTCCGCCCCCTGGCATTACAGCCGTACCCCGCAAATCGTCCCATTGTTTCCCTCTGATAACCGGAGCACGATCTATTATGAGGAGACAAACATCTTGGCCCTCCGCACTCCTTCCTCTCCAGTGTACGCGGCTCTGGGCGGACACTTGGCACCTCCCCATTCTAGCTTTGTGGCGGAAGAGAGTTGTCGATCACGCGAAGCTTGGCAATCTGCATTGGTGCATGTGATTGGACGAGAGTCATAAACACCGGCTAATGTATGTATGCCGAGCCTCGTACCTTTTCCAACACCAACAACAGGCAAGTTTATCAATTGACGTTTCCTAAGAAGTCTTGGAGATGTTTGTTTTATGGATCGGATGAAAGACGATGGTACGCCACATCCCTTGTCTCCTTCCTGGAGTGTGTCTAGTGCAAGGCTGCTAGTATTCGGCTCAGCCTCGAGGACGGGGCAAATGCAGCTAGCTGTATGGCAGTATGGGACTGATCAGCAAAGAGAGGCATTCCCCCGCTGCAAGTAGGCACAGCTATAAAACTCGCTGCTCTCCCATGTTCCTTTTCGGTTTCTTTAAGCTCCCAGTCCTTGCCTGACTGTAATTCTTATTCTTTCATTTGAGTTTGAATTCCTTGGATACCCTTCACGATGAAGTTCCAATTGCTTGCTGCCTCTTTGGCTGCTGTCTCCTCGGTTGTCTCCGCCGAGGAAGCTCTTGAGCCCAGAGCCCTGCCTCTTGTTCAATCGGTAAGCTTTAGAAACGTTCCATTTCTCATCAATTGCAGACAATATCGTTTTTAAACTAACAATCACCCAGAACCAACTCCGTCGCGTTCTCCTCCGCTCAGAACTCCTCGCTAAGGCTCGTACACTCGAAGGCTTCGCTTATGCCACTCCTCAACGGAACCGTCAGATCTTCACTCCAGGTCACAAGGCAACTTATGAGTGGCTCTACGAGTCTATCAAGAAGCTCAGCGACTACTATACTGTCGAGTACCATGAGTTTTTGACTGAGTCTGCTACGGCAACCGTGACGGTTGATGGTGTCAATCTTGTTGCCGAGCCATTGACTTTCACGTCTAGTGGGAAGCCAACTGGCGTGGTAGTCGCGGTTCCCAATCTTGGTTGTGATGCTGTATGTTGTCCCATTCCCGTCCCTTTTTTGTGAATTCAAATGCTGACATACCCACAGGCCGACTACGCTGGTCTCGACCTCACTGGCAAAATCGCCCTCATCTCCCGCGGAACCTGCAATTTCTCAGTCAAGACCCTCTTCGCCGGCTCAGCAGGAGCAGTAGGCACAATCGTCTACAACAACGCCGACAGCGCCCTAGGTGGCACCCTCGGCGGCGAGAACCCTGCCTTTGTCCCCACGGTAATGATCTCCCGCGTCGACGGTCTCGCCCTCGTCGCTAGTTCCCAATCCTCCACCAAGACCGCCTCCCTCGACGTCCTAGTTACCGAACTCCCAACCTACAACGTCATCGCCCAAACCAAAGGCGGTGATCAGAACAATGTCCTCCTCGCAGGCGCGCACTCTGACTCCGTCAAAGCCGGCCCAGGAATCAACGACAACGGCAGCGGGACCATCGCCCTCCTCGAGATCGCCCAACAACTCACCAAATTCAGCACCAAGAACGCCGTCCGCTTCGCGTGGTGGTCTGCAGAGGAAGTCGGCCTCGTCGGCTCAACTAAATACGTTGAGTCGCTCTCCGCCGAGGAACTCGCCAAGATTACCCTGTACTTGAACTTTGACATGCTCGCCTCCCCCAACTACGTCTACGCAATCTACGACGGCGACGGATCCGCCTTCAACATCTCTGGACCTCCTGGCTCGGCTGCTGCCGAGAAGCTCTTCGAGGATTACTTCACTAACGACGCCGGGCTGAACCACGTCCCCACCGCGTTCAACTCCCGCTCTGATTACGCTGCTTTTGCAGCGGCGGGCGTACCTGTTGGGGGACTCTTCACCGGTGCGGAGGTGCTGAAGACGGAGAGGGAGCAGCAGCTTTTTGGCGGGCAGGCTGGTGTGGCGTATGATGTTAATTATCATGCTGCTGGAGATAATGCCAAGAATGTTAATGTGGGGGCTTGGATCCAGAATAGCAAGGCGATTGCGCATGCGGTTGCGACGTATGGTGTTTCTTTTGAGAGTTTGGGGATTGGGAAGAGGGAGGAGAGGGTGGCTAAGAGGAGTATGTGGAAGCAGGAGGTGCCGAGGGAGGAGGATCATGAGAGTCATCATGTTGGTGGGGGGTGTAGTCACTCGGTTGAGTTGGCGTAGAGGGGGTTTGTTTAACGAGAAATGAGATTATGAGTAAGCATGGGCTGAAAGATGTGGAAAAAGTAAGGCTGTATATCAGAATCAGACCCGAAGGAATAAAGAAGATTTCAAGCCTCGTACCTTACGAGCTTTTCATCCTCAATCTATTCATGATATCTTTCATTGGCAGCTACGCGGGCGAGACTCCTGCTTACTTATTCACAGGGTATTGCAGTAAGCGAGGCAGTATTTACTTTTCACCACCCCACCTCACCCCACCTCCCCCGGCACTCGACCATCCTCCAGCTCAAATTAATTAGAGACTACGAGCGTGATATTTGTTATAACTTATAGCTGTGCACTTCTCCATTGATATTTTCGCCCATCTGACGTACTGTACCTCAGAAGACAGGTTCGACATAAGTCATGGCAAGTCAAGACCACCGGCTTTTGTATCGCAAAATAATTCAGCAGGGTGCAGAGAAAGAAAGAAAGAAATTGGTGGATGTCTTGTCTGCTTTGCTACTTATCTAATCTTCTCTACTGGTAATACACGCTTCTTCGTCCTGGCCAATATCCTTGCGCACAGGTTCGTACCTTGTCTTACAGCCGCTTTCTCACTTTCGCTACTGTTCGACATCACTACATGTTTCGTTCAGAAACTGTTTGGGCGGCTGAAAGTCCAGTCAGGGATATCGGCCACGATGGTAGAATGTCTGGATACTCGCTTCAGGGCGGTCTTTTCTTCGACTCGTCACTTCGTCATTGTCGTGTCAGATAGTCTTCGTGGAAGTATCTCGTACAATCGATATTCGTGGCTGTACAAAACGTCTACTTCTTCCTTTGTGTTCCCATTTACAATCACCAAGGCTCGCGGCTGTCCCATCTCACGGCTTCATCGACCGTCTCCATCGGAGCAGGACTCGTACTCGTTTTGGTGTGCTCCTCGGTGCCGTGATCGTCATCAGCGGCGTGGTCGTAGATTGTTTCTTCTTCCCCTTCCTCGTCGTCGCCCCCCTCAAAAAGGTCCGCTTCCAATTCAGCTTGCACGCCATGTGTCCACATCTCATCCTCCTGCGGATACACACCAAGAGCTCTCTTCTTCTTCTGTTTATCCTGCTCCTTTTCCAACTCCCACTCCCGCTCCTTCTCTCGCTCTTCACGATCCAAAAGCACTTTCTCCAACCTAGTCAGCTGTCCCCTTTCCTCTCCTCCACTCCCTTCTCCAACCTCCACACCATCCCCAACAACCAACCCATTCCTCCCACAAAACCCCACAAAAGCCCTCCAATGCTCATCCTCCATCAACACCTCCCCTCTCCCAATAACCACCAACCCAAACCTCGCCCTCGTCAAAGCAACATTCATACTCCTCCTCATCCCCACAATGCCCTGACCCGCACGCACATCTTCTACCACAAATCTCCTTTTCGATCTCGTCGTACAAAGAATAACCACATCCCTCTCCAACCCCTGAAACGCCTCCGTAGGTCCAATATCCACATCCCACAACCCAAAGCGAGGATCCCGAACAATGGAACGCAGGCGCGCGACTTGCGCTTTGAAGGGCGACATGATGCATATGTCTTTTTGAGAGACGAGACCAGAGTTCACGAGGCGGGAGGCGTACTCGCATGCGAGGTGGGCTTCGCCGGCGTTGGACCAGCCCCCGTTCTCGAGGTCCATGCTATCTTCGGAGGGGTTGTTGTGGAATAGAACTGGCCAGTTTGGACGACGCCAGCCGGACCAGGAGGCGAGACAGTCTGTGTTGGTGGCTTCGGGTTCTAGGGTGTCGAAGTAGAATCGTGAGGAGGGGACGGCGAGGATGGCGGGGTGGGATCTGTAGTTTCGGATGAGGTTTGCGAATGCGGGTCGTGCGATGGGGAGCATTGTTTGTTTGAGGATCTTTGGCTGGCGTTCACCTGATTTGCCTCTGGATAGTGGGTGTTCGGAATAAACCGGTCGAGCAAAAAGTCGTGCGAAGAGAGAGGTCTTGAGGGGAGATGAAGCGAGAGATGTGCGTGGGCCGAATTGATGTTCGTCGCCGGCCATAATGACGAGGGGCTGGATTGCAAGTTTTGCCGAGCCTGGAGGAGGTGCGACGATGGCGAGGGGGATGAGAGCTTCTGGTTCCATGGCTTGAGCGGCTTCGTCGATGAGGAGAGCTGTCCAGTGGAGATCGATGACTGCTGGTGGAGTAGCATGTGGATTGATGGAGCAGCGGAGGCCGTATTCGGCAGCGATCAGGTCGACATTAGACAAGCGTGAATGGAGAAGCAGGGAGGCATCTCGACAAGTCGTTACAACTACTTTACAAGCCATGATCTGCTGGAATTTGGGAAGATCGAATCTATCTTCACATATACAGCAGAATGGTAGCACTCCTCCTGGCACTTCAGCAAATGGCCGTGAAGATCGATTGAGGCGCAGAAGTTCATTCCCATTGAAATGGGGCCTAAGCCGCTGAACAATCATGTCTGCTGCAGGATCTGATGGAGCGCAGAATAGAACGTGAGAGACCCCATCAGAGCGTTTGACAAGCTGAAGAGCGACTTCCACCAACGTCTTTGTCTTGCCAGTACCAGGAGGCCCAGATACCAAGAACGGAAGGGTGCCATAGTTACGCGAGCAAATACTCTCAATTGCCTTCTTCTGCTCCCGGTTAAGTTGCTCGTCGAAGAATAGCTGCTTGAAATGATATGAGTTGAGCTTCGTTTGTGTATCGCAGTCTGCTTCGATCGGAAATAGCATTGATTGAAGCCACGGAGCGTTAGGAGGACTCTGGAGGGCAATGATCTGTTCAGGACCTAAGGGCTGAGTGAGAGATTTGGCTAGCGACTGAGTGATAACACCATTCATGGATGGATATCTAGTTCTGTCGGCGTGTCTCAAGACTTCCTGAACAATAGGCAGTACATCCTTCATCGGTCGGTATCGCTTCATCGGGACCAGGAATTGGATGTTAAAGCGTGAAGATGATCGAACCCACTCCCGTACGAGAGGAGTTCCACCGACTCGAATAATCAATGTAATATCCTTCCGTCGAACAGCCAGCACTCGAGCATTGTATATGATTCCCGTCCAGCCAGGTGCTGGATCACCCTGGTATCGACGTGCTAAGGTCGTGTCCAGTCCGTAGTCAGGGGGTTGATCTGCTGGTTTCATCCAGGAATCCATGCCGAGCAGTCTGTTGTACTTGTCATAGATCAGCTCTCGAAGTTGGATAATGTCGTCCTCCTCGATATAAGGGCTGTTCTCTCGCAGACCTGGTACCAGGATTGAAAAGGTCGTCGAGGGGCCGTTCGGATCGTAACTTGGTTTCTTGATTCCATGTCCGAATAGTGCGTAGGTCTCATTTTCTTTCCCCTGACTTGCAATCTCAGCTTCAAGGTGAGCTCGAAAGTAATACTCGTATGTAGTATGCATCAATACATCGGTCAACTCGAGAGATGCCAGGGCAGTAGGAGTGATTGTGGGAGGTGGAATTGGTCGAGGTATGGCAGGGAGGAAATCCCAGCCAAGACAACGGCCTACATATATCTCGAAATTGATATCTTTGACACCTTGAGTATCGATTACATGACCTTTGAGCTCATTTATCACGGACAGCGCTTCCGAGACAAAAGGCCGGGCAAACACATTAAGCTCATGGCTGCTGCCTAGCGTTGTCGTACTTTGCTGTGAAGCTGAACTTTGACTACTCTTTCCATTTTGCAATATAGAGATTGGAGGTCGCTGTGCGGGAGGATCTCTCAGAGACAGCGACGATTTGGATTGGTGCTCGAGATCCGAGCCGGGGATGGAATGATCTCCGTCAGGTGGGGGCCGTACGATCGGTATGGCTTTTGATCTTCCTGGTAAAGAGGGGAATTCTTGCTGGTCTGCAATTGCTGGTGGTTTATTCTGTATTTGTGAAAGTTGGACACTTCGGGCGATAGGGTGATGAGGATATGGTTGCGGTTGCATCTGTCTCAAGGCTGAGGCGGGGTGAGGACGAGGATGGTGGGACAGAGGGGTTGCCATCGTTTGACTTTGATTATCGTTCCATGGTGGCACCAGCATTGTGGTAATGCTTGCAACACTTTGCTGCAGGGAATGAGAAGCAAGCACACGCAAAAGCAAAGTAGTTCAATCGAAACAGGAAAAAAGGATATAACAATACGTTAAGGTAAGGCTGCGTTTGTTGCCTGGTCTGGGGCTGATTCTGATTTGTCAGCAGGGCAGACAAAGAAAGTTTGGCTTGGCCTGGATGCGGACAACAACATCACGTGGATGGACGCTGGAAAAGGCATCGGGCATGACCAAGAGCAGTTGAAGGAGCTTTTGAGCTCAAATGACACCTCGCAGCATGCAGTAAGAATGATGGATCTTCGCCAAGCAGGTCAGGCAAGTAATGACGCTAGGATTCGGCTGTCCGACCCCAGTGCATCAATGTAACCAAGTTTAAATCAGTGGTTTTATTTTTAAGGGACCAAAATTGCTCTTGAGTTTCTGTAAGCATTACTGGTGGTAGCAAATTCCCATCTAGGCGAAATAGAGACTAAATCATCTGAACAGCACGTTAGGCAGGTACTTCAACCGCTTTTGAAGGCATATTTCCTGGCATGTCATGTTTCCCGATTTCTCAGAGCAATATTCTTCTGTCCCTCGTCCATATCAGAAACCGAAGAACATAGAAAGGTCCATCAAATCTGGACAACATTGCCGGTATCCTGAAAGTAAACAGCTTAGGCGAAGGAGGGGCAATTGACAAGGATCGCGACCCGTGATCTGGAGATTTCCCTGCCGCGTCCCAACCGCGGGTCGCGAACAACACCACCAAGTCCGAATTGCGACAACAGTGATGGGGCTTCAACACAGCTAAGAACAGCTCCAACATTCATAAACACTGCCATCATGGCCTCTATCTCAATCCCCACATCCTCAGCACTTCGCCACGCCCAAATCATTCCAGCAGCACACCCTGCAGTCTTCAAAAGCCTCCATCGACTCTCGCGCCCCTCACTCCTCTCCCTTGTCCTCGACTGGCTCGACGAACGCAATCAAGAGAACACAGGCCCATACCTCCTCTCTCAAGACGACGAAGATGACGCGCAAGACACCTACCCTCCGGTGTCTTCCCTCCATGCCCTCCGCGAAATATACACCGACCTCCAAGCAAACAAAGGCTCAAAACGAGATGTAGTCGACCGGATCATCGAAGGGGACTGGCGCGGCGGCATTTCGTTGTATCAATTGGCAATGGCAGACATGCAATATCTCTACGACCATCCTGCATCTCAGAAATGGACCGCCTTGAAGATTGTCCCACTCACGCCATCCGAAGACAAGAAACCCACTTCAATACCACGATTCCATCCTGCGACATTCCTACAGAATCTCCAGCGCGAAGTCCTGCCTGATGTTAAAGCGCACTACAATCTCGACCGCCACTCTACATTACCGCTTACAATTCTGCGGATATTCATATTGGAGAGTCCGTACAATACCACACTTGCATTGCAAGGGAGGCAGAAGGCGTTTGATTCCAGCAAGACATTCTACGTTGCTTTCCCAGACTGCAGTCCATACGTCTATGTCTCCCTGGCCGCCGCCACAATCCCAGGTGCTGCAGCAGACAACAAAAGTCTTCGCAAATTGATGCTCGAAGGCATTCCCAAAGCGTTTAGCAAACCCCGCGAAAGATACAAGCTGGAATCCACCAGTCTCAGTGCCAGGAATCTCGATGCTTTAATAGAGCAACGAGGTGGGGGAAGGACGAACGCGGCGGGAGGAGGATGGAGTGTCTATGTCTCGGACGCGAAAGCTACGAACAATCCACTGAACATCCAACAACCCACACCAGAGTCATCTGTTCCGGAAGAAGAACCTGACGAACCTTCAACTCTGGGCATGAAACGCAAGCGTATTTCTGATGCCAGTGTTGTTAAGCGCCGTAAGTTAATCGCCACATCACGATTTGGAAATACCGGTCTACCGAACGACGGGAAGGGAATTGAGCGACTGGACATTCAGATCCAAGACATATTCCCATCTTCGACGCCTGTTGGGGAAGAGGATATTTGGAATCCAGATCCGAGTCCTACGTCCAATCAACAGAAAAGGGGTAGGAGAAGTACTATCAATTTTGAGCAGGCTGGTGAGGAAGAGGTGCAAGCTGAGGGATGGAGACCAGATATCAGGATTACATTCCAAGGGTCACATGTCTTTGCTGGTATCAGAAAGTTGGTAGAAGAGGGCGTTGTGGATGGTGAGAAGATGCCGGGATGGATGACGGGTGAAGAGGGAGTTAGTATTGGTGTTGTAAAAGATGGAAGGATCAGAGGGTTTAAGGGGAGTGGGATGTGAGACATGGGGGATTCGCTGTGACTTGTTGGCCATGATGTTATGTGTACTCTAAGTGGGGCTGGTTTATTTGGCATGGCGTTTTGGTACTTGGGGGTGGGTGTGGGTGTGATATCCTGGTTGACATTGCTAGTGTACAAAGAAAAATTATGAACGAGATGATTCCAAAATACTCTTATTGTCGAATGCTTTCTGTTTCACATTGCTGCTGCATCCAAAGACGCTCGTAGAAGTCTGAAAAGCTAAGTAAACAAAGGCTCTTTCCCCCTCCTTCAACCGAGACCACTTGCCAAGCAAGCCCCACAAAGTCCAACATCCACCTGCAAACGAAATGTCAGCCTCGCATCGCCAGCCTTGCTGCTTGACTCACAAACATCGTCCCCCTCCATCATTCTCTCTCGCACAGCCCACCATAAGCTCAATTAATTAATGATCCTTTCCTCCCGTCTTCTACGCCCCATTATTCGCTCTACGAAAAGAACCTGCTCTCCAAATCCTTCCGCAATCCTCCGAACTCTGTTGCGACAACCACCACAGCTACGATACATTGGGTTCAAGATGGCGATGGAAGAGCCTCCGTCGCTGGCGGCGGATAGTCCGATAGGTTCTGGAAAGGAGGTAGATACACCGAATGGGGATGTGGATGTGTCGGGACAGAATAGTATGCAGACGTGGGAACCTAGATTTGTTGATGTATGTGGTGCTTGCATTCTGCCAATATCGCAACAAGACGGCTTCCTTCTCTTATTACTCTCTATCCTGCAAATGACTGACTGAAATCCTTCTGCAGATAGGAATTAACCTCACCGATCCCGTCTACATAGGCCTGTACCACGGAAAGCAACAACACCAAAACGATCTCGCGGCTGTGGTACAAAGGGCTAGAGATGTGGGATGCGAGAAATTGATTGTTACTGGGAGTGATTTGAAACATTCGAAGGATGCTGTTAGGTTGGCTGGAGAGTTCCGTAAGTGTTCTCATATTTGCGGTTTGGCGTTCGATTGTCAGAGGGGCATGATACTGGCGATGGTGCCCTGCCACGAGGGAAGAGATGCACCAGCCGTCATGTGGACTTTTGTTCGAGGAAGCGGTGCAGAATACTAAACCATAAACTAACATCTGCTTCACAGCAAACACAATATACGCAACCATCGGCGTCCACCCATGTAACGCCCAGTCACTCACTCCAGAAACCCTCTCCCAGCTCACGACCTTCGCCCAAACCTCCACAAAAGCCGGCCAAGCAGTCGCCTTCGGCGAAATAGGCCTCGACTACGACCGTCTCGAACTCTGCCCAAAAGATATCCAACTCCGCGCCTTCGAACAGCAACTCTCCCTAGCAGTAGAACTACAACTCCCGCTCTTCCTCCACTCCCGTGCCGCACACGCCGATTTCCTGCGCTTACTCTCGGAACACGAGAAAGATCTCCCGAAACGAGGAGTCGTGCATTCATTTACCGGTACTATGGAGGAGATGCGAGAGTTGGTGGAGAGGGGATGGCATATTGGCGTCAATGGGTGTAGTTTGAAGACGCAGGAGAACTGTGATGTTGTGAAGGAGATTCCGCTGCATAAGCTTCATCTTGAAACCGATGGTCCTTGGTGCGAGATTAGACCTACACATGCTAGTTCGGCTATCTTGGCTAAGATGCGTGAAGATCTCGGGTTTGCTCCTAAACCGAAGGGGAAGCCTGGGAATGGGAAAGGAGCAAAGGTGGATGCTGTGGAAGGGGAGGATCCTGGGATGGGATGGGGTGGTGGCTGGAAGAGCGTGAAGAAGGAGAAGTGGGTTGAGGGGGCGGTGGTTAAGGGGAGGAATGAGAGTTGTTTTATTGGGAGGGTGGCGTGGGCGGTGGCTGGAATTAAGGGGTTGAGTGTGCAGGAGGTTGCGGATGCGGCGTGGAGGAATTCGGTGGAGATGTTTGGGCTGGGTGTTGGTTTGGATGGGGAGGTCCAAGAGGAGGAAAGCAAGGGAAAAGCTTTGAGAAATGGAGTTGAGGGGTTGAAGTCTGAGTGAGCCTGGGTCTTGAATATCCCTTGGAGGAGTCGTAAGAGCTGATTTATCAGGAAACATAGAAGCGCAGAAGAGGGACGGGCAGGTCGGGGACTCGTTATACCCAAGCAGCATACATAGACCACAATAGAGCTTGCGTTGTAGATCTAGATATCAGCTTCTTTGCTTACTTTAGAACCGCCCTGCAGATATTTGTCACTTGTTACCAATGTCCTAGTGCATCTTCTTGCGTCGTCGCCACTGGAATCTCTCACTCCTCGACCTCCATCCCTGGGCCTCGCCCTCCACTTCTTTCATATCGACTCAACTCATCACCTGCTGAGGAAGTGCACTTATGAGGATATGCACTTATGATCACCTACAAATGTCCCGACAATGCTTGTGAAGGGTGCAAGCGGTGGTAGCAACAGCTGAAAACATAGTGATTCACTCCGCAACAAACCAGCAGATGTGTTGGTAGCGCCATTGAAACTTGTGCTGGGATAACACAGAGTGCTGAGATGCGGTAGCGTAAAGCCTTTTAGGTGCAATATCAGTGTCGTGCTCCCGGTAGAGTTTGAAGATGCCATCTTACCAGGTCGGTTTCCTGCTCTCAACCAAGAATCCGCGCGCAACGTGGATGGTGTTTTGAACCGTAGTGTTGTTGGCATCAGCCATATTGATGTTGCCAGGGAGGAAAATTGTTGGCCCGGACTAGATTTTCCGAATAGCGATCAACTTACTCAATCGTGTGGTTGTTCATACAGGGTATGATATATCACTAGTCTCACGTTCGTGAACTTTCATCCAACTCGAGCGTCGCGTGCTCAGGCTCATAGCCCAGTCAGACTTCTCCATGATCGTCAAGGACTTTGGCTGTACGAGATCTACCACGAGATCCTTATCCTCTAGATCAGGCATTTGCTCCCAGCAGTTCATGGCATTCAAGATATCCCCACGATTCCGCATCAACCAAGGATGCACGGTGGTGACATATTCATGAACAGTGACAAAGCCTGGGCCAGACGGAGATGCCGTTACCAGCAAGCCTCGCCTCTTGCCCCTTGGTCGGTCGGTGCCGCAGCACTTTAGCAAATGCGGTGGTTCTCTATCATTCTCCGGATCATAGTCAGGCAAAGTGCCATACTTGAGAATGTCGCTCTCCGTGTATGAGTCGGCATCGGAATGATTTTCGTGAAATTCTAACCAGTCCGACTCCCAAATGTTCAAGTCAGCGACATTTACTGTGATTTCTGACACAGGCGGGTATGTCGCTGGCGACTTTGAGACGACGTGCCACGGTGTATTAGAACCTCCGCCCATCGAATGCTGGAAATACGGTTCCAGGACGTCAATGTTGTAGGCAGCGGCCATGACGGAAAGAGATGTCTCTAGGGAACCACCATCAAAAGACCAAACGATACGGACGGCGGCGAGAGTAGGATGAGGCTTGATACTGCGGCTGCGGAGTTCTGAAAATGTTGGATACGTCTCCCGTTCTGGTTGAGAGACCGAGTCCGAGTCCGAGTCCGCGTCAGATTCAAATTCTGCTTGTCGGTGGAGAACGAGTCGAAGCTGTGGACCATTTCCAGGGTTGGGAGTGGCGTCAGATGTTGACATTATTATTGTAGCTAATTATCTGAACTTTGAAAGAAGATGATTGCAGACCCAGTGGGCTTGATGAAGCTTGTGTGGGATTTGGCGGGGATGCAGGCAGGGGCGGGGAATGGACGATTGGTCAATGCATTTCATGTAACCCCAAACATATCAACCAATATTTTGAGGTCATCTCAAGACTCTTTGCTCTTCCACCTTTGCGTATTATCCTGTCTGTCTTACACTCTACTTCTCTATATCCATAACTGACCACTCTTGTTTAGGCATACAGTGGCGGGGTATCTTCAAGTGAGAGCTGATGCCTCCACGCTAGGGTACCATTACTTACTGCCAACTGCTTCTCCACAGCACGACCACTCAACCTCCACTCTTCGGATTCCGAAATACTTGAAATTACAGCCATTCAATGCTACCTTCAATATGTTACAGTCATCGTTCCTGGTCATCGTTTATCCTAACCCCATCATTCGCCCTCACCTCATCTTTCATCCCCACCTGAGGTCTCACCCCCTCCTCATCTCCCCTCTTTTCTCGTCTCGACCTTGTCCCCAAAATCGACCCACATATAAAACCAATCATCCACCCAAGATACCCCAAACAGCTTCTCCGTCTAGGTCGATTATTATCAGAGTTCTGCTGCTGCAGTGTCTTCTTGGGCTTCTCATCCTTTCCCGAGGTCAGCCAGCTCCTCCACGGTAAGAAGATAACCGCTGCCCATAAGATGCAAACGAGAAGTGTCAATGGCAGTGTGACGATCCAATACTGCTTGAATCCGTTCTTGATGGTTGGTGTCCGGCTGTCTCCCCATTCGAGGACGGGCATGGCGAATATTGCCTGTGTACGAACGTATTTATGTTAGTGATGCCGACTAGCAAGTTATGTTGTCATTTCAGGACATTAACACAAAGTAGCACAATACAAAACGTACGGCAATAAACGTCCCAGGCAGGAAGAACATTGTCAAAGTCGCAATCGTCTTCATCGCAGAGCTATCTCGTTTTGTATCCAGAGCGATTTGCCGCATCACGGCGCTGTCTTCTTTTGACGCTTTGGCGATTTCGGCTGAGCTGGTGGCGATTGTGATGTTTGTGTGTGAGTCTTTCTGAGCCATGAGTTGATACACCTGAACATGGTATCTAATGTCAACAACCTATTCCCTCCTATGCTGCAGAACAAAGGCGAGGGTGTTTATGAAAACGAATTTTGTGTATGAGTTGCTAGGAAGACATACAAGCTGGCGAAACGCCTCTGTTCTTCTCTGCACATGTTCACCATGCATGAGCGCTGCATCGATTCCAGCCTGAATGTATTCGAGCTTCTGGCGCACAAGGCTCTGCCCTTGGGAAACCGTTTCTCTCTCACGGCCTTCTGAGTGACAGCTTGCAAGCATCGTATTCCAGTTCCCGAGGACTTTAAGAGCAGCAGACAAGCCTTTCAGCAAGAAGATTTGACTCGAAGTCACATCACCCGAGAAGTTGAGCTGGCGAGTCAAATCCGTATAGTCGAGTTTCTGAAGATCAATTTGCGGTAACGGGTAGTTCTCAGTGGGAAGGAATTGACCAGTCGCCTCTTGGATACGGTTCACTCGGCTGTCCTGTCCGACAATACCACGCCGGCCTTGTTTGAGATTCTCTCCGATGACGTAGATGGGCAGCAGGAATGGAAGGAGGCACGTTTCGGTGTCCGAATGGGGAGACTTTCCCCAAGATAAAAGGTCGGGAAGGGTGTCATTGTCGAGGAGAAGGATACCGTAAGTGAAATTATTTTCTGGGGCGTACTTCAAGGCGAGTTTGAAGAACCTTGAGCCTGTCAAATTACTACTTCCATTGAACATAAGTAGTCCTGTGGGCATGTCAGCCACGGTTCTAGGATAACGTTCATGTAGTCATTGACTATGTAGTGCACATACCTGAAGAATCACGCCCTTTCTTGACTGTCGGGTATATACACGCTGGCAAAGTAAGCTCTACCAGAAGGTCAATGCATTTCTCTGGCAAAGTGAAATGCCTGATGACCGCGGCCAATGAGTTTGCGGTGATTGAAAGTACGATCCCTCGTTCTTCCATCCATGTTTGGGGTATGACTCTTTCCAATTCATTGTAAGTATTAGAGTCAAACTTCAAATAAGAGCTCTGGGTCTCACAGTATTCGAAGACCTTGCGAGATCCGCTGGCCGGACCTTTGCGACTCAACTGGCTTCATCATTGTGAGTAGAGCTACGAGAATTAAGCGAATGAGGAGGTCTTACCTTCTCAACCCAACTTGATAGAGACCCATCATCTACCTTCCCCTCAACAAACTCAACATGCCCATCATCTGCATGCTTCAAAAAATCCAAAGTATGACATTCCGTGGAGTCAGAAAAGCTGACTGGCCCAAAATATGCCGTCACAGGAGTGAGCAGCGAATAATTTTTGGTGGTCATGATCCGACCCAGTGGTTCGAAAAAGAAGAGCACAAGCTAAAGATCAGATGCGGGGAAAGGTTTCTAATATATGCCAAAATTTAGTCGTGGCTGGAAAAAATAAATTTTGCGGCTGAGGAATAGCAGCGAGACAGAATGGCTTGTGGCGCGCTAAGTCTCATCCAATTCAGACGCCACAGCTGCAGCCCTTTCTGCTACACATTCTGGGAATCATAAGCTGTACACATCCTGTTGTCTAGATTCCAGAAGGAGTATCTGGTCTACCATTCAACCTAATTTTCCTATTTTGCTCCGAAACTCCTAGGCTCATTCATGGATGAAAGTTTAAAGTTATGAAAAGTACCGCTAACTTCCTCTTCTTATAGTTTACCTTTCTGTCTTATGAAACAAACCTTGGGCAGAGGGATTGGTCGCTTGCATGATCGAATTTTGTGCATAGAAGCGTGGTTGGAGGGCTTAAATCACGTGTTTTGGATCTCCCGATAACGTTCCTACCTTACCTGCAGAGCAATGTAAAGGAAATATCCCTTGTAAATGAATCTTTGGTGGGTATCATTTCAATAGGATATTCTCAATCAAGGGTGAACGATCTCAGATATTTAAGTACCTGCCTCGTGTAACATATCACGTGTGACTAACATTCGCTTCGGGGCCTTGAAATGTACCTAGCGCCAGGTGCCTACTTCATGATCTTTCATTATATGTATGATCCACAATGAGCGATGCACACATCTCCAAATGACCCATCTCAACACCCTCTCTTCCGCTAAACCCGAATTACCTTTCTATCTTTCTCAGACCCCCAGGCGACCAATTCAGGGGTGCGGGGTTCTTGGGATGGAGGTTCTATGGACCTGCGCATTTCTGAGATTGTGGAATGGTCGTTGCAACGATCATTCCTGAGAATACAATCTCCAATATGTTAATGATTGGAGTCTCTTGAGTGAGGACCTGGGGCCATAAATGGAATGTGGAATCTTTGCCATGAATTTGCCGAGATAGCGAATTTCTAAGCCACCAAGAATCCGAGATTCAATGTAGGGTTTCACGAGCACCACTTATCACCACTTAATCATGAGTCTCATTAAAATCGAGAGGTTCTCGTCAGAACCTGCGGCTACTTTTGGCTTTGTTGGCAATCACCTGGGACGACTCTGGGCTTCGTCTCGAACATGACCCCGCAGAGCTCGATGCACCGAAAAGTATCGTCAGAGACGAATTGAACGGCAACGCAACACATTCAGCGCTCGATCAAGGATTATAGAAAATGAGACCGTCAGAAAATCTATGCTAGGCAGTACTAGACTTTGCTGGGAAGACATGAAGTCCCCATTGACAACTATCACCAATTTCAGAGATATTTGTGTGACTCGAACTGCCGACCACACATTTATGGAATAAAGGACTGCCTGTAAAGGTAGTGGTAACCACTTCTTTACTATACCTGATTAGGAAGAGTCTAGAGCTCGGCAAAGCTCGGTAAGACTCGGTGGAGCTCGGTTAACTCTGAAGGGGTTTACCGACAGTTACCCACTTAGTTATACGCAAAGGGAAATAGCTCTACGCTACTACAGGAGTTTACGTCAAGTTTTACGTCAAATGTAATTAGTCCTAATCGGGAATAGCCCGGGGAATTTGTCTATATAGGCTCGAGCGCCCTCCACGGAATCGAGGGCTCCTCAGCTTGATATTCGCGCTAATAGAGAGGTTATCACCTGATCCGTGGTTATTTCGCTCACGTGCTAGCTAACGCTAAACCGTGCTATTACATTGCCACTCGAAGCGGCATTGACCGTTGAATGGAGTATTGAACGCTAGTTCTTACTAAATCTCTATTAGGCACGTAAATTATATAATATACTATATAATATTAAGGTTTAATACTATACTAACTATTTAAACTAAGTAAATAAAAGTATTTTAAAAGTCAGAACTATTATTAAATAAGAAATTAAGTAATATCTTATAAAGTAATAATAAGTTAAGGATTAAGTAAAGATTAAATTAAAAACTTAAATAAGTAATAGAACTAATTAAATATAAGGGATCTTAACTATATTTTAATTATAGCGTCTTTTATAATTTGAATTTATCTTATATTTTTATTTATATCTTCTGATAAATCTCTTTATTACTTCTTTTTAAGAGTTTCTTTTATAATTCTCTTTATAATTCTCTTTATAATTCTCTTTATAATTCTTTTTATAATTCTTTTTATAATTCTCTTTATAATTCTTTTTATAATTCTCTTTATAATTCTGTAATAGTCCGGTATTTACTTGTTATAAATACAGAAGGCTATAGTTAATCTCTAATAATCGAGAGGTAAGTGTATTATATAGATAGGAAGATAGTTACTAAGTATTAGAATACTATTTAAAGTTAAGCATAAAGCTCTTATCTAATAGTAGATATACTAGTCTTATATAGAACCCCTATTCTTATAGATCCTTTTAGTATAGATCTATAGATCTATAGATCCCTAGATCCTTTCCCTTATTATAAGATCCGGAGATCTAGGGATCTATTATATAATATTAGTCGCTAGAACTTATATCTTTAACTATAATACTTTAGATTATATAATATATATAGCTACTATAGTACTATAAAATCCTAGGGGAGGAGTTCTCTTAAGAGCTCTTACCTCCTAGAAGACTTCTTCTAGGAGTAAGTATCTCTCTAAGCCTATAGTCTTTTAGCCCCTTTTACTTAAGAGTCCTTAGGCTCTTAAGTAGTCCGTGATACTATCCCTCTTCTATGCTAGCGTGGCTTTTACACTTAAGTATAACCTAGGAAATATTAATAGCTACTAATAGCTATCTTCCTTATTTATTATATCTAGTACTATAAAGAAATCAAGTATTACTTAGATAAAGAAAAAATAGAGTATCTAGCTCACGCTTTATATTAAGCGTACTATATAACTTATAAAACCTTATTCCTTCTACTATAGCTTTTCTTATATTTACTTCTTAGATTTATTTATCTTAAAAAGATACTTTAAGTATATTTATTTAAAGTATTACGATTATAATACCTTAGGGTATATTAAGAAATTCACTCCTAAGCGACTTATATATTAGTTTAAAATAAGAAAGACTATAACTCTTATTTATTCTTTAATACCTTCTCTTAAGCTTATTAAGAATAATCCTAACTCTTAGTTCCTTTACTTTTAAGCTTAACGCTTATCTAGCGTTCTTCTTTAAGGGCCTAGTCCCTAACCTTAAGTCCCCTTCTTTCTAAGTAAACCTGGAGTTTATTAATAGAAATCTTAAAGAAGTCTAAGGCAGTAGAGGTTAGACTTAGGTTCTTAGGTATTTTCTAATAGTAAGTACCCTTTCTATTTAATTAAATATTTTAGTTTACTATAAGAATACTAATAGTTAAGGATAGCCTTTACTTTATATTTAGCGTTCGGATTAATTAGTTATATCTTAGTAATAGGAGTAGGCGGCGCTTCTAGTAGTACTAGTTCAAGAAAGGATATATAGAATACTAAGTGGATATTTATTATTTTTAGTAGAGTTAGTTAATAATTAATAAGTCCCCTGACTTTAGTAATTTTAAATAATCCTAGCTTCTTATAATCTAATTTATAGCTTAGTCATTTTATTATAATATTCTTCCTAAGTAAGTAGACTTTATCCCTCTCTTTAAGTGTTAGTCTTATACTATACTTTCTGTTATAGTAAATCGCAGATCTCTATATAATAAAGAGAATATTAGCTAATAATTCTTTATAGAGCTACTTAAGCTTATCTACTTGTAGTATAGCCTCTTACGCGGTACCCTGACTAGCTATTAGTAGGTTATATACCGTGGGATTATACCTATAATTCACGTAGAATAGCGATACTCTAATAGTCTCTTAATCCGCGCTATTATATATAAACTAGGTAAGTAGGAGTAGTTATACCTAGTCGTTCTACTTATAGTTCATATAATACTGAAGATAAGTCTCTATTATCTAGTTGATTTATTTTATTTATATATTAGTCTAAGAATAGAATATAGTTAATATTTTCTGTTTTATTCCTAAAAGCGCGATAAGAGTTTTCTAGAACTTTAAGGTAAAGAGCTTATCTTTATTTAAGATAACTTTATCTAGTATTCCGTAGTTTATTAAAATTATTCTAAGGAATACCTGCGCTATTATAAGCGCGTCTTATATTCTAAGCACTAGTACTATATACATGTACTTTATAAACTTATTTATTATTATATAGATCGAGTCGTATATAATCCCTGTGATTAGATCCCTTAAGGTTAGTAGTTCAACTATAAAATCTAAAGCGATTAACTTCTATAGGCAGAGTAGTATTATTAGTGATTTTATAAGCCTATATAAAGTATAGTATATAGCTTTATTCCGAATATATATATTATATAATATTACTATATCTTTAACTACCTTCCTTATACCTAGGAAGTAGTATTCCCTAGATAGCTTAGATAATATCTTAGCTAGTCTTTAATATCTATAGGCAGGTAGCTTATAGAAGTCTATAATAAATTTAGCCCGATCTCGAGTAGGTATATATATTTATCCTTAGAATAAGAGAGTTCCCCTAGGGAAGAAGGAGAATCCTTCGCTTAATTATTATCGCTATTTAGCTATAACTAGGTTATTAATATAGCTTTTCCAGACTTTCTCTACGACTAGCTATCTTATTATAGCTAGCTATTAGCTATTAATAACTAAGGAATCGCTATTCTTCTATAGTATAGTATAAGATTCATAGATCTTATTTATAAGATACTCTAGTTTCCGGCTTAAAGCGTTAGCTTAAGTATTTTCTGTCCCCTTAATATAAGAAATTCGAAGTTTAATAATAGAGAGTGTTTTATACTAACGAACTTATTATTAGTTTAGTTCCTTAGTAGTTATAAAATAAATAAGATTCTTGTAGTCTATTAGGATCTGTACCTTATAAGTAACGCCCTTAAAGTAGACCTTCTATTCGCGTACTACGTTTATAATTACTAGTAACTCCTTATTATATATATTATAGTTAAGCTTTACTAGTAATAGTTTCTGCGAATAATAAGCGACTAGTTATTAT